AATTATTCAGTTTTATAAAAAAAAATTGGACATACATTTTTTTATGTTCCAGTCATTAGTCATTTATAATTTCAGTATTGTAGTAATTTATAGTAAAATAAGTAAGTTTAATAAGAGGAGAAACCCATTTTCTTGCATTCTTTACTGAAAAAAGTAACGAAATAGTTATTTTTCTTAGTAATTAGTTACTTTTATAATCTTGTAACTCGGTAAGTAATCAGTAACTACAACTAATCACTTTTTAAAAGTAAAATTCCCAACACCGCTTGTCACAGCTCCTAAAGTAAGCAATCCGGTCCAAGCTTGACATCCCATCCCAGATCTGTTGTTTGCAATGGTTAAGTGAAGTTTTGGTTCCTAGTTTGGACAACACAAAGTCCTTAGAACATTTTTTGTGAAAGTCTGGCTCAAAATCCAGTTCCACTAAAGGTTCTCCTTTCTACACATTTTCATGCGGCTACTAAAATTTCATGAAAGAACATTCCATTACTAAGCAGCTGTCTACCTCCACCTGCTCAGTCAGGCCCGCCTATGCGGTGTGATGATTATCCCCCTCAGGCCTGAGGTATGAGCTTCCTCCTGTTCAGAATAGCCATTATCACTTCACCCCCTGAAACACAGACTCTTAAAGGGAAAGGAGACTGTGGCTGTTGTTTTGTAAGCAGGGAAACCAGCTGTAGAGAGAAGCATTAATATTCTACTTCATAAACAACAAAACAGGAAAAACAACTTGAACTGGAATAAATATGAACAAATAGTTTCCCTAATTTAGAGCAGCATGTCGCTTGTTGTCAGGGAAACTTTTATTATGGTGACAAATGATTACCTTTATTATCCGTTTTTCAGAAAGACTAAACTATATCATGTGAGTAAATGTTTCTCCTTCATGGTAAAATCAGTAAACATAAACAATCCTAGAAATCGCCTTAATTTAAAGTAGCACTAGTTTTCCTAACTTCTTGCAGAGTTTTAGCGTGTTGACCTTTTCTCAGCAACTCTATTCATCAGAAATGGGATGCTCTTCCAGTTGAGGTCATCTGCATTTGTTTTTCAGCCACCATAAAAAGTGACAACCCCCACTTCCTGTGCTGTTTCTCAAAAGTAGAGTCACAAATGTCCTTCCTACATTGTTTATAGAAACATCATTCTAACAAAGATGTTTGGTTGCAGAAGCAGCCTCACTTTGAGGGATTTATTGAATTCCAGTGAGCATCAATGTGATTTAATACAAACGTTAGATGTATCTCCACAGTGCAATTTAAGACTCTGAATCTGTACAACAGCAATAATTCAACCACATAAAGTACCATCATCGGCGTATCCCTGCCAGTTAAAGAAGTGAAACCACTCATTAGATTTATCATCACAGGGACACATTTAGTCTTGGAATAGGAAAAATCTTTGACGTGCTTCAAATGTCAACCAAATCTCATGGGTGGAGTGCTGATCTAAACCAGGAAGACGAGGATTTGTAGCCAAAAATCAGCCGTTTAGACAGAACTGTACCATTATTAAAATATAACTTTGTAAATTAAAAATAATCTTAAAATAAAGCATTTCCAGCTATCCAACAGTTAAGAAAATATGTTTTACAAGATTATCTACAGCCTCTTTGGACATTCATTTTCACTGCCGTGTAGCTAAAGCTCCCCTCTGCTCCAGGTGATATTCTTGGCTAATGGAAGGACAGCATGCGTCATTCTGCAGGTGAAGGGTGTGTTCATGGGTGTGTTGGTAAGTAAAATCTGACAGACACACCCACTGATAATGGAAAAATCCACTTAAACAAAAAACAGAAATATTGTGAACTAAATGAAGTTTAGTGGGAAAAAAGAAAAAAAATGACTGCCTTTGCCTAAATGATAATAGTTAATTGTTACTGTGAGTGATGCAGGCTACATGAAGAAAGTTTGGCCCCAATAAACAAAGATATAGTCAAATCCTTCCCTGCACTTTGAGTCTATAAACCCACGGCTGCTGTGCTGACCATGCAAAACAGAAATGTGACACTGGTGTCACGCTATGAGATGGTGTTAAAGTGTAATAAAATCCTCCCAGATAACTCCACATACACACACACACACACACACACACACACACACACACACACACATCTCCACTCAAAGAAAATAAGAATATATCTAATTACACAGATTTAATCATTTAAATCTTAATAGTTTTTGTTGCACCAGCTCTGCTGTATAGAATTATTCTCTCGTGTTTGAGCTTGATGATTCCATTTCGTTGCAAATGAGCAAAAGAAGAAATGTTAATGTCTACAGGTTTGTTTTTGCTGATGTTCATCCTCTTGCAGCCTCTGAGTCTCCCTCAAAGGCCCTGTTGTCATAGCGATGCTCTTGCCTCTCTGGGTCGGTACCCATGGGGTCGGTGTTCATGGATGTGTTCAGTGGGACTTCATACAAGGCATCTCCTCCTGCCACTGTGATCACAGTGACCTCTGGTGGTGAAGATGTGGAGATGTTGTCCTTGGCATCATCCTCAACTCCCAGGGCCTTCAGGATGTCGCACTTACACATGGGGCAGGTCCTCCTCTCAAGCAGCCAGGGCTCGATGCAGGTTTTGTGGAAGATGTGGTCACACGTCAACACCGTCACCACGTCACCAGCTTTGTAGGACTCAATGCACACAGCACACATAGAGTCAGATGTTGTTTCCTCATCCCCTCTTTTCAGAGTGCGCACTTCCAGACGCGCGATAGCTTTCTTGGCTTCAGATTTCAGCTTCTTTTGGCTGCGCCTCAGGCTGCTCAGATTGTAGAGACGGCTTGCAGAGATGAACACAAAGTAGGAGAATGATGCCGCTGTCACGATGAAAAATGAAATGGACAGGAAGTGCAGCCAGTAGGTGTCTAGCCATGGTCCATGAGGGTTGCCTGCATCGATTATCATCATGACATCAACTCCATTATTCACCATCTTGACTATCTCCATGCCCTTAAAGTTGCCAATCATGATGGCCACTATACCCTCTGCCTCTGGGTGTGCCATGTGAGTGGTGTCGTTTCCACTGCCGTCCATGTTGTACACAACCACGGCAGCGGCTCCATGATCTTTGGCGGCATTAATCTTTTCACTGAAGGTGCAGTTGCCCCTTTTCACCAGGGCGATCCAAGGTGGGTAGCTGGAGTTGCGGCTGTAGTCGCTATCTGTGCCGCAGCCAAAGGGATCTCCTGCTGGAAGCACAACAATACCCGAAGCTTGGTCCAGAGGGGAGTTACGGCCATACACTCCGCACTCACAGTACTTGCCCACAGTACTGTTGCTATTCACATATCTTGTTTCCACAATGGCAGTCCAAAACATGAAGGCAGCAGAACGGTGTACAAGCCCTGACAAACACAGCAGCAGCAGCAGCAGAGAGTGTTTTGTCTTCTCACCCATGGTAACACTCGTCTTCACAACAGGAAGCCGTCTGTTTTGTAGCTTCTTCAAAACTCTTTCAGTCCCAACTCCTGGTTTGGAGTCCCAGCGATCTGAAAGCAGCTACGGTTTCACCCAACCCGCTGTGCTCAGTAATATGATCCTTTGGTAACACAACACAAGCTCGGCGTCAGCCGCTCACCTCTCCTTATCTTCCTGAACCTTGAACACTCAGCTATCCACACAGAGGGTAGGGTGGTGCTATTCAACAAGTTAAAGTACAAAAAAACACAAGTACCTGAGGCTGTTTTAGGAGCCAAGGGACAGAGTTCTAGAAGAAAAGGTGTGAGGCGTAGATAAGGAGGATGACTGATCAGTAACGCAGAGCAGAACTAATAAACGCTCCCGTGACTTGTTTTTTTTTTTTGACAAGTGAAGCAGCTGAGCCGGTTTTTCAAGCTTGACTTGCTTCCTTCCCCTTTTGCTGAGACTGATCATCGTTATGTAAAGCAGCCAGACAAACAAAGCCTTCCACTGCAGATTTTACTCTGCCACACAATCAGACTACAACTCTTGTTCTTTAAACCAGTAATAATAAATCCATCCCCACTGCTCCGACAACAAGCCAACGAAAACTGAGAAGTTTCCATTGGATCTCCTTACACTCAAGTGAAAGCACACTAAGACAGAGAGGTGTGGTGACGAGCGAGATGGAGAGGTGTTTTTGCCTAGCTGATACTAAATCTTAGTTCACCAACACGCACAAAAGCCACGGTGCAAAGGTCTCGGAGCAACACAACGATGACAAACTGTATCTCACAAAAATATGCAAATAAAACAACAGCAAAGTATTCATCCTTAGCCTTGATATGAGGTGTTACTGTATTGTGTGATGATATATTGCAAGTGGTTCTTATACTTTCTGCTGCAGCGCTAGCATCTGGGCCTACTGGTTCTTTAAGGGTCTGAGATGAGGCCATAACAGTTGCACAACACAGGAGCTTTTATCTGCACCAAACAGTTTGAACTGATGAAAATAATTAATGCAAGAATGACTTATGCAAGCATTTTAGAGAAGACATATTCAGCAGTAGTAGCTCAGGAGGTAGAGCGGGTTGTCCAGTTATCGGAAGGGTGCAGGTTCAATCCCGGCTCCCGACGGAGTTTTTGTGTCCTTGGGCAAGACACTTAACCCACCTCACCCACTGGTGGTGGTAGGAGGTGGCGCCTGTGCTTAGAAAGCCTTGCCTCTGTCAGTGCACCGAAGGGCAGCTGTGGTTACATTGTAGCTCATCACCATCAGTGTGTGAATGGATGAATGATACCCTGTAGTGTAAAGTGCTTTGGAGTGCTCTGACTCGGACAGGTGCTATAAGGCGGGTCATTTACCATATTTAACAATAATTCCAGAGTTGAAACAGATAGTGCACATAAATGCATCACTATATAACATATTTTATTATGGTCTGAATAAATAAGCTATAATGTGAAGAAAATCTGTGAATTATTCCCAAGTCAGAAAGATGGGAGTGAACTCAGGTTTTTGTCTCATTTAGGTTTTAATTATTTCACCATACATGGTCTATATTTACTCCAGAGTTAAAAACAGTTAACCACTCATCAACCAGAACACAATGTTATTTTTTCTTCCATTAAAACACCAAATTAACAGAAACAAATAAGGATTCTAAAGTGAACAAGAGGCTCAATTCAACAATTCCTCACCTATGACCTGAGGCCCTTCAGCTGGGGTCAAATGCAATAAAATATACTTTGGAGTCAAATAATATAGAAGGAAAATAATTGAGTCTTCAGAATATGAATTTTCCAAATGTCACTAGATATGAACATTTGGAGGATTAGCTGAGCCACGTGACTTTTCACGACGATTGATTATATATTTCTAAATGTTACTATCTTGAAAATAAGCCTGAGTTTTAAAAAACTAATATATGGAAACTGTTCTAACTTCAAATAGATCAGTTAGATTAACAGCATCCACAAATGAATCACATACTGTTTAGTGTAATTTAATCCAACTCTGAACTGTTGTGGCCAGAAAAGCATCAACATGTCTATTTTTAAACTTTCACAATAAAATAAGGATTTTTCAGATCACACAACTGTGTTTTTAAGATTCTAATGTTAGTGTAGGGATACCAACCTGGTGCCCCAGGAACCATATAAAGTGCCCTCAAGCCTATTTTAAAAATAGGATGAGTAACAGAATTAGCAGAACTGTGGGAACTACAGAAGAATAAAGCTAATGACTCATACAATGAAGAACACGTTGTAAAGAGATTGGGAAAGAGTGGAAGCTAGGCTTAGGTCAGAATAGGCCTGGACGCTAATTCAATAGTTCAATATATTAAAAAAAATGGGTCAATAAAACTCTGATTAAAAAAAAGTTTCTTTTTTTTTCATTATAACCTATCAGGTAGCAGCATACTAGACTCACTACTCACTCCTAACCAATCAAAACCACAGACTCAGGCACGCTACTTCACCAGGCCCTCTCCTCTCAAGCCAAAACAGAGCATGAGGCAGCAAGATGACGCAGTGAGAAGAGGTGGAGAAAAAAATAAAAATACCCAAACTAAAAAGGCCAGGGCTGCACGTAAAATATATTTTCTACTATTTTAAAAATATTTTTCAATAATTATCGATATTGATCGATATAAAAAAATGCATCGATATACTTTTTGTCAAAAAAATCGTCCAGCCCTAGGTCAGAAGTAAACATTTGTGAGCAGCAGAATGGGTTGATGCCATGAAAGTGTTGCTACTTTTGCTTTAGTAAAGCTGATGGAGAAGAACGGAGAAGGTCAGAAAGATGTGCACTGTGTCAGACAGGAGCCTCCGTGGACTATGATGTCTGCAGATGACATAGCGATCTGCAGTGAGAGAAGGTTGGAGGAAAAGCTAGAGAGGTGGTGATAGGTACTGGAAAAGAATGGAATGAAGACAGAATTCATGTGTGTATATGAGAGGGACACAAGTGATGTAACAGGGAGTAGAAGTATAGAAAGTAGAGGACTTAAGGTACTTAGGGTCTACAGTCCAAAGCAATAGAGACGTTAGAAAAGTGGTAAGGAAGCGTGTGAAGCAGGTTGGAATGGTTGGACAAATGTGTCAGGAGTGGCAAAAGTGTTTCAGATGTAGAAGAGAGTAGTGAGACCAGCCATGTCGTCTGGTTTAGTCACAGTGTCCATGAGGACAAGACAGGAAGCAGAACTGGAGGTTGTAGAGCTTTGGGAGTGACGAAGATGGATCAGGAATGAGTCCATCAGAGGGACAGCTCATGTTAGATGTTTTGGAGATCAAGTCAAAGAGGACAGACTGAGATGGTTTGGACATGTCCAGAGAAGAGACAATGATTTCATAGGTAGAAGGATGCTGAAGATGGAGCCACCAGACAGGAGGATAAGAGGAAGACCAAAAATGAGTAAGGTAAAGGAAGACATGAAGCTTGTTGGAGTGAGGGTAGAGGATGCAAAAGAAAGGACTTAATGGAGACAGATGATTGGCTGTGGGGACTCCTGAAGGGAAGAGCCCAAATAGAGAAGAGATTTTTCTCATCACACTTGCATTTATATGGATTTGAAAATTATATTCTTAAAAAATCCTTATTATACATGGAGTTTAGTTAAGGGGCAGTGCAGACCTAGCATTGAAGGGAAGTGGTATTTTTTGTGTTTAAAACCTTACCAACGGATGTTGTCAAAAATCCCTGGGAGTGTAATTTTAGAATGAGTACATCATCAGATCGTTCAACCTCCAGCAGAATGACAAGTACATCAGACTCCCTTTCATCACTGGCAATGAGCAAAGTGTTTATAAACTGAGAAAGTTTTGTAACCGTTTGAAATCAGTAAATGCATCGCCTATAGAGCCTTTTAGGCCCAATTTTTATGGTTACATGTTACAAAGCCACCAATATTTTTCAACAATTGGGCATCATTTAATTAATTTACAACATTTTGATGGATGTTTCCAGAGATTAATGGTAAACGACACACTGTCTCCTTAAACCTTTTCTAGTTCAAAGGTCAGTATCGCGTGCATGACAAAACTTGGGTGCATCAACCTGGTAGCCCTTCATATGTATGGCTCAGTTTCCATGAAGTATAGCTCTCAGCTTCACAACGGTTGGTGACCCCCTGTGTAGAATCATCTAGACCAAATGTGAGATGTAAATATGACAGATTTTACAGCAAGAACCGATCCAAGAAGACTCAGATCACAGAATTCTGGTGAAAAGGTAAAAAATTTACCAACTCTGTGATCTTCTCATTAAAAATGCAACCAGTGGAAAGCACAAGGGGGCGCTCTTAGCCCACCGACGAGAGTAATGGAGGTACAAACGCATTTAGACCAAGTGTATCCTCAACCTACAAATTAAACGTGCAGCTTCATTTTTCAGGGACACGAAGCCACTAAAAAGCGACACGTGCTGAAAATACTTTTGCACGTGTCATGTATCTATCACGTGCAGCTTTCACATGGCGCCTATGAACACAAACAAATTAGCAAATAATGAAACTCACCGAATTGTTTTGTGGGTTTGTAGAGGACTTGGGCCTGAAGTCTCTGGTCTGTAGAAGTGAGGTCATGGAGGACGGATGGGCTGGTTTCTGAAAGTTGGGGTAAATCCGAGGCATGTCCAGACAGCTTCTCACCCAGACACACCCCCTTTTCTGGCTGCTGTATTTTGAAAAGTAGTGATGGAATTCCAGCTCTTTTTAGAGAGCCGGTTCTTTTGGCTCAGCTCACCAAAAAGATCCGGCTCTTTCGGCTCCCAAGTGGCTCCTCAGATTTTCTGTTGCGTAGAGTACATTTATAACCAAAATAATGCAAAACTATATGTAAAATGATTTACTAATGTAAAAAAATGCAATTTATTTTTTTAATATTATGTTTTATTATTTTAATATTTATTAATATTAATAACTGAACACTTTCAGAAATCTCCGCCTTCCGACTGCTGGCGCTCATTTTCTCACGTCTTCGTTGCACTTTCATCTCTCTCGCTCGCCTTTTTCCTCGTCCTCATTCCCTCTCGTCTCCCTCCACCCGCATGTGCTCAGCTGTGTGTCTGAGTCTGATCCTCCCTCTTCCCCGCCCCTACTGCTCTGTGTGTGGACAGTCTGGACACGCAGTTACACATGGTGACCAATCGCTGTAGCTTTCACCAAAGCAAGAGGGGAGGGGGACGGGGAGGAGACAGCTCCCAATGACGAGCCGGCCCCCATTGTTCATTTCAAAGAGCCGGCTCATAGAGCCGGTTCGTTCGCGACCGACACATCACTATTAAAAAACCAGTATCACAATGCAGCATTAGCACCTTCATTAAATATTATGTTTTATCAGCACAATTTCTAATAAATCAAACTGTCATTGATTTTAGGATGTGTTTTATCATAATAGTCTAATAAATGCTTGCCCCCAGCCATGATGGAGGTTAAAGTGGTGGCTTCTCCTACCACTACTATGCAGACGACACCCAGCTCTATCTGTCATTTCCACCAGAAGACCACACTGTCTCTGCACGAATATCAAACTGTCTCTCTGACACATCAAAATGGATGAAATCCCACCATCTCCAACTCAACCTTTCTAAAACTGAACTACTTGTCATCCCAGCAAAACCATCCATACAGCACAATATCTCAATCCAGAATGACTTCCTATCTCTGGCTCCTTCAAAGGCAGTTCGAAATCTGGGTGTTGTGATTGATGAACACCTGACCTTTAAAGATCATGTTGCCTCTGTTGCTCATTCATGCCGCTTTGCGCTGTATAACATACGAAAGATCAGACCATACCTAACACAACATGCCACCCAGCTCCTGGTGCAATCTAATGTCATCTCCCGCCTCGACTACTGCAATGCCCTTCTTCTAACTGGTCTTCCAGTCGGTACTGTGAGACGTCTTCAAATGGTCCAGAACGCAGCAGCTCGTCTGGTCTTCAATCAGCCAAAAAGAGCACACGTCACCCCTCTGTTCATTGAGCTCCACTGGCTACCGCTAGCAGCACGCATCAAATTCAAATTGCTAACACTAGCATACAAAGTCCGAGATGGTATGGCTCCCATCTACCTGAATCCTCTTGCAAAGGCTTACGTCTCGGCCTGGCCGCGCCGGTCATCACAGGATCGTCGGCTAGCAGTGCCTACACCACGCTCAGGACAATCCAGACTCTTCTCATGCATCGTTCCACAAATGTGGAATGACCTACCAAGCACTACCAGAACAGGGGCTTCCTTTTCAATTTTCAAGAACCTCCTGAAGACCCTGCTCTTCAGAGAGCATCTTCTTTACTAGCACCCTCCCTGCACCCGTCCCCCCTCTCTACTGTCCACTCCTTGTTCCCTACTCTCCATGACCGATGTCAATGTTGTTGTTGTTATTGTTGTTAGTCTCAAAGGCAACATGCCGATTGTCACTTGTAAGTCGCTTTGGTCAAAAGCGTCTGCTAAATACATAAACATAAACATTAAAGACCCTTAAATTAGTGATTTGCATGGCAGAAATAACATGCTACTACTCTTTTTTGCTCTTAGTTAAGTTATGGCTGTGTGGAAGTATTCTCCTACGTTGAAGTACACTCCTGATGTGCCACAGGCTGTTCAAGTCAAGTGGAATGACTCAGAACTCGTGATCTCTTCCATTCTTTGGTACCGCCAGACCTTAAGAGATGCTTTCTCCCCCCAATAATCTCTCTTTGCAGCTTGTAGCCTAGTGTAGTGTTAGATGCAGCACTTGCAATCATTTCACAGCCTGCTTTAAATCTCTGCCAGCTCATTAGACCAAAGAAACACATGAATCCCTGGAAAACTGGCTAATTTTTGTCTTACTTAACCATAACATGATGACGAGTAAAGCTGCACCCCTGCAGAAAAAGAAGAGGAAAGATTTTATACCTTACTTTTTGGGCTTTGTAGTTTTTTTGTACGCTGCTGTTCATCTTATATCATTTACAGCAAAAACAACTCAGGAAATCCACCCTTTCAGGCTGCGTCGAGCTCTTGGTAAGCACACAGAAACATTATAAAACTTGTGTGGGATTTGGGTTGTTTTCTCTGCTTCAATTTCCCTCTGGGATTAATAAAGTATTTCTGAATTGAATTGAATTGAATTAGGTCTGTTACAATCAACTTGATGCATCAGCATCAATGTCAACTCATTTTTTTGTTTATTATGTGATTATTTATTTTCATATTTCCAATTTGCTGCAATGCATCAATGAATGGGATTATTTGTTACAAATGACATTTGGTAATCCTGGCACAAAGCTGAAATAATATCTAGGTTGATACAACAGTCAAGAATAGGTTTAAAATGGTATATTAATTAAAGTGGTCATCAACAGTGTTGTACAATGAGATATTAATTTTTTATCACAGAAAAGGTGTTCGAATCACACAAACACTTGACTGAAATCCCGTGGAAATGAGGACTTTTTAAATTAGTATTAAATCATTAAAACAGATAAATTGGCCAGAAACAAATCATGATGTTCCCTTCTACCAGCTCTCCTGCTCCAAAAGGGCCATTTTTTTACCATAAATCCTATTGAAAGTAATTTTTCAGAAAAATATGCTAGAATGTGAAACCTCAAACACCAGCCAACAAGCCTCTGATCACCAACCGTGACTCTGTTTGCTTTCTCTCAAATCACCATGAAATTCAGTTTAACTGCCTTTAAGATTTCAAACAAGCTTGACCGAGTTCTCGGGCTATTTGTGAGTTATTTAGGGTGACCAGTTTTGTCATTCATTACCATTCAGTTGTGTGTGTGTGTGCAGGTCTTACATCTGCTGTGAGGACACATTTTTGATTTTTTACCTCTAAAATGGGGACATTTTGAAATTGTGAAGACATTTGCAATGTTCTCACAGTGAAAAAAAAACCCTGATAATTGGTTTTAGTGGTGTGGTGTGAACTAAGTTTTAGTTTAGGTTAGGGTTAGGACTACAGCAACAGGGTAGTAGTCACATAAATGAATGGAAGTCAATGAAGGGTCCTCACATGTATAGATATACCAACGTGTGTGTGTGTGTGTGTGTGTGTGTGTGTGTGTGTGTGTGTGTGTGTGTGTGTGTGTGTGTGTGTGTGTGTGTGTGTGTGTGTGTGTGTGTGTGTGTGTGTGTGTCCTGTCATTTTAGAGAACGAGACAGAATGCATCTCACCTCAGGCTTCTGAGTTCCCTGAAGGCTTCTTCACGGTGCAGGAGAGGAAGGATGGAGGGCTGGTCATTTATTTTATGCTCATTTTCTATTTGCTTCTGGCTGTTTCAATAGTCTGTGACGACTACTTCCTGCCATCTCTGGAAGTAATAAGTGATCGTAAGTTACTTCATGTATTTTATTATTTATGCTTATTGCTACAGGTGTAAACAGGCATTTACAATCATAATTCAGCCTGTTTCAGTTACACTTTTGTGTTTTCATTGACCTTCATCTCAACACCAAGGACATTCTGCTGCGCTCTTTTCCCAGCTGGTGTTTGTTATTTTTCCATGTGTGTCCCAAATATGCCCCATTGGATTCAGCTTAAGTGAAATATTCCCTAGCTGACTTTAATCAATGTCCTTGGAACTGTTTAGGCCATCTTACGTACTCTGATAACCCCTGCGCCAAATCAAAAGTGCCTGCCTGTCGGTTTTATAGAGATAGATTGTGCACGTAGCACACTGTCCTTGGCATCATTTTTGGACCACTGCTGCTCTGATTAGCCCTGCTGTAGTTTGTTCTCCTGTTTACTGTTGGACTCGTCACCCAGCTGATTTACAGGTGACTCTGTATCTTTTGCCTTTGAAACATTAAGAAAAACAGAAAATTTGTCACATCAAACTGATGGTTATCAGTCACAGAGAAGACACTCATCCTCCAACTCATTTAGATCAAGCTATTGATGAGTAATTTTACGTAATTCAAATGATAAAATGATAGTCTACTATCAACATTATTGATGTCCAACAGTTATCCAGATATGCAATTGAATCCTTTATTCTATAAATCCTAACAAAGTCACAGATCACTTAATGTGATCCCAAACAGTGGATTAATAATTGATACCTTTCCTTTATTAACGGGTCCTTTCTAAGGGGTTAGTGGGTTTGTTGAGCTGGTATGAGTATCATCAGGGTTTTGTCTTGTTCCATGGGGCTTCTTCAGGTCTGGGACTGACTCAGGACGTAGCAGGAGCCACTTTCATGGCAGCAGGAAGTTCTGCTCCTGAACTGGTCACAGCATTTCTAGGTAAGCACACATTAGACAAAAAAGTAGCTCTACTCCTCATACTCACTCCACCTAACTATTTACATGCTTGTTCTGTAGGCGTGTTTGTGACAAAGGGGGACATCGGGGTCAGCACCATTGTGGGATCAGCTGTATATAACCTGCTGGCTATCTGTGCTGCCTGTGGACTTTTGACCTCTGTGGTACATTATGACAATATACTCGAACATTATGACAAATTTTACATGATCACCAACTCCTTTTGTCCTGGAGCAGCACCTTTAAAGGGTCAAAGCACCAAATGAGTTTCATTAAATGTAAAGTGTTGATTTTTTTTTCCTGTGTCAGGTGGGTCATCTCACCTGTTGGCCTTTATTCAGGGACTGTCTGGCGTACGGGATCAGCGTCGCTGCTGTTATTGCCATCATTTCCGATAACAAGGTGTACTGGTGAGTGTATGTTTGTATTTAACTTATGAGCAGTGACTCAGCAGATCATAAACCATCTTCATGTAAAGTGGCTGACAATAAAAGACAGTAATTACAGCTCTTTATTGAATCCTGTGACGCTGACAAACAGCATTTATTACACAGACTGTACAGTGATATCGGCTCCGCTGTTGTGAAATATGCAAAAAATTCAACCCAAAATTTAAAAGCTTACTAAATCATGTAAAATAAACCAGAAAACACCCATATTAGGAAACCAGGAACATAATAATGTGATCATTTCTGGTTTGTTTTCTTTAAGTTATCAATTATGCATGGTGGCACTGGCACTACTTCCTTGCAGCAAGAAGGTCGAACCCCAAATACCAGCTGTGGCCTTTCTGCACACAATCAGCATGTTCTCCCCATGCATGCGTAGGTTTTTACTAGGGTTTCTCTTCCACAGACCAAAAACAGACATGTTAGGATAGATGTGAATGGAGTCTTGTTCAGGATGTTCCCTGCCTCCTACCGTCACGTGTTTTTATTTTTGTTGTGAACATTTAATCAATTACCTTTTATTTCTTAGACTATTTTAGAAGATGTCATTTATCTGTAATTATTTATCTCTAAAAATAATCTAGGAATATTGCTGAACCCTCCCACTGTCTTTATGGGTGACCCTGAGAGGAAAGTTGACCATTGAGCAGGATTGATGGTTTATCCCTTGAGGTCCACGTGGCAGGGGTGAGGTGGTGCTCACTCCTCACTCCTGCCACGTGGACCCAAGAAATAAACCATCAATCCTGCTCAATGGTCAACTTTCCTCGTGGGGTCACACCCATTAGGACAGTGGGAGGGTTAAACTATAAAAAACAGTTGGAAATGTCCATCCTTTTGACAATCGGACTGACAAATGCTTGATCCTAATGGTGCAAGTATGGCCAGGGCTGCAGTCCAATGCTTATTAGCAGAATGTCTACCAGAAAGAAAATAGTCAGACATCATTAATACACCTTCCCTGCTCTTTCATGTCAGAATGTCTACTGTGAAATTGTGCTATGATAGTAAGAACATTTCTACTCACAAAGTGTGTGTGAAATGGGACTTTGTGCATCTTGATTCAATTCCATTCAATTCAAATTCAATTAAAAATACTTTATTAATCCCAGAGGGAAATTAGAGTTTCAGTGCACACAATTCTGAGATCAGACATACATGCATAGACATAGACACATGACAAGAGTTGGTGACTGTGGTCATTCACAACCCGAGTTGCGCTACCGTAATAGATCAAGAGGGTTTATATGAGGATAGAGTCGGGGGGAGGGAAAAAAGGCACTTCAGAGTTACCTTCCACAGAGAGGGCAGCTTTGCTATGCAAAAAAACACCTCAGACAGATGTGCACACAGACTTCAGACATTACACAACATAAATGTCCACTAGGTGGGGAAGTAGGGTTGGGACTCTCCTCACTTCAGTGCGTGCAGCCGCATGGAGCAGCGCTCATCACCTCCGTTTGGACAGGGGAGGGAGATAATGGGATAGAGAGCACAGTGACTCCTGGATACGGTTCCACAGCCTTCGCCGGTCACAGTCCTGCCCAGGCTGGGATAGGGAGAAGAGTTACCATAGCGACAGCAACATTCCTTATTTCTTCTGAGGGGGCAGTTATCACTTCAGCCTCACAGGCTCCAAGGGCACCAGATTCAGATAAAAATTGTTTTGGGAACAGACAGAGATAACTTCCTCTCTGCCTTACTGTTCTGTTGGTCTACAACCCCTCTAGATCAATAATGGTGTAATTAATCAATCCCAATCCGTGCTGATCCGTCCACTCGCTCCTTGATGGAATCCACCTTCTGTGCCAGAGCCTGAATCTCAGCCAAAGTTCTAAGCTTACGACTCATCTCGACAATTATATGAGTTTGTGCGTTCACAGCACGATGCATCCCATCCCTGAGCTCCGGGATTGAGCCAATATTCCTCGAAAGCTCGTTAATTTTCCAGTAAGCCAGGTAACCGCTCAGGCCAAACAGCAGGAATCCCAACACCAAAACGACGAATATCCAGACATCTTCAGAGTCCTCTACAGACAGTTGAGAGAGGCATATCAGGTTCCACTGTTTCCAGGAGTCCATGATATATCCAGCTGGCTCTGTCCCAGAGGGGCATCTGGGAGCCCCTTCTCCCGTTCTCATCGTAGAAAAAATTTTGTTTATCGCGTTGAGAGACCAACTGACCAGATCCATTTTTAATAGTTTCCAGAAAAAATGCAGAAAGCGCCGTGCACAGACAGGACAAAGAGCCTTGGGATAAGGAGGGAGGGAGAGGAGAAAAAAGCGTCTGTACTCTCCAAGAGGGTCCTGAAATGGAGTGGTGACCTGTCCAGGATGTGCCCCACCTCTTACCAAGTGGTTGATAGAAATAGGCATCCTGAACAGGAGACAGCAAGAATTGAAAACTAATGGACTGATAGAGATAGGAAAAACACTGGACTCCTGAGATGTAAAGACAAAAAAGCTACATGGTCAGATGAGTTCAGCTTAGCTTGAACCAAAGTGACTCATGGACTAGCCGGCAAAGAGTCCAAAACCTAACCACAATAAAATCTTTGGGACATTAATGAAAAATCACACTTACCAAATGGTGTTTGCCCTTACACTGACAGGTACGAGGCTGCTTCTCTGATGCTCGTCTACGGCGTCTACATTGTGGTTCTGTGCTTTGACCTTCGTATAAGTGAGTTTGTCCTGAGGAAGCTGAGCCCTTGCTGCACCTGTTTGGGCTCAGGTGAAAAGTTAGAGAGACAGCCTCTGATGGGCTGGAATGAGGACACCAGCCTGAGAGTGCGTGGGCACTCCAGAACAGACAGTGGTATCTTCCAGGATGACTCGGGGTACTCTCACCTGTCTCTCAGCCTGCATGGTCTCAATGAGATATCAGAAGGTAAGACAGGATTTCACAGAGAAATGATTCATGAGTTGACACTTGTTTGATCTAATGTTCCTGACTGTCTTCACGCACATAGAGCAGAGAAGTGTGTTCTCTGTGCCGGAGAGCGACCTGAAGAGGATCTTATGGGTTTTGTCTCTGCCAGTCATCACTCTGCTGTTCATAACCATCCCCGACTGCAGGAGACGGTTCTGGAAGCGGTGGTTTGTGATAACGTTCTTCATGTCAGCAGTCTGGATTGCCGCTTTCACATATGTGCTGGTCTGGATGGTCACTGTTGTTGGTGAGGAACATATTTTAGAGATGTTGTGAGAAAATGTAAATATTAACATATGTTTAATTTTAGCTAAGAAACCCCCTTTATAAGCTAAATCTACCTTCTGTTGAGGGCTCGTGTACGTTCAGCACACTTTCTGGGACCTCTCGGTTTAAACACAGGTGTGAAACCAGCACCGTCCTCTCTGAGCCATTGTGGATCACAAGTCTTTGAAACTTGTGAGGAAAAAGGTCTAATTTGCAGAGCAGAGTCACATGTTGGTCTGCTGGCTAATTCCTGAGATGCCATTGTCCAAGAGAGGGAACAGTGCAGCTCCAGCCACAGCAGGATTACAGCAGCCTTAGGCCCAAGGAACCAAGTCATGTGAGGACTGGCTGCACATACATGACCGGGCAGAGGTCTGAGAATAACTTCGGTCTCTATCTACAATAAAGCAAGCTATGAAGCTGATCTAAGATCAGGCAAAGAGGACAATGCTATCGTGTGTCGGTTGAAGATCAACTGAGGCACAAGGAGATCATTGTTCCATATTCGCCAGACGTGTACACGTAGAAGAGTTGAGTCATATGCTCAGGCATGAACAATAGAATATGTGGAATATCCTAAGAGTTGTTGGTTTGTTAAGCGAGTTGCAATACTCAAATCAAAGAATTTCTCAATAAGCCCAAATATTAACAAATAAGGATTTACATTGGTATGAGGTTTGCAGACTGATTCAGAAGTTTTCATTCTGCCAAAGGAGCAAATGCACCATTTTACAGGCTTTTTAAATGACCTGTTTTTGATATAGCACCTTCTAGAGTCCTAGAACACGGCGCTTTACAATCAGTCATTCACTCATGCACACTCACATTTTCTCAGTGGTGGTGATGAGTTACATTGTAGCTACAGCTGCCCTGTGGCACTCTGACCACCAGCAGGCAAGGTGGATTGTGTCGTGGCCAAGGACACAACAGCAACACTCTGAAGGGAGCCAGAATAGATCCTACAACCCTCCGATTACAGGCCAACTCGCTCTCCCTCTTGAGCTTCTAACCCCCCCCCCCCCCCCCCCCCCCACACACACACACACACACACTTTAGAATCCAATAACAAATTGTTTTTTGTTTTTAAACGTGTAGTGGAAGCATGTAATAAGCTTCGTATGAAAGAGGATGCACATACACAGTATATGGTGTTCTGTAAAAATAATTTGGCCCTCTGTATCCAGTTTTAGTCATCCTGATTCCCTTCAGACAGACTAGTCTTTTAATTTTTTATCCAGTTTATTTCTTCCTCTTCCTCACACTGTCAGTGTGTGACCCACACACAATCATTGCTTCGTGTGAATTTGCATCAAAGGCTCAGCTGGCCTCGTGCATGCTTGTGTGTGAAATACGTCATCAAACCTTGGAATCAAGAAGTCAGCCAGGGTCTCTTGAGTCTTAACCTTTCAACTCATGAGGCCTAGTCTGCCAGGGGCTTAACCCCAGAAGCTGATAGAGGTCTTCTATAAAAAAAAATCTTCTTAGCTTGTTGCATCCTGTTTGATATTGTGATGGCCTCGACAATGTCTACCAAAAAACTGAATTCTGACATTGTGCAGAAGTACAAAGTGTAATTTTACATAATCAGAGCAATTTAGACCTGTTATATTCAAAAATGACATTTGAATGGCCAGCTGTAAGTACTCTTCTCATGAATGTATTTAGTAAAATTAGTTGTGATGTGCCACCATGTACACATTCACCATTGTTTCCATAAGTCATTTAGAACTGAGAGATGTTGGCTGTAAGTGGTGCTTACTGGGTCCCTCTGGAGGTTTCTTCCTGTTAAAAGAGTGTTTTCTTCTCCACTATTGCTACATGCTTGCTTAATATGAGGATTGCTGTAAAGTCTCTAACACAAGTCAGTCTGCTGGGTTCCTTATGAAGTAAACTTAACTCCATCCATTTTCAGCCTCTTATCTGGGGTCGGGTTGCAGGGGCAGTAGCCTAAGCAGAGAGGCCCAGACACCCCTTTAACCAGCCACTTGGGCCAGCTACTTTGGGGGAATACCAAGGTGTTCCCTGGCCAGCCAAGAGACATAGTCCCTCCAGCGTGTCCTGGGTCTTCCTGAAGGTCTCCCCCTGGTTGGATGAGCCCAGAAAACCTCACCAGGGAGGCATCCTCAACTGGCTCCTCTCGATGTTGAGGAGCAGCGGATCTACTCTGAGCTCCTTCTGGATAACCAAACTTCTCACCCTATCTGTAACAGACAGCCCAAACACCCTGTGTATTAAACTCATTTGGGTCGCTTGTATACGCGATCTCATTCTTTTGGTCAATACCCAAAGCTCGTGACCATAGATGATGGTAGAAACCTTGAACGGTAAATCCAGAGTTTTGCCTTTCAGCTCAGCTCTCTCCTCACCATGGCAGATCGGTACAATGCCCGCAGTAGCACCAATCCGCCTATCGATCACACTCTATCTTTCCCTCACTCGTGAACAAGACCCCAAGATATTTAGGGCAGGACTTCGTCCCTGACCTGGAGAAAGCATTCTACCCTTTTCCGATTAAACTTTTAACTAACTGACTTAATGAACTAAACTCAATTGGAATATTTTATTTTGTGAAGTGCCTTCAGACGGTTCTCCTAGTGATTTGGTACTTTATAAACTGAACTGCTTGGCAACTTCAGGCAGGAACACTTAAGTACATTTATGGCTGAATTAGCTCAGGGGGCACAACAAAAAAACCATTGTTTTTTAGAAATTCTAGTCTGGCGATCTCAAAATTACTAAGACCCAGGGAATGATCCTTTTCTCTTTCTTTCTGGGATTTTGTTTACAGGGGAGACTCTTGGCATTCCTGACACCGTTATGGGACTGACTTTGCTTGCTGCTGGAACAAGTATACCTGACACTGTAGCCAGTGTGATAGTGGCTAGAGAAGGTAACATCAGTTACTTACGTGGTGGCTCTGTAAAATACCAACATTCCAGCTCACTCTAATTAAAGTTCTGTTGTGTGCAAACTGCATAATAACAAGCTGTGATGTCATTTTAACAGGGAAGGCTGACATGGCCATGTCCAATGTTGTGGGCTCGAATGTGTTTGACATGCTGTGCCTAAGTCTGCCCTGGTTCATAAAGACCGCCTTCGTGGACACCAACACACCAGTAGAAGTTAACAGTACCGGACTGGTCTTCACTTCCTCTACACTACTCCTTTCAATCGTCTTCCTGTTCGTAGCCGTGCACATCAACGGATGGAAGCTGGACTGGAAGCTGGGACTCATTTCCTTATTTTGCTACATCCTCTTCGCCACTCTGTCCATCCTGTATGAGTTGGGGATTATAGGGAATAATCCAGTGAGATTGTGCAGTGACTGAAATGTGAACTTCTCAGAACTGATTAAACTGTCTAAACACCAAACAAAAATTTTAAACCTTGAATTACAAATGTCAGAGATGTGGCTCCCTTCACAGAATACACCAGTGTGTGTGCTGGTCACATGTGTAAACACAATTAAACTTCAGCACTACAGATTTGTTTACAGCCCATGAAAACATCTTGTGGAAACTTATCACATATTCTGAAAAGATAAGTGAAACTTTTCTGTTTCAGTAAGATGTGTGAAGCAAACATCTACCTGATGTTATATGAGCAGGGAGGAGAAGGCCATTTCCAGTAAAAACTTTGCACCTATTCTGTAACCAAAACCCTAATCTCTAGCTGGTTTCTGTTACGTTTACAGCTAACTCTGCAAAACGTACATTATTCAGCAATTAAAATCAAAATTCCCTTCCTTCCTGACAACAAAAACTACAAGCTGGTAGCTCTGGACCCAACAATATTAAATGTATGTCAACAGCTTTAAGCTTAGAAAAGATCACAAGCACAAAGTTTTAAAAATTAAAAAGTTTATTTGTTCAAATAAACTGAAATTAAAAAGAGGGTTGAAAAACAGACAAAATGGTATTGTAGTATACATAAAAGAAAAAGGACACACATAAGGAGATAAACTGTGTTTTTAAAACAAAACAAAACAACAGAATCATTGGAAAGGGGTCTGAATGTGTGAGTGTTTGACAGTAACGACTACAAAATCTCTAAGCATTGCGATCAAGGCGGACGTCCACCTCTCGGCCATTGATCTTGGTTCCGTTCATCATCCTGCAGGCCTTCTCGGCACTCTCCGGGCAATCGAATCTCACTGTTCCACATCCCTTTGACTTTCCATTCTCCATTTTAATTTCTGCGTACATTACTGGACCTGCAAGAAAGAATGAGTAATGATTACATTCTGATTTAGAAACTGTTGTTAAAGTTAAGCCAGTAATTCTGAACCATTAGTTCACAGCTCAGTCACAATGCTGTGCCAAATGTTTTAGCAGCTTTTTAATTAGACAATAAAAGATGGAATTCAATCTGCAACGTCCAGACAAAAACTTAAATAATACTAATCTTACCACAAACACCAAACTTCTCCTTTAACTTTTGCCATGTCAGGTCATAGGACAGCTGCAAAATAAAAATAATCTGTCAGATGGTTTTTCAAAGTTGAAATTCAGTTAAAGCCAGTGCCATAAATTATATAATTATATCCCCAAAATGTATTAAGATCTGGGGAATTTAAACAATGAGGTCTAGTCACTAAAGTCTAATTAACCTCTAATCCCACATTTTAGCAGGCTTTGTATACTATAAGCATCTGACCCACACTTACATTTCTCACAAATATTTGACAGCCTCCTTTGGAGCCAGAACCTCGGTCAGACAGGCCTCCACCCATGTGGCCGCCACCCCCAAAAGCACCAAAAGCACGGTTCAAGTCCATTGCTGACATGCCCAAACGGTCAAAGCCGGAGCCCATTCTGTCCAGCGACATGCTGCCTGCAGAGAAAACATCCACAAAGGGAAGAGTGGCACCAAATTAAAGAGTAGATGTGCAACTAACAATAAAACAAAACACCTCAATGGTTTTCTACCAACTCATTTTTTATGAAGTTGGATTTATGACTTGATACCATTGGGTGACATGAAGCCATTTTCTAATTGAAATGAAAATGTTTCAGTACCTAAGCCAGTGCCCATGGGTCCCATGCCACCGCTGCTCATGCCTCCACCAAAACCACCACCTGCAAGACCAAAAACAAGTTGGGGCAGATTTTAAATAATCACAATTTTAAATGTCATCATGCACACGTACTAAAACATCTCAACAAACACCAGCTTGTGTTAAAAATACAAAGGCAGTTTTTTTTTCTAAAATCAGATCATCACCTACCCATTCCTCCAAAAGAGTCCGGAAATCTGTTCAACGACATGTCGTTGTGGCCAAAGTCACGATCCATTCCACCCATTCCCGACCGAAACATTTCTAAACACACATTATAAGATAAACCTAGAAAGCTGCATTATATTACTTACAAGCCAAAAAACTACCAACTGACAATCACTTCTGTGTGAAGTGACTGAGAACTCTCACTCACCTCCCATCCTTCCAACTGAGGTCATATCTCTGCCACCAAAGCCGCCCATATTGCCCATGCCTCCAAAGCCTCCACCACTGTTCATTCCTCCACTGAGTCTGTTCATCCCACCATAACTTGAAGCATCCATACCTGCAGCAATGGGAACAAGGTGGTTTTAAAGCACAGGAGGAATTTTAGCTACAAGCCCTTTACTCTGGTGATGCAAAACCTCTAAAGGTGCCCAGATGGTTCTCTGTGTAGCTGCAGAGACCAAACATGAACAATAATGTTTATTTATTTGGCAGACGCTTTTATCCAAAGCGACTTACAATTTATAACCTACAGGGCATGTTGTGATCTGTGGGGGAAACCGGAGTACCCGGAGGAAACCCACGCATGCATGGGGAGAACACGCAACTCCACGCAGAAAGGCCTCAGCCAAGTTTCGAACCTGCGACCTTCGTGCTGCGAACCACTGCGCCACCATGCAGCCCAATGGTGCGTTCGATTTGTCCTTGGAAGTCGGAAATCTTTAGCCTGGCCTGCCAGACTCGACCTCTGTTTAATTATCCACAGAGAACGAGTCTGGTTACTCACAGGCAGAGGAACTTGAGGGGCAGGACTAGGCAGCTCAAAAATAAGCAATCAGAAAAAAGACGGAAACGCCGGCTGTACCGCGCGGCACTGTAGTTTTTTAGCTGTAGTCAAAAATGGCGTCTGGCGACAGAGCAAACGGCTTTTTTTTTTTTAAGAAGAAGAAAGGCTTTTAGCGCTTCCACTTGTTCTTTTAAAGACATTCAAGTCATTTAGAACAGAGGAAAGAGATGGAGAGAACTCCGCTTCAGTCGCCGATTATGACAAACTCGGCGTTGTGGTGTGTGACGCACGCTACTCAGCACTGATTGGCTTGGTTAGAATTCTCAGGGGGTGGGGTTATTTGAATAAGAGTTTTTCCAGACCCTTTCTCTGTGCAGAATTAAACAGAGGAGGAGTCTGGCAGGCCAGGCTTGGAAATCCTGACTTCCAAATAAGAAAAAAATCTAATGATTCCTCCTCATATTTCATATCTATTGGCATGAATCTGCTAACCAACTAAGAAGCCTGCAGCATCTTTTAAACACAAGTTACTAAATAAAAAATATGAGCGGCAGCTGACCTCCAGCTCCCCCAGAGCCCATCCCTCCACCACTCAGATGGTTAGCATTGATAGGCTGCCCTCCTGGCCCAAGGCCCATGCCTATACCTCCAAGACCTCCTACAAGAAACAAAAAGAAAAAAATGTACCTTTATTATGCCAATACATTGAATTATAAAACAATTATTTTGCAGAAAACAAAACAAAACGTACTACTATGGGGGACTAAGTTGTGTGTGGTTAAACAGGTGAGGATTTTATTACATCAAGTCAAACATGACTTTTTTCAGCATTTCTGACAGAAATCACTCACAGAAAATGAAATGGAATATTTCACATTATATGGTGCTCAAAGTGTGGGTATTGAGTTAATCTCAGGATTACTTAAAGGGGCATTATGGAAGTTTGACAGCCAAAACATGTATAGAAATAATACATTTCTTCTTCATACATTCTCCTGCAATGCCCTGGTCCTGTAGAATGAGTCCTGGCATTTTTACTGTGATTGCCTGTTTTTCTGTAAAATCACAGAAAAAGAGAGCTGCTCGGGTCGAGCAGGCTGCTTCATGCGCGTTCACGCTCAGGCATAGCCCTCCAAACCATTACTTGAACGTTGTTTCAGCTGTCATCAAGGACATAAATGTTACAGATACAAAATACGTCACTGGCGCTTTTTCTAGTAAGACATCGGACTTTCATGCAGAAGACTCAGGTTCGATTCTGGATGAGAATACAGTTGTTTTAGTTTCTTTTTTACATTAATGGTATATTTTTTTACAGTAAGATGCCCAAATTTTTATTTGAGACTCGCCGAACGGCATTGAATTCACAGATAAAAAAGATGTGGGTTCAACTTTCATTTTGGAACAATTTTTCAAGCAAGGGAAGGGAGATCTGAGCATGCAGGAGGACTGACCCATCATAAACCTTTGTCAGTTGTGCTGAAGAGAAAGGTACAGAACCAAATTATTTAATTAATTAGCTGCACGTTCTCCTGTCCTCCGGGCCACACACGCACGCACACACACACAAGGGACTGTCTCAGTTGTTATTTTCGTTACGGAGTGTGCACGTACAGCATGCGCACCTCGTGCACGAGCCTACTATTGAAGCTGCTGTTACACTTTTGGCCTGAGGGGGGCAATCGCGAGCATAAAAATTCAAAACTCCGTAAAGTCCCTTTAAATAAATGTCTAAAATTTAGTTTTTAAAGGGATGTTCCACCCAAAATTGAAATTGTCTATTGACAAACTTTGCAGTTAGAAAAGTGGAAAAAAAAAAAACCCCAACATTTAACCAACCCAGTCATTCTCCTGACCCGGCTGTGCTACTTTCGCTTTAGCTTAGCATAAAACACAACAAGTGAATGGATCCAACTAGCATTGTGAGTAAAAAAGTCCTTAAAATCACTCAGTAGTGATCCCAATTCTGCTGTCAGCTTAAAAAACTTTAATGCAACACACGCAACCTCCAATCTTTCCTGCAAAAATATGATGTGTATTTTTTCCCTCTTGCTGTCATTGTGTGCTTTTTATGCCGGTTCACTAACAATCAGGGTTCTTACACTTTTCCTACTGACAAATTCAAGCACTTTTCAAGCAATTTCAAGGTAAAATTTCAAACCTTTCAAGCACCGCATGGCAAAGATAAAACAATAAGAGGACAGTTTGCCCTCACATTTATTAGTTATTAATAGGGATGATTCTATCAGATCGTAGGATCAAAAATAGTGCCCGATCACCTGATTTTAAATTTTTGGAAACAGGTGAAAAAGACAGGATATAACCTTACGAAGCAACTAGAATGACCTTTAAATTTATCCTGAGACAGAGCTCTTCAAACAAAATGACAATGGCTTAGTTTTAATTCTAACCTGTCTACTTTGACCCCCAAATTCCACTACCTCCGCTCCGCTCCGCTGCGGTCCGCCCCCGCCTTCCGCAGCCGCTCGCTTCCGAACTCAATTTTTACTGGTACGCGCTCTACAACGGCTCCGCTCCGGTGCGGAGACCTGAGGTGGGCAAACAAGCATGCGTGGGATTTTCAAGATCTTGCGATACAGTCTGAGCAATAAACACGGAAGTTAGATCCAAACACCCATTGTGTGGGAGAAGCATCGGCATGAACTGTTTAATCTGCCCATCATTTGTGTTGAGACATCAGCAGTGTTTGGATCAACAAAGTGTGACTACTTTGATAGCGGAAACTGTATTTATGGCTTACTTTTGTGCATTTAAAGTTCAGCCGCCATTGATAGTTGTTAAAAGTTGTTAAACCTGTGCATATGAAACAAAAAACGCTTTTTGTTATCGATTTATTGTGAAAAACGGAAGTTGTGCTTGCTCCTTTTTCTGTTGGGCCGTTGTGATTTCTGTCCATTTAATGCGGAGGTGCTCCGGCGTCCGGCAAAAATAGGATCGATTCTATTTTTGCCGGACGCCGGAACAGAGGGCGGCGCACGGCGCCGCACTGCCGGAGCACGGCCGCAGTAGTGGAATTGCTCTGATTGAGTACAACGGGACCGATTTTGCTCCGGCGTTCGTGTCGGAGCGGAGCGGAGGTAGTGGAATTTGGGGGTTAGTTCTAGTCTGCCACCTAAAACCAAAGACAGACTAAAGAAATACACTATAAAACAAACACAAAGTGCCTACGAACAGAGAAACCAGGACCAAGATGATAAGTGACCCACAAAAACTGAGTAATGCGTTGATGATGCAACATATTTTAATTTTGACTGAAAACAATATGTACAACGGTACATATTGCCAGCTTAATTCAAACCTTCTAATTTTCAAATAACATGACTGAACTGTCTGTAAAACACAATGTGTAAACGGTCGGCTACTTTTGTGATGACAAAAATCAAATAAAATAAATTTTAAAACACTTAACAAAATAACTATTTCAGAGCATTGTAGTTTTTAAAATGGCATAAATGCCATTTTTATTTCTACAGACTCATCCTCATCATCCTCACTATCCTGACTGGCTTCCTCCGGTTCACACACAGCAGAGGACAACTTTCTGATGTTCTCTGATGTTAGTATGTTTATCAAACGCTGGATGATTGAAGTTTTTAGTGACTATGTAAAAGGCGCTGTTTTTGTCTGCCAGGGTGGGATTTTCACGGCATAATCTGCACCACATCTTTGTGCGTTCATCGTTTGTTTAAACCCAGCTGACCTCCTGCAGCCATTTCTCCGCGAATACTCTTTTCTTTTGTGGTTCCGACTCAGTCTGACGTTTTTTTGGAGGCGGAGAAACACCAAAATAATTACTTAATGGAGCTTGCTTCTTGGACATCTTTAAAATGCTCCAGAAATGTCTTCCTTTCTCCACAAAATCTTAGGTGCGCAAATGCATGCTGCAGCTTTTTTTCAGGTGCGCATTGTTTATTTCGACAGCGCATGCACACCTGCAGACCACTTATGTGCACACCTGCTTATTACACAACACAGCCACACCAGGGTTTCAGCTATGTGTATTTTGCCGTGGCGTGCCGCCACACTTTCAGAAGGATAAAAAAAGATTTTTTTTAATTAAAACTACGTACCTTCAGAATACATTTTTGGGATATACATTAAAACCATGTAAATACGAGAGACAAATATAGTTTATATTTGTGCATGTATACTAACCATAATGAGTTTAAAATGAATTTAAATTTAACAAAATTTTAAAATGTATTTTACTTTGAAAAACCAGTACTGCCGTTTTTTTCACGTCTGTGAAGGAGCCGGTGTCTGTGCGGTGCGCTGCTCTCATGAGTAATGCCCGAATCACACTGTGCGATTTTTGGCTGTCACACAGGATTGTTCATGTCACACAGTGAGAACTCCAGAAAGGTGACACACTGTACGACAAGATTTCAGTGAGGTAGACTGCACGATGCCTCTGTCCAGCAGGACACGCTGCATCATGAATGCACCTCCCGGAGCATACGTCACTAAGCAGACCGCTAACCAAAACAAAGCTGAAAAAATAAAAACACCTAGTTTTAGTGTCAGTTCATGACCCAGCTCATCTCCCTCAATGAGGAAGCTTTGTTTTTAAAACCCTCGTTTTGGCGTCAGACTCTGGCTGCAGGTCTCCTTTTCCCATCTTCCAGCTAAACAGCTGAGCTGTCAGCTGGTCATTCATCCTCCTCCTCCTTTATACACAAGAACCCACTAAACTACAGAAAAGTAACAATCTGTCACAGGTCGCTGCAATATTTAAAGTTTTGCCGTGAATTCTGTCTCACTGCTCCGCACCGTATGACAGCTCACACCCGCTGTCACACGCAGCTTCCTCTGTCCGTCTGCAGCAGGAAGAAGGCACTTTTAGTTCAGACCTGTGAAAATGAGCTCAATGTTAAAAGGAACTCCGACTATGAGGATGTGTACGCCCTAATAAGCCACAAGTTTTCTGTTGCACCAAACTGTGTTGTTAGAAACACACAAAATATTGCTGTTTATTTATAAATCTATAATATTTAGTACATTTTTGGACATACGTAGGACGCCATGTTTTCCGCACGCAATGCACTCTGTGGGTGATGACGTATATTGGATGCACTTGGAAGAATAGCTAGTGAAGCTAGTGTTTGTTTACGCGCTCACCGTATTAATAATGATGTAAAATGCCGCATTTTGCTGCTTTTGGATGTAATTTCCAGTCAAAGAGCAACACGGGTAGTGCTGTGAGTCTACACAGCTTTCCCACTGGCAAGAAGAGCAGAAAGCAGTGGGAAGATGCCTGTGGACGGACACAACTTCCAAAAGATTGTGTGATCGACTGTGTTCCTGACATTTTTCTCCTGATGTGTTTGAGGCTTATAGTTGACCACAACAACTTAAAGAGCTCATCAAAGTGGCTGGGTATAAGAGAAGGCGTAAACTAAATGCTTTACTGATCATTTTCCCACACAAGGAGCCTAAACGCCCTCGGAGAGACAAGAGACACTGGACGCTCTCCTGAGCCGACAACCTGCTCCTGCAGCTGCTGCTTCTGTCATGTTGGGTGAACCATCGGACATGCCACTCGTCACGGATGAAGCTGAACATTCACCTCTCCCGTCAGTATAACAAGCAGTAAGTGTAGCAATACAGTGTTCGCTAAATATATAATATCTGCAAAATAATTAAAGTCATTTTACTGAATAGCCTAATCATCTATAAAGCAAACGACAGCTCTGGATAATAAAATTCTCCAAAATCATTCATAATTGAATAAGTTTGATCACACGATAGTTTACCGTTAACTTCTGCTGACAAAAATGTGAGCACTCTCCCTCTCGGTTACCATGGGAGACACATTTGCCACACACGCACCACCGGTTTTGTCCTGCTTTCGCTTCACCCTGCCCTTCTTGCTCTTCCTCCTCCCACCCCCATAAATCTGCGTGTCCTACAGCACTCCCGAAGGACAACAGACATCAATACCACAAAAAAGTCTAACGTGTTTTCATTTTTAGCATATTCTTGGGTCAGATGTGTTGCTACCAGACGTACAGTGTTAGCAGTCAGGTCGCACCCCAGAACTGGGTCGTACCGTGTGAGCACATGACTCGTAAGATTTGCTCTGCGGGGAAGTCGTACAGATTGAGCTGAAGCTGAACGCTACGAGAGAAAACGCAGCAGTGTCCGTCCGGCTTAAGGTCAAGTTCTGCTCCTGCTTTTGCATCACTGAAATATTTGATTTCAACCCTCACTCCATCTGCAAACCTATTAATTGATAATAAATTTTAATTATATACTTTATTAAAAAATTGGTTTTCGTGCATTGTATTTCTGCTAGTAAATACAAAACTGTTGAAATATTTATTTTATTTATGACTAGTGATAATACAATCTGGACTAGGATCAATTAAAACCGAAATTACAAGCAGGTGTGGTCGTTGATTAAATGTTGAAATGGCTTACCCATGCTTTGGCTCCCAAACAGATGCCCTGAACGACGAAGTGCTTCATTTAATTACTGGTGTTTCCATGTAGTGACACTAATCTGAACACAGGACTCATTAAGCTCTGGTGCCGTTTACTTTCACAGGATGCAGCCAAAACTTAGATTTTTTTTCAGTATTTTATTAATTTGCGAACTTCGGGATGTTTCGTAAACAAAGTTTGTGATTGAGAAAGCAGCCTTCGTCTGACGTGAACCGCAGCAGCAGGAAGAACGGAGCTTGCGAGTGTAGCCAGAGCACACCGCCGGTCCAGCAGCTGAACCCTATATTAGGAGGAGTCTGATGCTCACACACTGGTGTTACAGAAAGGAGTGGACCCCTTGGAACAGCCAGAACCATGTTTATTAAAAGCTAAATGATCGCTCTCTAGTTTTTGTTGTTAAAGATAACCAATGTAGTGTTTTCATCAATCTATCTTGGCTCATCATAAAAACAAAACTGTGCAGTTTGTTTTTCAAGCATTTTCAAGGACTTAATACAGAAATCAAGCACTTTCCATACCTTGAAAACACGTTATTAAAATTCAAACATTTTCAATAATTTCAAGCACCTGTACAAACTCTGTCCCAAGTCTAAAATGGTGTTTGTGATTCCTTTATGTTACTAATTATTTTCACTAGCAGTCGGAATGATTTAGGTCACCAAGCATAAGAGTGATCACTACTCACTGATTTTAAGAACGTTTTTACTCACAATGCTAGTTGGATCCATTCACTTACTGTGTTTTATGCTAAACTAAAGGAGTACAACAGAGTCAGGAGAATAACTGTGCTAGTTAAAATAGTTTTTCCCCACTTATCTAACTCTGGAAAATATGTCAACACAACATTTTGGGTGAAATATCCCATTAAATATCTATGAAATAACTTGCAAACTGAACAGCCAACACTTCTGTAAAGACCCAACGAGTAAAAACATTTGTTCACAGCTGAAGTTTCTCTTAAATGTGTCAGTATGTCCTCACAGGAAGTCAAAACACTGCCGAGGTCGCCACTATGAGCAACAATAAGCTGACATTTCACTCACGTGGTAACTGAGGAGTTTTGTCAACTTGACGAAAATCTTCAAGAGGAAAAGACTTTTCATCCTGTAAGATCACACGACAAATAATTTAACTCATTTTCACATCTTCTGTGCAACTTCAAAATTAGTCATCAACTTAAAATGACTTACAATTTTAACATGCATCTGGCGATCAAACAGCATCTGTCCGTTAAACATGGCTGAGTTGAGAGTCAAGGATAAATCCAAACAAATTAAATAAATTACAATTTTCTCTTTTTCATGTTTATGCTCATTTTCAAAAGGATACATATGGCCTGTACAGCCTCAAGAGGCTGCTCAAAAGTCACAGTTCCCATCCCACGGCTCTTGCCATCTTTATCCTCTTTAACATCTGCTCGTTTCACCACACCTGCGATGCTAAACACCTCTTTCAACTTCTTCCAACCCACCTTGAAGTCCAGCTGAAAGAATTTGGACATATTTAATCACAGTAACCAACCATAAGTAGCCACACTGAGCTACAGCCACTTTCTTACATTCGCCACAAACACTGTGTTGCCCAGTCGTCCAGACTGCAGTGCAAGGATGATGTCAGGTGGTATGTTGGGGTTGTTGGCAATGGATTGTGGGAGGTTCATCCCACCTGGTCCGATGTCCTGCCCACGGCCTCCCTGCTGACCCCCTCCTATGCGCTGCAGAGCACGCCGAGCAATTTCCCCATCAGGGTCCTTAAATAAATAAAAACGTTTTAAATGATCATGTGTCAAACTAAGAAATAGTCTGATAAAACTGTTCTTGTGAACCATAGATTCATGTTGGTTCATCTGGTGAAATGTAAAAAATACCTCCAACTAAAAACCACATCCTTCCATCTAAAAATGCATGAATGCAATAAAAATAGCTCATAAAACAATTACCAGGAATATTCTATTTTCCACAATAACAGATTTAAATTAGTTCATTTAATAACTGTAAATATCTGTTTGTTACATGCATTTAATGCAATAATAATAAAAAAACACAAAACCAAATAAAAATCTGATACATTTGACTCAAGTCTGTTTTTTAATGTTTTCATTCTCACCTCCTTGATGTTGAGCGGCCTTCCATTCAATTCCTGTTTGCTCATAGTCGACACTGCTTTTTTCACAAACTCTTCATCCCCAAATTCCACCACACTTTTAGACGAGAAGACAAAAGTCAGCAAATTGTTGTGGGAAATTGCGATTATGGGTAAAAAAAAATAATAATAAAGTTATACTGGAGAAAAATTACTTGATTCTTACCCACAACCCTGATCAGAGAAGCATCAGGAGAATCCAGGTGACCCACAAGAGGTAAACAAAATACATTTATTATAACAACAATAAAAGTGGGACATTAAATCTCATTTCTCAGTAGATTTTTAGGTTTAAAAGTACAAATTGGCCCAACTATACCCACTGGCTTGAGCCAGGAGGTTTTTGGTTGTGTTTATAAAAACATGATCAAACAGTTAACAAAAAACAAATGGTTACATTTCTCTATGTTTGAAAAGCAATATTAATAAGAGTAAATACAAAACATTTAAAAGCTCAAAAGAAAAAAAATAGACATTCCTTCTAGGAACTTGTGATTTTACCTGAACATTTAAAAGGTCTTCACCAAGACCACAGTTACAGTGGTGGGGTTACAATACCATCCGTTTCAAACTTTTAAATCTGCATGTGAGTAATTTATTATCAGACAGAAAAAACAAACACTACTGGTTCTTTTAAAGCAGTTTTGCTCCACTGGAGAGAAAGAAGAGCCATATAAAAGAATTGAAAATATATATATTTGGAGACATGAAGGTCAATCAATAGGATAAAAATCTCACAACCCACAGTTCCGATTGGAAAATGGCCAAACAAACATTTAGACCAATTAATATAAACAACAACAAAAGCAAATATGTACTCTTACAAGTTCTTTAGGCTACATTTCCCAATAAATCAACAGGACATCTCCCTTTCAAATGAATGTCAATAGTTATCCATCTATCAGGCTCTAATCACAACCTACAGTATCTCCAGTTCAGTAGAGCCAATAGTTCAGAGCCTAAAAGAGCACATGATTAATGAGATACTGCGGAGGGCATTTAAAACCTCGTGCAGCAAGTTGACCACAACACTTACCCTTGACTTTCCTTCTGCATCCTTAAAGAGCTCCACGTATGTAACCTCACCAACTACATGAGACATACAAAGGGAAAATACCAAAAGAACAAAGGAATTTAAGTCACCCAGTCTTCAAGTCGCCGCTGGCCTTGGCAATGCCTCTACGGCTGGAGATGTCCCATAAATGATCAACAGTCAGCCCAGACCAACATCCCACCAGACAACACCATGCCTTGCTGGGCAGTGACTGAGACACCCAAAGGCCAAGGCCAGAGAGAAACACAGCTATAATCAACCTGGGAATTCAAAAGACTTCAACATGATCAGTTGGTCAACAAATTCCATTCATTGCAGTAAAGTTTCAAACTGTCCTTCGAGCCCAAAAGGCTTCTTAAGATCCCACCTACTGAAGAAAGTAAAACATTTTGTTTTCATTCATAGTTGCACATCACCTTGAAGCAAATGCTAGAGAAACAGTCAGCAATCGATTCTACAACTAGCTTGAGGTTACGTTTTGGAGCGGACTATGCCAAAACACAAGTGACAGTTTAACCAAATTCATCCTCCTTTTCTCACATACATTTCAGCCCAGACTGAATTAGTTTTCCATCCAAACTAATAAATAGACTAAAACACCAAATAAATAAATTAAAAAAGAACAAGAAATAGAGAAAGGAAAACACGTTGAAAATGTGCAACACTTGAAAATGCCTTTTGATTTGCCTTAAGTACCACTAGAAAACAAGTAAGTCAAACTAACGGACTAGTGCCAGAAGCAGGAAGCTCCATCTGGTAAACAAAGAACAAGAACGGCTAATGAAACAAGGAGACACCAACCAAGGCGTTGGAGACGTTACCTTTCTCACGCATTAGATCTTTAATGGCCTGCCACTTCATGTCATACGGGATGTTGCTGATGAACACTCGGTTCCTATACGTGTTCTTCCTATCTGCACCATACTTTTCTTTGTAGGGATGAAAGCGGTTTCCTTTTCTGATGCCAGAGAACTTGTCTTTCCCATCATGCTTTTCTTTGGTTTCTTTACCATCATCATTCTCCCTGAACAGAGCAAACAATCACCAATTTACAGATCTCATTATTACAAGAACAGTATAAGAAATTGTTAAATGTGAGCATGGTTTATTTTTGCATAAACACTGTTCCTTTACAATTAACAGTAGTTTTCTTGGTTCAAAAATATTTTTGGACTCCAATGGTACTCAGCAAATTTCGCCTAATACACCTGTTTTGTTTAAGAGATTATTTACACATCCCAATTATGAAAACAAACCTGAGACAGAAGCCTAGCCATTGGATTTAAGGTCAATATATTTGATATTTTACTTATTAATAAATGATGATACATTATTAAGCTTTAGATTAAAAATGAGAGTAAATTCAAAGTTTAAACTATTCCAGCTAAAATATGTGATATCAACATGTAACAAATTAGATCTCTTAATTTGAAACTTCATAGAATGGGAAAAATGCATTTTTAACTTAACAAAAGGATGTTAGTAAAGTAAAATTATGTAGAGGTCAATTAGAAGTGACATGGAAAAAGACACCTAATTGTATATGTATTTTGCAGTTCGTTTCAAGGACAAAACTGAACTGCAAATGCTCTTTTAGCTCTGCAGTATATGTTCTTATTACAATTAATATGGCGTCGTGGTGCCATTAGCAGCTAACTCATTTATGTTCGTGGAACGACACACCTCGAGCTTTAACTCACAACTATGGTCTCTATAATTGCAATTAACACTGAAGACTTAATATGCTAATTTAACTGACCAATTGAATTATTTTCGTTACCGATTTATCAGCTACTAGAAGCACAAAAATTAGCTCAGCTTGACTATAACACGATCCCAAAATTCGTCTCCACTTTAGTATTAACAAATAAACATGACCGCGGATTAGGCATAAATACTACCGTAACACAACTTGAGCTGCATTACGTAGAAACGTAGAGGTGCTTTGTGTCACAGAAATTAAATTCTTAGCTAACAATAGTTAGCTTCAGAGGACTCCATTTTAGCTAGCTTGGTTAGCTGCACCACGGACGCGACCCTCACTGCTACTCACGTTTTTACACCGTTGGGTGTTTCTTGAGAATTCTCGTCAGTTTCGGACCGAATGGTTTCAGGATTTTCCTCTTGTTTTTGCTCCTCTTCGGGAATAGAAACGTCTGCCATGCTGAGATTAGTATTTCACACACACATACACTCCCCAAAATGCTTCTACGCAGTCAAAGAACGGGCCGCCTGGCTTTGTTCTTCTTCTTCTCGGTTAATTTCAGTAGCGGCAGGGAACGCGAGTGTAAGATAGTTTACTGCCATCTACTGCTCTGGAGTGGGAAAACCAGCACTAATTAAAGCCTTACGTACTTTTTAACGGGAGTGTGCACAGAAAAATGGGTACGAATCAAAATTATATTTGTGTAAAATTTAAACGTGATGGTTGTGTGGGTCAAAATGCTAAACCCAGCTGGCTACAGTGCTACAAACTTTTTATTGTGATTGAGGAGGGAAATGACGTCCTCCAGTGGCGACAATCTGGAACTAAACTCTGGTTGGTTACTATCATAGACTGTACATACAAGTGGCAGGTTACTATCTACTATCGTGAGATTGATTGATTTAGTTTGCATGGTGTACAACTGAGGAATAGGGTTAGGGAAACGTTTTGCAGAGAAAAAGAAAAATGATATTAAAGAAGATAAAAAATTTCAGAGGCAAAATAGATGCTGTAATCTCAGTTCACTACGTAAAAACCCCACAATGATAATGAACTGTGGGCAAAATATATAAAAGAAATTGATAAACTGTATAAAAAATAATATATATATATATAAATATATATATATCTATATCTATATATATATATATATATATAGTTATATATTATAAATAGTTATATATTATAGTTATATATATAGTTATATATTATAAATAGTTAGTCTTCTAACCAACCTCCGTTATTGCTGTTATTGTGTTACTTTGCGATTTTACCTGTTAACACCATCGACATATAAAAACTGGACAGCAACTCTTCTCAAAATGCTGCTGGAAACCAGAGTGTTGTTCTGTTTGGTGCCAGTGGATGGCGCAAATTCCCCATTTTTTCAAGGCAGTTGTGCATCACTTTTGGAAGAATTTAGAGGAAGTGTTTCTAGTATAGCTCTTATAAATAGTTTCTTCATATCTTTCTTCTTCTCAATATTCCCAAGAGGACAACAAGAAAGATTGAGAGTTTTTTTAGTTACCTTCATTAAGATAAGGAGGCTAAAATGTTATCTTCTAAATGGCTAAAAGTAACAAATATGTAGTACCAGCTTTCAGCCAGTAGAAAGCAGCAACTCCCAATCCTCCCTTCTTTTCCAACCATTGTTGGAACCAGAGTGTTCTGTTATTTTTTATTTTTTTTGCCAGAGGAGGACAAGTGTTGCACGTTTTCAACGTGTCAGCGTCAGAAGCTGGAATTTTTCTAACCGGTCTCTTGTGGTTCTCAGTATCATTCAGACTCCAGCACTTTGAAAAAGTAACGTTCAATTGCCTACAGTTCAACAATAAGACATGTTCAAGTAGAACTTTTATAATAGTCTCTTATATAATTAGATATACGGTTTAATCCATTTCCAGAAAACTGTGGAGTTTTTTTAATTTACATTTTACTGCACTCTACTTTGCATAAAATAGAAGATTAGTGTAGGGGGAGCTGTCTAGTGCACCTTAGGAACATTCTCAAAGTATTTCTGCACTACAGGAACAAATACGTTGACAACAGATTCTTGTCTTTCAGTGACTGCATTTTTCAGGTGTACATACCTTCCTTTATTTAGTAATATTACACATCACAATATTATTTTTATCTATCTGCTTTTAATTCCAGGCAGTGATTTAAGCAACAGAACCCGTAAGCCATTAAGTCTACAATATCCCAAAAAGCTCACTCACAGTGTCAGACTAAATACCTTGTCTTATTGATTATAATACGGCGCCAAGCCTATTCATCACTCCTGAAACTATTGATCGTGCACTTTTTCCTCCACTAAAGAAATTATTTCAGTTTCTAGTCTGCTTTAATGTGTGCGGAGAATCTGCTCAGCAAGTCTGAAAAGATTACACTCGTAAAAATGTCTTTAGCTTGAATTTTACAACCCATTAAAAAAACTTTAGCTATTTGTTAAAAGTAGAAGACCCCATAATGACTGTGTTCCAACTGCAGCATCAGTGCTTTTATAAAAGTGTCAACAGCATGTCAGTTTAACATAAATGCAAAAGGACAAAAATGACTGACTTTACTGTCAATTTCAAAGTTGGCCAAAAAGAAACTCTGCAGCATATTTTCAACTATGGAGGCTATTTCAAAAGCAAAATAAACTTAAATTAACAAAACTTGTAAAGTCTGGACAACCTTATTTCCATAGTTTTTGTGCATTAAAGGTTGAATATGGAACATGAACACCAAAGCGACATCTAGTGTGTGGAGGTTTTAGTTGCAACAATAGAACAAGGTGTCCAGTTAGGGTCGTTGCTGATACGTGAAATGTTTTATTTGGGTCCATCTAGACTTCACCTAAACTCAGTCTGGTTTTAGATCTTTTATGGTTGCTCCTCTTCTGAGAAGGATAACGACATCTTCTGGGCTCAGAAGCAGCTGCTTGCTGAGCCTCGCTGTGCCGAGTGGACTGTTTGGCAACCCGCAATGGTGCCCCCTACTGGCTAGTAGATGTAAACATAACCCAGTGTCGTGCCATCAAAAGAAATATTAGATTATTTTTCAATTAAAATATAGCTTTTAAAGGAAATAATGTACCTTCATTCTGTGCACACCTCTAACACACCTGTGGAGGTATTATTTATAAAATCATAGCTTTTTATTAAATTGTTCTATATTTAACATTTGAATGGTTCCTTTATGTTATATTATGCAAATTAACATCTTCACTCAGGTAACATGACTAATTAAAAAATGTCTGCTACTTTTCTGCATCTAGCTTTTTATTATCCAACAAGAGCGTAGCATACTTGTCTTCTAACTTAAATTCTAAAGTGTTTAGTAGGATTGTTTTATATTTTCCTGTATCAGAATTGCAGACCTGTTGTCTGGCTAAGATAAAATTGTAGCTATCTTTATTCTCTTGTCCTCTGGACACCTCACACTATTAAAATATGCTTTATGCAAAAGGGTTGTATCTCTGCAGCTTCTCTAAAAACCAGATTACTGGACTTTGACTCTTAAATTAAGAAGCCGGCGCTTGTTCTGCCTGTCAACTGATATGATAAAGAATTGAAAGAGGTGTTAGTCCTAATATAAGTCAGTGACCTTCTGATCGCTGTTGCAGTAAAGGTCTTATGGGATCCTGTGTGCCAGAAAAAACACTAATGCATTAATAAAGTTTACACTTGATGTGGCCAAATCAATAGTGCTGCAAAAGTCCTCTGCTGAATTCTGACAAAGATGGTATGACGGTTGGGGTGGAATGGCTCATGACATCATAGTTGGAGGAAACAGTAAAAAAAAGCTAAAATGTAGCTAAGAATCAATAACACCAAACTGCTGTTGACCCGTGGAAAAAGTGAGAGAGAAGAGGCACAAACTTGAGAGTGAAAATCCCCAGTGGGAATTATCCAGCTGTTCTCCATCTGAAAAATTAATGAGTTCATGAAAACTGATGAATCACACACCAGTTATGGCTGTCCCTCTCTCCGCTTGTTTTAAACTCAGATTAAAGTTATTTTTTGTGAAACTGCAGCGCACCAAAATCAGACTAGCCACACATTTCTCTGCTGTATTCTCTTTCTGGACAACCAGATGACCTGCATTACCGTTTTACATCCTGTCCTATGAGATCTGCATGAATGCTCGCCTCGTAATCCCTCGGCATGCGTAGGCTCGTTGGCATCCACGAACCTTAAGCAGAGCAGCTAATTCAATTTGTCCACGGCAAACTGCACCAATTACAGACACATCATCAAACCCAGCTTGTGGAGGCGGGGTGGTGTGGGAGGGGTGCTGTGCTGAAAATACCTTTACAGCAGCATTTTAGTGGCCAGTCGGATTCAGCCGTGTCACTTGAGCTGGACCAAACACAGTGAAATAAAGCTGGACGAGAGGAGTAACAGAAGGCAGATTGCCTGTTTGTACTGCTGAGGTGTTGCTGAGGATGGATGGGGGTGGGGGGGTTGTGAATGACTGAGGCAGCAGAGCAGCTGAGTGAGACTAACAAGTGGTTGCCATGCAGCAGGAGCCAGCGTGTGTGCTTTTAGAGGGAGAGATAGAGATACAGAATGATAATGAGCAGGACGCAGCAAGTAAAGCAGCACTAGGACAGGAGCTGCGTCTCTCAGAAGACACAACAGACTGATCCAGCCTTTGTCCGGCTCTTCTGGCTTTCTGCTCAGACGAGCTGTTAGCTTTAGCACACCCAGAATGCCAGCAATGGATGGACTGATGGATACATGTAAAAGAGCTCCATGGTGGAGGAGTTGTTCACAAGGCACGGCAGCAACAGGTCTGTAAGGATGGCACGATAATGATGGTGAGATGCCCGCTTTTTCTTCTTCATCCCTCCTAACTAGAGAATCTGTCAATGCAGTCTTTTTTCTCCCCTCCAGCCCCACTCCCCCCCCCTTCTCTTGTCTCCCTCAGCATACTTGTGCAGTGTCCTCCTCATCATTCTACCCCTCCTCATTCTCTCAGTTTATTTCCCAGCCCTTGTCTGCGCAGAACCTCCCGCTCGTTTTATCTAAATCCCCTCTTCTGATTTAGCCACCTGCTGCTTGTGTTTGTTTAAAAAAATCAGAAGCAAAAGCGTGCTGGAGGCAGACATCCACTTGTGTGACCAAACCAATTTTGTGATTATGTGCGGTCAATTACCGTCACTCTCTCACCGCCTAATGGAATTACACTGTCTGGCAGGCATCTGCTCACACGCAACAGGTAGATGTCTCTTACTTTTAGATAAAGCATCGTGCAAGACTTCATCTTCGTGAGAGGGGACCTTTTTATTCACGCATTAATGCTTTGTTTATGTATAAAAGCAGAGCGCCGTGACACACTGTAGCTCTAACCTGGCACAAAGGAACATATTGGCTCATTTTTCTGCAACCGTTCTTCATCACACCTCTGTTCATGTTTGCTGCTTTCAGTTTTCCCAGGAGAGATTGAGCAGAGATCTGCTTGATGACAAATTCACCAAGGGCTGTATAAAGTACATGCGGCTTTCCGTGTTTCATTCACATAGATTTATGCTACGTTCCCTTTACTGTTTCAACTCCTTTTCTGCCAAAGTGTCTAACGATGTTCTCAACACTAGCCCTAATCAAAGGCAACGATTTAACCTCTGTCCAGGTAACATGCAGGCTTTCAAATGCCTGACCCCGTCAGATGAGAGATGAGGCACCTAGATGTGGGTTTACCATGAGCAGCATCCACTTCAACCACTCCCTTGCTGCCATGAGCGGAAACGACATGATGGCGCACGCTCTGACTCTGGAGCAGAAGACGGCGTTTGCTTTTGTGGGAATGCTGCTGGTGTTCCTGGGGCTTCTGATTGTCCGGTGTTTCAGGATCCTGCTGGACCCGTACAGCAGCATGCCTTCTTCCAACTGGGCCGACGGCATCGAGGGGCTGGAGAAGGGGACGTTTGAGTATGCCCTTACTTAACAATAGGACAGAGAAGCAAACATGTTCTCACTAAAAAAAGAAGCGTGCACAGGGACATGAACACATACACACACATTCAAAGACATACAAGCCACAGCCCTGCAAAACCTCTTCAACCTCCATTGAAACATCTTTATGTGATGCAACAAGCTAAAACACTAAAGCTGTTTGATGTGAGCGCACCGTTGGTTCAGTCTTTCTACTGTATGTGACTACATGTGTGTGTGTGTGTGTGTGTGTGTGTGTGTGGGACTGAATGTGAGGCGGATGCTGTCACATTCTCTGCCCTTCTACGAGGCAGTGTGTATTTTAGCTCATCGATTGATTGAGAACTCGGCTGTAGCTCCCTTTAACCCAAACAAGCTGAATGTCATTAAAAGGAGGTTTTTGTGTGTGTGGAACAGGGTGGGACACTGAAGACTCAGGGACAAGATTGCTCATGTGAACTTGTAGTATAGTTAGACTGACTGGTCACGCATTTGCACAGCAATGCTCAGCACAAGAATGTAAATGGGTGGAAACAGGGTATCATGTCAAACCAGTGCTTTGTGAACTAATCCAACCCCGTTTGCTGGTGATCTAAAGCTGCTGTGCGTTGGTCCTTCTTGTGTGTCTTGCTTTCTCAAGTCATGCAATGAAAGGCAGCTGAACAAAATGTGATTTACATTGTGGTGTTACTGTTTCTAAATGATGCAAAATGAACTTTCAGAGATTTCACTGCTGCTGTTTAATCCCGAATGTTGCCAAATTTAAGTTGGAGCGACACACCCATCACAACCAAGCTGCTGAATTCTCTTCCTTATGAGCTGGTTTAACACAGTAGGTTCAAAAACAAAGGAACTCTTCTTAGCCTTAGCACTCTAGTTCCTGATCAGTGGGAGGAGCTCTCATCACCAGTGTCCTGAGGAAAAAGGCCACAATGAAAACAAATGCAGGATGTATGTCAACACCACACGTGAGCATCTTCTGCCTCTCTCCGCAGCCATTTTCAACATTTGTCTCCTGCTTTGGTTCCTCCAGACACAGGGAAACTGTCCAGAAGAGTGGCTCTGAAATGCAGCAGACTGATCAGGATCTGGACTGTTCCTTTGCTAGTTTTTATGATCTACTGTTCCTCTTTAGTGCTGTGAATCTGCCTTACTGTGACCTTCAATGGGTTTATGTGCCTTCATCTAGAAACATTAGAGCACCTGTTTCTGTGTGTGTGTGTGTGTGTGTGTGTGTGTGTGGGCGTGTGTGTGTGTGTGTGTGTGTGTGTGTGTGTGTGTGTGTGTGTGTGTGTGTGTGTGTGTGTGTGTGTGTGTGTGTGTGTGTGTGTGTGTGTGTGTGTGTGTGTGTGTGTGTGTGTGTGGGCGTGCGTGCATGTATGTGTGTGTGTGTGTGTACGAGTGTGTATGTCTGTGTGTGTGTGCATGTGTATGTGCACGTGTGTGTGTTTGCATGCGTACATGCCTGCCTGTGTGTGTGTGAGTGTGTGTAGGTGCGTGTTTGCGTGCATGTCTGTGTGTGCTCATGCGCATGGGTGCATGTGTATGCAGGTATGTGCGTGCGTGTGTGTGGGCGTGGGTGCGTGAGTACATGTATGTGTGTGTGCGTGTATGTCTATGTGTGCACATGTGTATGTGTGTGTTTGCATGTGTTCGTGCATGTGTGTGAGTATTTGTGCATGTGTGTGTACACCTGTGCGTGCATGCACATATGTGTAAATGTGTGTGCATGTGTGCATGTGTGTGTGCACATGTGTGTGTGTGTGTGTGTGTGTGTGTGTGTGTGTGTGTGTGTGTGTGTGTGTGTGTGCTTGTGTGTGTGTGCGTGCGTGCATGCATGTGTGTGCATATATTTTTGTGTGTGAGCATGTGTGTGTGCGTGTGTCTGTGTGTGCACATGTGTGTGTGTATGCGCGCGAATGTGCGTGCATGTGTGTGGCTTGTGTGTGTGCACATGTGTGTGTGTGTGCGTGTCATATCATGATGACAGGCCTGTTGCTTGCACTGCTGATGACAGAGATTTCTCATTGATTTCATTTGGTTTAATGATGTGAAATAAAAAAAAGATTTCTTCACTTTATAAAACTGCTGTTCAAGTTTTTGCATGTAGGAGTTTTGGTTCAGCAGAGATCAGATTCACATGTTAATGGAAAAGCAGAAACTCCATTTCTTCCGAAATTGAATTTTGCAAACATTTGGTCCTCCATGCCTCTAAAGTTCATTATTGGTCTGTTAAAAAGCAAAAACATTAGAGGAGGAGAATCAGGTGTTTTAATATTTATTTTATTTTAAATATTTTTATTCGAACTACTAGTGACAAATTACACCTGTAATATTTCATCACAGGTACAAAAACAGTTACTGAACCCATCATCTTTAACCCTCTGGTTCACACTCCGCTGCCGACCACACCTTCTTCGGCACACATCATGTATCAGGAATGCAATCGTTATTGCACCATTATCTTTGTCCCACATGTAAAATCCTTATCTGTGTCTATTTGTAGCAGAGAAAACACAAGTCTTTCCCTCGTCTGATGCAAACGTTTAAGGGTCTCCTTTTTGTTTTCTTCTTTATGTGCAGAATTTAAATTTCTACAATTAACACAGAAAGTCTGATCAAGCTGGAAAGTACAAAAGATATTTACTGAGGAAGCGTTTTTGCAACTGGATTGAAGATTTTATGTTACTATATTTGTCTATTTTTCCTTTTTCCACTCGATTAGCTCCTTTTAAGATGAAGTTTTCACAGCATAGTAAAAAATTAACCCAGTGTTTTCCCGATCTTTTGGGGAAAAAGCTGCAGGCTGTCAGCGTCACATTTGGTAAAACCTATACGAACTGAAACTTTGCTCCTTTTCTCAGTTCTTACAAAAGGATGAGAAAGATGGATCCTACATTTCATAAAAATAAAAAGTTTAATGAAAGCTATGCTTTTTAAAAATCTGTAAAATCAAACAAAAAAGTTAAGCTGATTGTAGCTGTGCTTTTTTCTGCAGGAACCCTTACGCTAAATTGGCAACTGTTCAGATGACAGTGGCTGCTTTAAACTGTAAATATAGTAGTAGCATTTAATATATTTCTCTTTTTCTTGCTTTAAATAAAATACTTTCTATCTTCTTCCATGCAAAAGATCTGAAGCTGTTCAGGCTAAACCCACAGCTGTAAACTTGTTCCTGACTAACATGAGTGTGAAGGCTTGCTCAAAGGCTCATTAGATGAAAATATGTATATTTAGAAGTAGATTAGCAAAACTCTGGGTTGTTTTAAATAATTGACACTTTTGTGTGTTTTCCAAACACACTCTCTTTAAAACGTTACACTTTTCTTTCGTCGAATGGAGCAAAGTTTCAGACAACGAAGCATGTTTGTGTGAAAGATTCAGATCTCTGAACTCACTCAGGAAGAAAAACAACAACACATAATAGAAAAACCTGAATCCTGGAGAACTTGTTCCTCGTGTTATCCCTCTCTACAGAGTTAGTTATGAGTGGAGCTTCTATAATCCTTGTGACATGGAGAACGGTTAATGAGATGGCAGAATAATGAACTGGAACTTTGCTGATTATCGGGCATTTGTTTTATTACTCGTGGTCTTCAGACCTCACAGGCTCTGTCCCTGATTTATTGAGATAAGATATAATGACACTTTTATTATCTAAGCTGTCCATAATACTGTGATACATTTAATTACAGCTTTAAAGTCTTTTCCAAAACGAAGAGGAAGAAGAAGAAAATATCATTTCTATAGCGCCTCTCAAGATAAAAATCATGAGGCGCTTCACAAAAACAAAAAATGTAAAACTATAAAAAATAATTTAGAAAATGGTTAATAATATATTTAAAAAGAGCAAAAATAGACAATTGTGATTTAAAAATGTTAAGAAAAGAGAGAGAGTGAACAGGAAAGAGGGAAATCAGTGGATCCTGAGGAAGGTGGAATAGGTGGGGAGAGCAGAATAAAGAGAGAGTGGTGAAGAAGGTCATACAAAAGCCACTTTGAACAGGTGAGTCTTCAGCTGCTTTTTGAAGGAGATCACTGAGTCCACTGATCTCAGGCTCAGGGGGAGAGAGTTCCAGAGTCTGGGGGGCCACAGCAGCAAATGATCTGTCACCTTTGGTCTTTAGCCTGGTGCTGCACAACCAGTAGGCTTTGATCACTGGACCTCAGGGACCTGCTGGGGGTGTAGGGACTAAGAAGATCACCAATGTAAGATGGTGCTTGTCCATGTAAGGCCCTATAGGCCAGAACCAGGATCTTGAAATGAACCCTGAAGTTGACTGGCAGCCAGTGAAGCTGGAGGAGAAGCGGGGTGATGTGTGTGTGTTTGGAGGACTTGGTCAGAAGCCGAGCACAGGCATTCTGAACCACCTGTAGACGGTTCAGGGAGGTTCTGCTCAGACACGTGAAAAGAGAGTTACAGTAGTCTAAGCATGAGGAGATGAAGGTGTGGAGAACTGTCTCAAGTTCAGAGCGGGACAGAATGGGACTCAGCTTAGGAATGTTCCTGAGATGGAAGAAGGAAGAGCGAACAAGAGAACTGACATGATAATCCAGGGTGAGAGCTGGGTCAAAGGTCACGCCAAGATTCCTGACAGAAGGTTTGGTGTGCGAAGCAAGCTGACCAAGAGAGTCTCTGACTTTGGGAACCAGCTTGTCTGGGGCACAGATGAGGATCTCAGTCTTATCTTCATTCAGCTGAAGAAAGCTCCCAGCCATCCAGGTTTTGATAGAGTCTAAGCAGGTGTGTAACAGCTGCAGCTTAGACATCTCATGGGGCTTAAAGGAGATGTACAGTTGGATGTCATCTGCAGAAAGACGGTAGGAGATTCCTTTGAAGGAGTTCAGGATGTGCTGAAGAGGAAGCAGATAGAGGAGGTAGAGCAGATGCCCCGGCACAGAACCTTGTGGGACACCATGGGTAAGAGAGGTGGTGGAGGACCTAAACTTGGAGACGGCCACAGAAAAGGAGCGCTCAGAAAGATAAGAGGAGAACCACTCCAGAGCAGTTCCTGATAGGCCTACCCAGTCTCTCAGCCTCTCCAGTAGGTGATGGTCAACAGTGTCAAAGGCTGCAGTCAGGTCCAGCAGGACCAGAACAGAACAGTCCCCTGCATCACTGTGAGTCAGAAGGTCATTAGAGACCTTACAGAAAAATAGTATTTGACACTGACATGCTTTAAGTGTTTGATTCAGCGATTCATTTTGACTTCAGGAAACAAACAGCTGGTTACTAAAAGTGAAACAGGCTTTGTTTTAGATCCAAGGTCTGATCTGAATCTTTGTTCGATCCAAGGCAGGCATCTCCAGGACCCTGTGTCTGGATAAGTGAATGCTTACCCACTGTGACATAATCTTAATGTTTCATAACAGCTATTAATGATTAGAAAGCTGTTAGGTTTAATTATTTACTCTAAATTGATTTAAATCTGAACCTTTCAGTGAGTTCATACATATAGTTATTTTTCTAGGCAAGTGTAAAGTTGAAGTTATTCGGAAATTTCCCAAAAGATTAAATACGGATAATAAACGATGCTCGTTATTGTTAGAAGACTGCAGTCCTAACATTGTTTAAGATACTTCCAGAAAGTGGATGTAAATATGTGAAAACTTGATTTTGAGAAAATGTTCAGAATTTTAGAAAAAGTAATAATTTACCATCGATTTAAATCACTGCAGACCTCTGAAAATCCTGTCTGCCTACTTATGCAGTTTTATGATTGTGACTTCTTAACATTGCAGCAAAAAAGCAGAAATGAAGCACAATGATTTTTTTAGGGTTTAAATCACCTTTAGGTGTTCTTCCCCCTAAAAATAGCAAGTGGATCACTAATGATGGTGAGTGACATGAGACAAGTCCTCTCTTTGCATAACAGCAAACTAAACTCTGAATCTGACAAGAACACGATCCTCTAAGCAGAGGATTAATGCCACCATTACCCGTAAAACGTCTGAGACGCTGAAGGTTAGAAAGCAGGTTTTCCTTCTTCAGTGTGATTCAGCCGCTGCCATAACCGCGGAGAGTCATCACAGCTTTGTTTTGATTCTGGTGAACATTTTGCCTTCAGACCGCAGATAAAAACACGTGTATTTTTGTCAGCTAGCAGCACGGGCAAGGTCATGTTTGAAGTCGTTAGCCAGGCTTTCGCTGTGCACATAAATCACAGAGGTGTATCAGTAATAAGGAAGTTTAAGCGTTAAGAGGTCTTCTTAATGGTGCTTTAGAAGTCATGTGAAGTGCCTCCGGCGTGTTCCTGTAATTTCTGGTCTTATATTAACCCTCATTTTCCTCGAGAATGTGCTCATTTGTCCGTGTGAGCTAATCTATCAACTTTCTTTTCTCAACAACCTGCGACAAACAGAACCATTAAACATTTTATTTGATCAATTATAGATCTCTTATTGGTGCTACATGTATAGGACTCCCACTCCCTGCTATTATTCTACTTATGTCTACCCATTATGTCAAATAGTAGCTTTCCTTTTTTTAAGCTGTAAAACCTTGAGACTTTTCCTACTTTCTTATTTTGGCTGTGTTGTGGTGGAAACCTCCAGACGTTTGAGCCCTGGTGATCTGAGGAGATTGTCCTCATACACCTCCGCTACTGAACAACATGTGCTGCTGTCCTGCACTTCAGAATATAATATTAGTAATCAATTCTCCAGAACTCAGGCAATGAGCACCTTTATCTCACTTTTGCCGTTTATGACTTGGTTAATCGTTAAGCAACGCCTTTGTGTCCCCTGGGATGGAGGGCATATCTGACCCCCTCAGTTGAGGCTTTCTGAGGGTTGATCTAAAGAGTTGACCAATAGTTGGCAGTGAGTGTATGACCCTGAGTATAAAGGCAGGCCAGCTGAGACAAATCAAGTTCATGCACAAGAATCCTGTCGCAGCGGCAGAGCTCTCTGTAAATCTGACCCTTTTCTAGCGACACACATGCTAACAAGGACACCTGTGCCAGCTGATAACACTCTTGGATGTCTGAAGACTGAAAACACAGTCTGCTGCTTTATCTTTTAGTTAAGTAATCTGAGAAACATCTGCAGCAGTCCTGATGGAGAGGATCAAGTCCAACGGAGGGGGGCATCTTAACTCTGCTTACGATGCAGCTCCGGATGAGCCTCCAGTCTATGAGGAGACCAACTTTCCCGGCGAGGAACACCGGACCATCCGGCCCTCGGTGATCAGTGCTTTTGGTCATGACACTTTGGACCGAGTGCCCAATATTGACTTCTACCGTAATGCTGGCAGTGTGAGTGGTCACCGAGCTGTGAGGCCATCTCTACAGGAGCTCCATGATGTGTTCCAGAAGGTGAGTTCATGCGCAATGCACTAATGCTGCTGAATGTGAAGAATGATGATCAATAGTGTCTCCTTTCCTTTCTTGTTTGCCTTCTTACTTGTCCTATTGTGTTATCTGTTCAACGCGTAACTCGGGTTAAACGCACAGGGTGAAACATGACATTTATGGTTGTTTAGTTATTGAAACATCCTCACAAAGTTCTCTGCTTCTTCATCTAAAAACATGTAAAAGTGAAAAAGAACACAGTTAAAAGGTTATTTCTGACTCTAAATGATGTGAAACAAGCTGATTTTTAATAGGCTTTTTTAGAAAACACCCAAGGTCAAAGGTCAGTGAGGTTTACAGCTTGGTAAAGAGCACCACTTCTGAATGGATATAAAATATATCAATAATAGATCTTAATAATCTTAATAAAACTCTTTGAGCACACGTTCCAACAGGAGCTGAAGACAACGACCTTTGTTGAAATGAACAAGATACTCTCATTTCAATGGGAACCATCCAATTATAAATATTTCCACAAAGAGATCCAAATAGCTTTGTCTATGAGTTTTTGATTCATTTCATAGTCCCTCAAAAAATAAATAAAGAAAAATACATATATATATATATATATATATATATATATGTGTTCAGGTGTTAAACTAAACATAAACCCCCACAAAGATAAAACAATAATTCTAAAAATGCTCCTTTCCCACAGACACCTCTAATTTTGCCAAATTGGATCTTTTTGGACACCAAATTTGTAGGATTAGTCACAACCAACTATAATTGCTCTTTATTTAATTTTGTCTTTTCATTTTTCTCATAGAACGGAGCGATCTCTGTGCCAGAAACTCTGGAGGACGATGGGGAGAAGAGTGACGGGACCCCCTTTGATGACCTGGAGTCGGCCGACACCAGTGACGACAAAGGACTGGTGAAGTTTGGTTGGATAAGAGGAGTTCTGGTGAGTTAACCTCAGATGTGTCGACAACTCACCAATCTAGGACTAATGTTATTAATGTAATGTTAGACTAAATATGTTGTCACTGAACTGCAAACTACCCACAAACCTGATTATTAAAGTACAATTAAATGTCGTATAAATCAACTTTTTGTCAGGGATGTAAACTCAGTGTTGTTATTCTCAGGTGAGATGTATGCTGAACATCTGGGGAGTCATGCTGTTTATCCGTCTGTCCTGGGTTTTTGGTCAGGCAGGATGGGGTGAGTGAACCAAAAACACTAAACTTTATATGTCTGTCATGTTTCTTCTTTTTAATTTTGGTGATGAACATTTATGAAGCTTTCAGAAGGAGTTTTGTCTTTCCTAGGGTCACTTCTGATGTTCAAGCTGGTGATTCCATCTGAGGATATTTTAGGACTTTTTGGAACAACTTTTGATGCATTTTCCAGTGATTACATATAAACCTAGTGGCACCCCGAAAGGATGGCCAGGAGGGGCCAGGGACACCCCTAGAAAATTACTGGCCATCCTGGTTGCCACACCAAAGGAGACCAATGTTCTTTAATGAATCATATTAATGTTCACATGAACTATAAATTCATATTATTTAATCAGACATAAAAGTAAAACCGAATAAAACTATACAATTAAAGAGTAATTAAATAATCTGATTAAAGAAAGTATTATGTTTCTCCTGAAACCACCAATCTGGTGTGCCACTCCCAGAATTTTCTCTGGCCCTATCTAGCCATCCTGATGAAAATTATCTGGGGGTGCCACTGTGTAAACTACAGGATTTCAAAGCCTTCTGCTTGACATGATCTGGGGAAGGAGTTTAACCCAGGACATGCAGAATCAACACACTCACAAATAAAGATCAAAAAAAGGTATTTATTAGTAGACAGGAACCAAAAGCGCACTGGAGCTTCCAGTGGATGAGTAAAGTCCGTACTCAGCGTCTGAGGAGGGGGAGAGCAAAATAAGGTGAGTCCTGAGAAGTAAGTCTTAACTGAGGAGGTGCAGAGATAAGACTTACTGGGCGAAGGAGATGAGGAAAAATCGGGAGGGGCCGGTCGAGAGTTGGGTGAGTCAAGGTGAGTAAATCCAGGAGAGGGAGCTTGTGGGAAGCAGAGGAGTGGGGCGACTGGAGAGATGGAGAACACGGGAAGCTGAGTCCAGACTGTTATGTGGCAAAGGTGAGTTTCCTGATGAGTCACTGAATCCTGAGAAGGCTCTACTCCAGAGATGTTCCAAAAAATCCTGAAGAAGACGTATACACAAAAATCCACAGCGAATAATAAGCCAAAAACACAAGAGGTACAAAGTCACTGCAACACTAGACGGCTGGTATATACCGAGTAGTAGTAATCATCCCGCGTTGAGGTGTGTTCTCCAACTCCTTAAGAAGCCAGTGCCGTTGATTGCTAACCAGAAGCAGCTGGGCGCCTCCCTCTCCTGAAAAACAACTCAAAGGTGGAATGTGCGACGGGAGTACTCACCCCGACTCATGACAGTACCCCCCCCTCAACGGACGCCTCCCGGCGTCCTGGCAGATGCCACCTCAAAGTCCCGGATGAGGGACGGATCTTCAATAAAGGAGCGTGGAACCCAGGAACGCTCCTCCGGGCCGTACCCCTCCCAGTCAACGAGGTACTGGATGCCCCTGCCACGGGGTCGGGAGTCCAGAATCCTGCGAACAGAATAAACCAGACCCCCCTTGTAGAACCGTGCAGGCGGGGGAGGAGCAGGCGTAGGGCAGAGACGGCTCGTGGTCACCGGCTTCACCAAGGACACGTGGAACACAGGGTGAACCCTGAGAGAGGGAGGCAGGGCCAGCCGGACAGTAGAGGGCGTGGGGATGTCCAGAATCCTGAAAGGACCCAGAAACCTGGGCGACAGTTTGCGGCTGGACGCCTTCAGGGGGATATCCTTGGAGGAGAGCCAAACCTCCTGACCAGGAGCGTAGGACGGGGCAGGACGCCGCCTGCGATCAGCAAGCCGTTTGTTGGAGGCCGCCGTCCTGTCCAAAGCCGCCCGGGTGGAGGCCCAGGCCCGTTTGGCCCCCCGGAGAAACTGTGGAACCGTGGTGAGGGCTGGAGACTGTGGAGGAAACAGGGAAGGTTGATAACCCAAGGAGGATTCAAAAGGTGACTGACCTGTTGCCGTAGAGACGTGAGAATTGTGGGCGTATTCGATCCAGGGGAGGTGCGAACTCCATGATGACGGGTGAGCAGAACATACACAGCGTAACATAGCACCGAGTTCTTGGTTCATACGCTCACATTGACCATTGGTCTGGGGATGGTGTCCAGAGGTAAGGGCGACTCGGGCCCCCAGAGCCTCTGCAAACTCCCTCCAGACTCTGGATATGAACTGGGGACCACGATCGGACAAGATTTCCTCCGGGATACCATGCAACCGGAAAACATGTCTGATGAGCAGTTTGGCTGTAACAGTAGAAGATGGAAGAGTTTTCAAAGGAATGAGATGGCATGCTTTGGAGAATCTGTCCACAATGGTGAGTATGGTGTTAAATCCCTGAGAATTCGGTAAACCACACACAAAATCCAGAGCCACATGAGACCATGGTCGAGAGGGGGTCGGCAGAGGGTTCAACAGTCCAGCAGGTGCACGGTGATCACCCTTCTGCTGAGCACAGATGTGGCAACCTGAAACATAATCCTTGACATCTCGGTACATGGCCGGCCACCAGAATGTGCGTCTGATGAGTGCAATAGTACGTCCTACTCCGGGGTGAAGTGAAAATCTGCCAGTATGAGCCCAGTGAATGACCTTGCTTCTCACAGCCTGCGGAACCCAGAGCCTGTCTGGAGGTCCCTTACCTGGATCAGGGTCAGTTCTCTGTGCCTCCAGTACCTGGTCACGTATCTCCCACGTCACACCTCCCACAACACACGCCGGGGGTAGGATGGTGGAGAGCTCAGTCTCCTGGTCAGAAGCATATTGTCTCGAGAGAGCATCCGGTTTTACGTTCTTGGATCCGGGTCGGTATGAAATCTGAAAGTTGAAACGAGAGAAGAAAAGGGACCACCTGTATTGTCGTGGGTTTAGTCTCTTGGCCTCTCTGAGGTAGACCAAATTCTTGTGATCAGTCCAGATGATGAAGGGAATCTCAGCTCCCTCGAGCCAGTGCCTCCACTCCTCAATGGCGAGTTTCACCGCCAAGAGCTCTCTGTCACCCACGTCATATCGGCTCTCTGTTGGGGTGAGACGGCGAGAAAAAAAAGCACAAGGGTGAAGGCGATGGTCGAGCGGTGATACCTGTGACAACACGGCGCCGACTCCGGTGTCTGAGGCATCCACCTCGAGAGTAAACTGGAGTTGGGGGTCTGGGCGATGGAGCACTGGAGCATTTGTGAATAGTTTCTTCAGCTTCTGAAAGGCTGCTTCAGCCTCTGTGGACCAAACAAAAGGGCGGTTAGTGGATGTGAGGTTGGTTAAAGGCATGGCAGTCTGACTGAAATTTCTGATGAATCTTCTGTAGAAATTGGCAAAACCCAGGAATCTCTGAAGCTGTTTACGTGACGAGGGGGTAGGCCACTCTGTGACCGCCTGGACCTTCTCAGGGTCAGCCCTCAGTCTTCCACTTTCGATCACAAATCCTAAAAACTTAACAGTAGAGACATGAAAAACACATTTCTCGGCCTTCACATAAAGCCGATTCTCCAGGAGTCGTTGCAACACAGAACGCACATGCAAGACGTGTTGTTCCAGAGTCTTTGAAAAAATCAAAATGTCATCCAAGTAGACAGTCACGTACTTATTCAACATATCTCCTAAAACAGAGTTCACCAGAGACTGAAACACAGCTGGAGCATTTGTTAGGCCGAAAGGCATTACCAGATACTCAAAATGTCCTAACGGAGTCTTAAATGCCGTCTTCCACTCATCACCCTGTCTGATTCGTACCAAGTGGTACGCATTTCTGAGATCCAGGCGGCTAAAAATGGTGGCGTCCTGAATGGGTTCAAAAGTGGAGGTTAACAGAGGCAGAGGATATTTGTTCTTTACTGTTATTTGGTTCAATTCCCTGTAATCAATACAGGGCCTTAGAGTCCCCTCCTTCTTTGGAACAAAGAAGAACCCTGCCCCCAATGGTGAGGTGGACGGCCTGATAAGACCGGTTGCTAGAGACTCCTGGATGTATTTCTCCATGCTCTCCCTCTCAGGTTTGGAAAGGTGATATAGTCGACTGGAGGGAAGTGGGGCTCCGGGTAACAACTCAATGCAGCAATCAAAAGGTCTGTGTGGGGGAAGAGAAGAAGCACGGTCCTTACTGAATACCTGTCGGAGGTCATGGTAGGCCGGAGGAACGTTGGAGAGGTCAATCTTCTCAGAAGGAGAGGTTGTGGAATTTTGGAGAGTTGGTGCAGCTGAGCGAAGGCAGGCTAGAGAACACTCAGGACTCCATCCTTCAATCTGACTGGTTCTCCAGTTCAGCTGGGGATTGTGGTGTTTCAACCAGGAATGGCCAAGAACCACTGGAGACTGGGGAGAGGGAAATACAAAAAATGCCAGAAGTTCTGTGTGGTTACCTGACACCTTTATCTGCAGTGGGATGGTCTGGTGAGTGATGGTGGACAAACTGCGATCATCCAGAGACGAAACCGTGAGAGGAGAAGACAAACGGGTGGTAGGTATTTTCCACCTCTTTACCAAACCGACATCCAACATAGATTGCTCACAACCAGAGTCCACCAGAGCCTCTAACTGAAATTGTTCAGAATTAAAACACACAGTGCATGGAATTGAACAACGGGAGCTAAAAGAGTCTGAATTTCCGCCCACCAGTAGCCCCGGCTTTACTGATGGGCTCTCCCTTTTCCCAGAGCAGGACAGGCTCTGGCAAAGTGTCCGGTCTGCCCGCAATATAAACAGAGACCTGACCTCAAACGATGTTCCCGTTCCTCTGGGGTAAGGCGAGTGCGACCCATCTGCATAGGTTCATCAGCTGTGGGGGTCTCGGAAAAGGAGCGAAGACCACCCAGGTTTCGGTCAGGAATAGGAGCTGGACGGGCACTGCTGGCGGGGCGCCGTAGCTCCTGGTGACGTTTATCAATGGAGATGGCCAGGCGAATGAGCCCCTCGAGAGACTGAGGTTCGGGGCACAGCGCCAGCTGATCCCGTACACGAACACTGAGGGCCTCCGTGAATGCAGCCATCAACGCCTCCTCGTTCCACGAAGTCCTAGCTGCCAGGGTTCGGAATTCTACCGACATGTCTGCAACCGATCGTCGGCCCTGCGACAGGTTCCAGAGTCTCTTTCCTATATCTGAAACGGACTCGGTCTGTCCAAAAGTTAATGTAAAGTCCGCTAAAAACTCATCAAAAGGTCCTGCTAAAAAGGCAGCACAATGGCTCTTAGCTTCCGCCCACCGTAGGGCTCTTCCACGTAGCAGTCCAATAACGTAAGAAATCTTACTTGAGTCCGTGGGAAAGGCTCCAGGTGAGCGTTCGAACGCAAGCCGGCACTGGAGCAGGAAGCTGTGGCATTCTTCGAACTCACCGCTGAATGTCTGTGAGGGAGGAGAAATGGCTGGACGAAAATGAGAAGTCTCTGTGGGGACAGGAACTCCCGGTCCGGAAGCAACAGGAGCGGCTGCTTGAGGTTCCGACCTTGTAGTCTGTGGCAGCGGCTGCGTAACCCGCTCATGGATCTGCCGGACTAGGGCCTCCAACTGCTGGTAACGATTGTGGGCAGCGTTGAGCTGATCCATAAGCAGTGGTAATGTCTGCTCCTGTTGAGACACTCTCTGAAGAAGATCTGAGAGGGTTGAGTCTGCTGGGTTAGCGGGTTGGCGGGATGATTCTGACATGATCTGGGGAAGGAGTTTAACCCAGGACATGCAGAATCAACACACTCACAAATAAAGATCAAAAAAAGGTATTTATTAGTAGACAGGAACCAAAAGCGCACTGGAGCTTCCAGTGGATGAGTAAAGTCCGTACTCAGCGTCTGAGGAGGGGGAGAGCAAAATAAGGTGAGTCCTGAGAAGTAAGTCTTAACTGAGGAGGTGCAGAGATAAGACTTACTGGGCGAAGGAGATGAGGAAAAATCGGGAGGGGCCGGTCGAGAGTTGGGTGAGTCAAGGTGAGTAAATCCAGGAGAGGGAGCTTGTGGGAAGCAGAGGAGTGGGGCGACTGGAGAGATGGAGAACACGGGAAGCTGAGTCCAGACTGTTATGTGGCAAAGGTGAGTTTCCTGATGAGTCACTGAATCCTGAGAAGGCTCTACTCCAGAGATGTTCCAAAAAATCCTGAAGAAGACGTATACACAAAAATCCACAGCGAATAATAAGCCAAAAACACAAGAGGTACAAAGTCACTGCAACACTAGACGGCTGGTATATACCGAGTAGTAGTAATCATCCCGCGTTGAGGTGTGTTCTCCAACTCCTTAAGAAGCCAGTGCCGTTGATTGCTAACCAGAAGCAGCTGGGCGCCTCCCTCTCCTGAAAAACAACTCAAAGGTGGAATGTGCGACGGGAGTACTCACCCCGACTCATGACACTGCTCATTAAAGTGAGTGAAGTGTGGAAGGTACAATTTAAAGCCCTTGCTGAGGTCCCAGGAAGCCTAATATGGGCTTCTTTCAGCCCAAATGAAAGGCTGAGAAACAGTTACATAATTTCATGACAGTGTTCACTGCAGTTTATAGAAATTGTAATTTAAAGTTGTTTTGCTGTTTTCTAGGCTTGGGAATTGTGGTCATTGCTCTCAGCTGTGTGGTCACCACCATCACAGGCCTTTCGATGTCTGCCATCTGCACTAACGGTGTTGTTAGAGGAGGTGGGTCAGATAATCCTCCAGCACAAGACGACTACATATTTAAAAATGTAAAGAGAGGGGTTTAATGAGCACAGCTATTGACTACCCCATCAGAATGGTATTTCATTTATAACTTCTAAATGTTGCTGCAGCCAAGCCCCATCAGGCATGACATTATTTATATATTTTCTCTGAGATGATAACACACATTCTGCCTGACATAAAATCTTTCTGGGAGAAAATGAAACCAGCAGAAGGACAGAGTTGCAGAAAAAGTCACAAAAGCCTAAAGCTACACCTGAATGTCACCTCTTAAAGCCTCATTTCTTCTTTTACAGCTTCCCACTGCATAAAATCAATCAGTCAGTGATGTGGTGATTAATCATCCACCATATAGCGATCTTTAGATGACAAGACACAAGTCCATGTTTCAAACCAAACAAGTGATTGGGATAAGATTACCCAGTCAACTTAATGCTTCCTCTTTAAATACCAGGTTGTTCTCTATTAAAACTATTGTTCTACCTGTAATGAAATATTAAAGGTTGAAATTTGTCACTATTAGTTCCAATTTAAAAGCTGTTTCCAAAACATTTGTAAATAAATGTCTGCTTGGAGATGGCCTGACATCTTTTGTACGCTGTGTTTGTCTTCAAATTCCATTTTTTTGAACACAGATAAGGTTTTTCTTTATCTTGCTGACGTTTCGTTTGCGGCTGCAAACATCTTCAGAGCTGACGCTGATGGTGGCGTCACTTCCTACTACTACTTCAGCTCTGAAGATGTTTGCAGCTGCAAACAAAATGTCAGCAAGGTCAAGAACAACCGTATCTGTGTTTAAAAAAAGAACCAAAAATGGAATTTGATGGCTTGACATTTTACTCACTGAGTGATTTCTTCAAGTCCACAACTAAATCCATAACACCTTTGTGATGTTGGTATTTAAACTGTCGAATAAAAGGTAACTATTGTACAACAATTAAGATGTTATTAATATTAAATGTTTCATTACAGTCAGACAATAATCAACAGTTTTACAGAACATTCTCAACTGAATCTTCATTTAAACACCAATATTTTTGTTTGTTGGTGTTGATTAGCCATCGCAGCCATCTTGAATTGGGTTTACTTATGGACAAGTGACATCAGAGATATTTTTCCAAACAACAGACCAAGAACAAAACACACACACACACACAAACACAAACGCACGCAAGCCTTGTAATTTAGGTCAAGTCAGGATCAGACTCATAGGGACAGCAGTAGCTCAGGAAGTAGAGCGGGTTGTCCAGCAATTGGAAGGCTGCAGGTTCAGTCCTGGCTCTCACCAGAGAATGCTGCTGTTGTGTCCTTGGGCAAGACACTTAACCCGCCTTGAGGGTTTGGTGAGAGAGGGGGTCCAGACAAAGGTAAGACTAGAAATGCAACACAAATACAGATTCTGACCCTTATCTGAAAGCGCTGAGTCACTTTAAAGGTGTGCTAGAATACTGTTTAATAACAATTGGAGTAATTCAGCTTAAACTGAAAGACCATATAAAGGCTCAGGAACCCTTTGCTGGTGTTTTGAAATAGTTAGCTGATTAGAGTGTGACATTAACCCTCTCAACATAAGTTTTGATAAAAGAACGAACAACCATGTCCTTCAGGGGTACTTCTGAGTTAAAAAATGCTCATGAAATACGAATGTGGAGTAACCAGGTAGGTAGGTTTTAACTGTTGCAGATCTGCAACGCCTGCCTCCAGAGGGTTAAGTCTAAAATATTGAACCTTTTCTCAATATTCTAGTTGTCTGAGATTTAAATGTGGGGTTTTCATCAGCTGTAAGCCATAATCATATCTAAAGTTGAATTACTGAGAAAAAAAAAACTTTTGCACCTCTAATTTTTTGAGTTTCACTTGTGAGTTACCATTTTAAACAATATATCCCCAACAAATAAATAATACATTATCAAAAAGGAATGACTACTTATGCTTCATGTTGCCGCTGCAGGAGGGGCCTACTACCTGATATCTCGCAGTTTGGGACCGGAGTTTGGGGGATCGATTGGTCTCATTTTTGCCTTTGCCAACGCCGTGGCTGTAGCCATGTATGTGGTGGGATTTGCTGAGACTGTGGTTGACTTACTGAAGGTGTGTGACATGCCACTAAAGATGTAACTGTGTGAAAAATGTATTATATTAATCTTAATATCACACACGTTGGTGTTCTCAGGAACATGCTAGTCTGATGGTGGATGAAATCAATGACATCAGGATAGTCGGCTGCATCACAGTGGTGTTGCTCCTGGGTATTTCAGTAGCTGGAATGGAATGGGAAGCAAAGGTGGGATGTTATTCTCATGCTTGTTGTTGCCATAAAAGCCTCCAAATTCAGTTTTATTCTCAACTTTGTCTTTTCACCCAATAGGCACAGATTGTTCTGCTCGTCATCCTGCTGGTGGCCATAGTGAACGTATTTGTAGGAACAGTCATTCCAGCAACAGTCGATAAGAAATCAAAAGGCTTTTTTGGTTACACTTGTGAGACACTCTTTTTTTAATCCCACAAAAATCTGTTTGTTACATCATTTCTAACCTCCTCTCCTTTGCCTTTGTAAAGTTTTTTGTTTCCCATACGTTCTTTTTCACAGCAACAGTCTTCCAAGAGAACTTTACACCAGCTTTTAGGGATGGTGAAACATTCTTTTCTGTGTTTGCCATCTTTTTCCCTGCTGCAACCGGAATTCTGGCAGGAGCAAACATCTCTGGAGACCTGCGGGTAAGTCTTGAATCCAGAAACTATTCATCCCAGTATCTATGGCGGGGCTATTCAATTCCCCGCCATAGGCCTCGAGGGCTGGTATTCAGCCCTTTTGAGTGGTTTCTCTGCTCCAACACATCTGATTCAGTGTCTGAATCACCTGTGCAGCAGCTCATCAAGCTCTGCAGAAGCCTATTAATCACCTACTAATTGAAATCAGGTTTGTTGAAGCAAGGTTAAAACCAAAACATGCTGGATGTCGGCCCTCGAGGCCCGGGATTGAATAGTCCTGATCTATGGCATCTGGGGGCAGGATGCAATCTTCTGAAGAAAAAAGCAAACCATCTTTTGCTGATGAAAAAAAATTGAATCACACATAGATTTTACTCAGTCGGTGTGAGTTTTTTACATTTAGTGACACAGATTTGTTTTGTTTTTTTACAGGATCCTCAAGCTGCCATCCCCAAAGGTACATTGTTGGCCATCTTCATCACTGGTGTCACCTACCTCGCAGTGGCTCTTTGTGTTGGTAAGAATATCACACTAATTAATGAAATACACCAAAAATGTGTAGTAAATGAAAACTTCTAAAGTATAGTCCTATGAAGTCCCTGCAGACACCAGACTTAGGGATAAAAGAAAACGACAATACACTGAAATATCGAGGTATTTCATGTTGTGATATTGAATAGATATGTAAAAGTCGTGTATCTGTTTTTATTGAGAATGTGCTTGCAAATATTTACTGTATGTATTTTGTGTGGTGCAATTCAAACTCCGACTGCTAGGTGGCAGCATATTTTACTGCTTTCATTCTGACAGAACAACAACATCTCACGTAACACTGGATGTGTCTTAGAAGCATCTAAGTTTTCTAACTGAATTCAGTCTTAAAAACTGCTACCACTGTCTGGGTTTTAGAATCGCGGAAATGTCTCCCCAGATTCTTGCACATACTATTCACACCCCCTGCTGCCCCTACAAGATGAATCCCTATTTGAGCCAAAACTTTTTGAAACATTTGGTTTCTGAAATAAAATTGCCACTCAAGTGAAACTATCAGCTTCACATAGCATTAAATGATTTCCTCAGCAAGTCAAATTGTGCAATGTTCTTCAAGCAGCCTGAACCAGTTTTGAACATGCTAATAGATGCCACACATCCTTGTTGGTAAGATGGTTTGTGTCTAGATGTCTTGCTCATGCATTCATTTAAACTTACAGGTTATGTGTGCTTTATGTAATTCCTCAGCTGCTACCGTTGTTCGGGATGCCACTGGAAATGCGACTGACCTTGTTATTCCTGGCGTGGCGTGTAACAACTCAGCAGTAGCTGCCTGTGAACTTGGCTATAATTTTTCTTCCTGTGCAGTAGACACATGCAAATTTGGCTTGATGAACAATTTTCAGGTGCAAAGCCTTTCGAGCTCATCTGAATATTAGAGATTAATTGATTCCTCTTTAATACTCTCTTCTCATCACCTCTGGTTCAGGTAATGACAATGGTGTCAGGGTTTGGTCCTCTCATCATTGCAGGGACATTTTCAGCCACTCTGTCCTCAGCTCTTGCCTCCCTAGTTAGCGCTCCAAAAGTCTTCCAGGTAGGTAACATTTTTTTAATGCATTGCAGTAACAGCTCAGATTCCTCTAACCTCTGTTTTTCCACAGGCGCTGTGTAAAGACAACATCTATAAGGCCCTGCACTTCTTTGCCAAAGGAAACGGCAAGAACAATGAGCCAATCCGTGGTTATGTCCTCACATTCATTATTTCTGTGGCCTTCATTCTCATTGGTTAGTTCAGTCTTCTGTCCTGGCTGGATTATAACATCCAAGCCTTCACATTCTCCCTTCACTGTTACATGTTGTTTCTCAGTACTAGGAGATAGAAAAGGACATGTAAACGTTCCTCTGTACTGAATAATAAAACTAAAACCTACAACACAGTGATTACATCTTCAATAAGCAAAGTTTATTAATTCATCTCACTACGTGAACCCTCTAACAGTAAAACGTGAGTGAGTTTATGAGTTCTCAGAAGCAGATTTTAAGATTTCTTTTTTCTTTTCATAGGTAATCTGAACACCATAGCTCCTATCATCTCCAACTTCTTCCTGGCCTCTTATGCTCTTATAAACTTCTCTTGTTTCCATGCATCCTATGCAAAGTCTCCAGGTGAGTTTCCATGACGAAACCCGAAGAACACATCAAATCCCAGTCAGCGTTATTAAAAATGTTTTAATTCACTGTGGACAACTTCCTGAGTGACTTCTAAGTTTATGTCCAACAAGACTGATGTTGCTAATTCTATTGGCTAATCTACATGTAACCAAGACCAATATGCCAACACAGTCCCAGTCTCCTAAACTTTACACTGTTTAGTGCAAACATATTTTATAAATATTTTAATATCTTTAAATATTCTGACAACAGCATGCTCAGTCTAGTTCTTGTGGCTTCATTTAATCTATTATTCATTTGAAAGGGTATATTATGCAGCTATGGTAAATCGTTGCTGTGTTGTGGGGTGACACACATGATCGCCAGGGAAAAATGTTGGAAAACCATCTAACTTTTCACCGTTTTCCTGCTTGGAGGCATCGCCACGGAGACCAAGTGTCTATGACTAAGTCTCAGCTGTAAGGCGACCAAACCTCACCTTCCAGAGTATTTTCATTCTGGTCATTTACAGATGGTGATGCTGATTTTGTCTACATACCGATCCCCGACTTCTTAATTTAACATACCCCTGTATATTCCATTTCCTTTTTGGTATTTTTAACATTTTTAACATTTCTCTCTCCCAAATCAGTTTCCTCTCGGCGACGTACTGTCTGTTTTCATAATTTGTTTACACTCATAGGGCCATCAACGTGTCTGCCACATCCCAAAATGCAAGGCATAATCATTTGTGATCCCTAGCCCCATAGTCTTTTACCCAAATTTCCTACATTAGCCGCTGAAAAAAAAAATAGAGGGAAATGCTCATATCAGAAATAACCACACAGATCTACATCACTGTAAAATTTGCATTCATGGACTCACCCATCTTGGCAACTGGGGTATGGTTGGGGACGCTGTGTTGATCTTTGCTGCCTGGAGAGAGCAGAGCACATCACAGCTAGAAGCTAGCCATTAGCATGTTGTAGAAACTCCACAACATGGCAGAACTTGGTGAGGCTTTGTGTTGTTTGTAGAGATAAAACATCAACATTGAATTTTCTTTACCCAAGGAAGAAGAGTGATTAATCAATCAATCAATCAATCAAAGCTTTATTTATAAAGCGCCTTCCGCAACCCTGTCAGGAAGCCCAAAGCGCTGATTATTAATGAGTAGGACTACAAAAGCTCCCGTCTTTTACCCTCACTTCTCCAACTAAAGCCTGGTTCATGCTTCTCTGTCAGCTCCCCAAGGGACAGACACACATGGATTGACGGAAGCGTTTTGCTCTCATACTTTTCCGTCTCCTGGAGAGTGTTGCAAAGCAATTGCCCGGCAGGACAACAGACGGCGTAGCGCTGTTCTGTGGTATCCTGTCATGTATCGGTCCAAGATCGTGTGTTTATATTGTGTTTTTTTATTATGTAAGAGACATTTTAACACAGACAAATTTGTCTCTCATCCTCCTCCACCTCTTCATGTGCTCGCCACCTCTAAACCAACGTTTCCTGTCATTTCCGTCCACCAATAAAACGCTTGCTGCGCATCTTTTCACTCCTCCAGTCACGGGGGAATTAAACGTTCATATTTTTAGAGTTTTTTCGCGAGGTATTCTTCAAGCTTCTCCGTGTCTGCCGCTAGTTATCCTCGGCTCTCTTTATGTTTTTGAGGGCACAATGGCGGCGGTGTAGACGACAGCGGCGTCCTGACCAATCACAAGCTTGCGTTGTCCGTCTCGACTGACGGATGTTTAGAAAAGAGAGCTCGACTCCATCCGTCCTTGCGGAGCTCTCCTTCAGGTCCGCAAGGACGTTGCGTGTCTCCGCACTGACGCAGACGGAGAAGCATGAATCAGGCTTAACTCCTAGGCCTACTGCCTGAGACAGGCCAGAGCTTTTGTTCCACAAAAAAAAACGGCTCACAGAAGATTTGTTTTTTTAAACAAGTGTACGTCTACCTTAAAAAAAGTTTGTTTGCCTTAAAATTATATCAAATGTAGAGGTTGGAGCTGTCTCAACAGACTCTGGTCTTGGCTGCAACTAGACTAGCTAACTCATCAATCAAGCTGGAAATAAACTTTTTCTCTTAACAAAGGATTTTGCCAAATCTGTCCACAACGGGTGACACAGTAATGACTTAGAAAATTTACACGTAAGCAGACTTTAAAATGGCAGAAATTTGCTTCGAAAAATCTTTCCTGTTCCTTTAGTTGTTCATGCTTTTGATTTGTTCACCCAGTGTTTGATGTTTACTCTACGGCTGATTTCCAGGTTGGAGGCCAGCTTATAAATATTACAACATGTGGCTGTCGCTGCTGGGGGCTCTGCTCTGTTGTGTTGTTATGTTTGTCATCAACTGGTGGGCTGCTCTGCTCACATATGGAATAGAAATCCTGCTTTACATTTACGTCACAGTGAAGAAGCCAGGTGAGATTCTTTAAATCTATTGAGGTCCCTACAGTGGTGTCAGAGATCTGACCGTTTGCTTCCTCTGCAGATGTGAACTGGGGTTCGTCCACACAAGCGGTGACGTTTGTGAGTGCTGTCAGCAACGCTCTGTCTCTAGCTGGAGTTGAAGATCATGTCAAGAACTTCAGGTAGACGTCTGCATGAAATCAGAAGGAGTTTATAACAGTATGTCAGCAGAACAGCCGTGAAATTCATGCTCCTTCCACAGGCCTCAGATCTTGGTTCTAACGGGCTCAGCGCGGACCAGGCCAGCTCTCCTGGATCTGGCTCACTCCTTCACTAAGAACTATGGACTCTGTCTCACCTGCGAAGTTTTTGTGGTAGTGTTTTCTCTTTCTTAGCAAATGCTAGCGTCTTGCTTGTTACCCTTCATTTCACAGATAAAACTTCCAAGCCAAGGAAATGTAGATTTTGCTTTAGAGAACCGTAAAGTCTCTGTGGACCAGAAACAAAATGTCTCAGCATGTCTTCTGGATATCAAAGAAATGTGTATTTGGAATTGTTTTGAAAACATCTACATACTTTTTTTTAATTGATTTTCTTCCAGGGCCCAAGGTCAGAGATTTATCAGGAGATGAATGCCGGGATGGAAAAGAATCAACAATGGCTCAATAAGACCAAGCGGAAAGCGTTTTATGCTGGTGTGGCCTGTGACAACTTCAGGGAAGGAACCGAGAGTCTGCTGCTGGTCGGTGATAGATAAGAGCCAAAAGACAAAACTATGCAAAATTTCCAATTGATTATTGTTTAACCCGAGACCACAGAACAAGGGAATGGAACATGTGTTGGAGCAGCTGTGTTGAGACGCTTGTTCCTCCTTACTGAGTATCTATTATTTTGTTATGACGTGTCTGAAGAACCATGTCAGGACAATGGTGCAGCAGGTAGAAGATGAGCGAGTGAATGAGGAGGAAAACAGCATTATGGCTCCCACTATCAGCCCTTTGAGATAAGGCCACTGTTCGTTGTCAGGATTGCTTACTTCAAACAGCAGAAAAGATTAAAAGCTATAATTGATTAACGCAGCATCAGACGAGTCCCTGCAGACGGAGCGATAGCTGCTGAGGGATGTGATCACAACTTACGGCTGTAAAATGCCATCGTGGTCTCCTTGCAGGACATTTTAAAAGTTTCTGGAAAAAGTTTTTATCCAGCAGGTTTTATTATCTTTTGTTGCTCCAGGTGAAAACCCTTTCCAATTTAGGTTTTTATAAAAGCTTTGATTTTTCATTCCCCCTGCAGGCTTCTGGTCTTGGACGCATGAGGCCTAACACATTAATGATAGGCTTTAAGAACAACTGGAGAACAGCAGGCAGAGACGCAGTGCAGAGTTATGTGGGAGTACTGCAGTAAGTCATAAATAAACATGCACACATTACACACTCAGTATAAAAGATTTCAGAGATCTGAGTTTTAAACTGGTGTCTTGATTCTCTTCGTGACAGCGATGCACTTGATTTTGAGTATGGGACAGTGATCCTGAGGATAAACCAGGGACTGGATGTGTCACATCTGGTAGCAGAAGAGGGTGTGTATGCAGTCGCAGGCTCTGTGACTGAACATGCAACATCTTTATCAGTAATTTAGCTTTTTATTTAAAATTTAAAAAGGCAAAAATAATTATTAAACATTGTGTGCACAGGTAGTTTTTAAAAACGATCGACAGCTTTTGATAAAAACTGTGCAGGATCTTTTTTAAACATCAAAAAGTGTCTTTCAGTTGACCTGAATTGATTTCAGAACTTTGATCTGTAGATTACAAAGGCTTTACAGTGGCCCGTGTCAGATAATGTCAGATAAAAACAAAAAGAACTTGCGGTAAAAGCAATAAAATGAGATACAAAGAAAGAAGATTAAGGTGCAAAGGAGCACAAAATTATAGTTGGAAAGCAAATATCTAATGCAAACTCAGATTTTCTCAAGCTGAAATGGTTTATAAATTATTAATAGCAAAGATTGAAGTCCCATTAGTTATCACACACACTGGTGTGTGTGTGCGAAATTTGTTCTCTGTATTTGACCCATCCCCTGGGGGAGCGGTGAGCTGCAGACACTGCCGCGCTCGGGAACTATCCCCCAATCAAACCCATTATTGCTGAGTGTCAAGCAGGGAGGCATTGGGTCCCATTGTTAACGTCTTTGGTATGACCCGATTGTGGATTTGAACCCACAATCTCCCAGTCTCAGTGTGAACACTCAGCTGGGTATAAATGCTAAAAGGGGTAGACACAGACCAACACGTGTATGTAAAACCAAAAACAACTGTTTAATTTCGTCACGATAAAGGTAGAATTCCTTATAGTAATCCCTTACGTTAAATAATTTGGGACTATCAGCATAAAGTCGATCAATCTCATAATTTTGTGTTGTTAAACATGTCAAATATACACCCCCCCCCCCCCCAGGCTAATGACAGCATAGATCTGAGCAGAAAAGATATACTTTAAAAAATCAAAAACTACTGTGACAACATCACAACTTTTGACATTTAGTGTAGGGTTTTCACAAACATCATTTTATGTAGCAATGCAAGGTAGCTTTATTTGTATCGTTTCATACATACAGGCAATTCAATGTGCTTTCCATTAGCGAGAAAAGCGTGAACATTAAAATCAATGTGACAACACACACAACTAAATTTAAATCAAATGAAAGACACAAATTCTTTTCAGATTTAGGAAAACAAAAAAGACAGTTAAAGGGTGAGCAGTTACAGTGCAGAAGGTGCGGCACGAGAAACATTCATTCAGAGGCTGATAAGACATGAAAGTTGCTAAAGTTGGGGCACTTTTGAGGTCATAAGGAAGCAATTCTGTGTGCAGCATGTAGTTAAAAGATGTCTGGTTCTGACCCGCGGTTCTACCAGCTGACTGTTTCCTAAGGCAGATATGCAATGAACACAGTTCAGTATTACAGACACACAAGCCCAAATGTCACTTACCACTGATAATTTTGAATGAAGAAACAAATGTTCTTTAAAATGTGTCCTTCAGAGGAAATGTTAAAGGCAGCAAGGGAGCAAGAGGCTCTGGATAACCAGATGATGACAAATGGAGGGAAAGCAAAGGGACTCTTCAGGAAATCCAGAAATTCTTCTCAGCAAGTTCTCACAACCAGAGGTAGTTAGCACACATTTCTGCACACACACTCTGGCACACATTTCGCCTTGGATCTGGGTTATTTTAAGCAACGGTCAGATCAGCTGATGACTTTGTAAATATGTGGAAACATGCTTCTCTCTCCCCAGAGTTTTAAAAGAAAATATGGATCGTTTAACATATGAAGTCAATGACTCAGGTCTTATATTCCGAAACTTTCCCCACACTCACTCAGAGTTATAATTGAATCAGCTGCGCCAGCTGGAGAGCAATCCAACAATAAAAGCCCTTTGTTCCACTTTGAGGAGGATCTCTTAAGAGTAGTCCGGTCCTTCAACCCAGACAGCAGAGGGTGCCTGCAGGCTTCCACTCCATCAATCTCTGCCTCTGTGTCACACACACACACACACACACACACACACACACACACACACACACACACACACACACACACACACACACACACACACACACACACACACACACACACACACACACACACACACACACACACAGCAACATCTTGGCAGGAGGGTGATGCTCGTTAGTATACAATCTACATCCTACATTAGGCTTGAATGATGGTCGTGTCTGCTACTGTCGAGGCGGTCTTTAAAAATCATTCGCTCTGCTTTGTCCATCTGGTTTAACTCTTCATACTCTCCCATGATCTGGTTCTAATCTCTCGTGTCATTTTCTTGTTGCCAGTGTCCGTGTGTGGCCCTACACCTGCCCAGGTAGCCAAGATGAATGAGAAGCTGATGGAGGCCAGTGGTCAGTTCAAGAAGAAGCAGCCTAAAGGCACCATCGATGTGTGGTGGCTGTTTGACGATGGAGGTCGGTGATTTTAATGGAACACATCAGATCCTTAAACAGGCAGGAAAAAAATTAATTATAGTAAAAAAAAAACACAAAACCTGAAACAGATGCTACAAGAAAAATGTAATAAATGAGTAGTAACCAGTAGTGATCGGTTATTCTTTAGGAAGGGATGCATTAAGAACAAAACTGATGTTTTCTGATGGCTGAGGATCTAAACTCAACACCTAATTCAAAACAGCTCATTTCTCCTTTCTCACATCTTTACCTTCCGTTTTTCTTCCTCACTTTGAAGACCTAAAATACAAGGAAACGAGGAGTGATGACAGCTAGGAGATAATAAAAATGTGTTGAAGGAAGCCTAATAAACCAATAAATTAATTAGCAAAAATTCAAGTTTCAAATGAAATAAAACCTTAATTTCCTTTTTCCGTTTGCTCAGGTCTGACCCTGCTGCTCCCCTACATCCTCACCACAAGGAAGAAGTGGAAAGATAGTAAATTAAGGATCTTCATTGCTGGACAGCCTGGACGCAGTGACCTAGATAAAGAGGAGTGAGTGAACATCGGTTATGATAGATCACATCATTTGAAGTTGGGTCCTATATTGATTGGCTACATAAACTGGGTCTAGATCTGAACATCCACAAGGACGACATCATGATAATCACACATGTGTGTTGTGGTTGCAGGATGAAGTCTCTGTTAAAGAAATTCAGAATCAAGTGCAGTGACATCAATGTTATTGATGACATTCACATCAAACCCCGTTCGGACAGGTAATTACAGATGTCGCAAGAGATTACACAGAAATATTTGAAGAAAACATTATTTCAATAGTGAGCTCATCTTCTCCTTCAGCTTGAAGAACCTAGACGACATGATCAAGCCTTTCTGTCTGCATGAGGGGTCTAAAGACATGATTCAGGCTGATGTGATGCAGAAGGAGCACCCCTGGAAAATCACTGATGCAGAGCTGAGCAGCTTTGAGGAGAAGGTACTAATGACAACATGTTAGGACAAAGGTATACACGGTGTTTGGGTTTGATTACTAAACATTTGTTCCTGTTTTGCAGACTCACCTTCAGGTTCGACTCAATGAGCTCCTTCAGGAAAACTCCAAATCAGCAAATCTGATTGTTGTGTGAGTGTAACCTCCTTACATCTAGATAGTGTTGAAACCCTAATCCAAAGTGCACGGACATTTTAAATCTACTGTTTGTCCATCTGCAGGAGCATGCCCATTGCTCGTAAGGAATCCGTGTCTGACTTCCTCTACATGGCCTGGCTGGACATCCTGACAAAAAATCTTCCTCCGACTCTGCTCATCAGAGGAAATCACAAGAGCGTGCTCACGTTCTACTCATGAGGAGCTCGATCGGCAAAGCACCGTGAAGCTGAAACGCCTCACAGTCAAGATGATCCCTGTTCAGAGAATCTACAGGGACCGTGGATGCCCTTTAGGTCTCCCAGACCAACGTCAAAGTGAAATATAAATGTATTTTGTCTGATTTTTCATTTTGACAAAACAATGCAGAAAATATGAAAAACGTGTTCACAAGTTAAACATAAGGATAATTTATTATCTGATTTTCTGTCCCGGTGACCACAAACATCTCGTGCCTGGTCTGGTACGAGATGTTTTATTAATGCAATTTAAAATCCAACAACTTAACTAGCTTTATGCTCTCTTGGAGACATTTTCCAGCATGACACCACTGCACAGCTATTAAGACAAATTGCTGTTGCATCCAGTTTTGTTGTTTCGTTTGGATGAACAAAGACCCCCGGCCGACACACAAGCTGCTGTAGTGTGACTGTAAATATAAATGTAAATAGAAAACCTCTGAATATTTTTAAACATAAGATTCAATCATGTAACAACAGAATATTAATATACTATTGTTAAGTTAATATTAGTTATTTGTACACTGTGGTAATAAAAGTTTAATTGGTATACATTCTCCATTTAAATGAGACACTATTGTGCTACTTTTTTTTTACTTGGCTCATATTATGTTGCTCCAATGTTTAATGTTACCATGCACAACATTTTATGTAAATAAAAAAATTAAGTACGGTAGAAATAAACAAATCAAGGACAAGACTTTGATCCCAAGCAATCTTTTTTGTGATTATTTTGAAGAATTAAAATATTCTGAAATAAAGAATAAAATGTTTGCCTGGCTTGAACCGTTGTTTGAACATCAGATCAGTTGTTTCTTTAACGGCGCTCTTTAAGGATGTGCAGCTATACTGAAGTCTCTCTCCACACACACACACACACACACACACACACACACACACACACACACACACACACACATTTTTGTTTTGTTTTTTCAATTGAATAAAATTTGGAAAAACCCAAACACATTTGTTGTCTATATTTTAAAACTAGACTGCAGAACAGGAGCAAATCAATTTACCTTCATTAAAATAATAAAATTACTGACCCAGAATTTGAAGCTGAAAAAAAAACTGCATTTGGGCAGAGTTTGCAACCCAAATGGGGCTTTCAGGATGTGTTTAAACCTCTTTGTGCTGATTAGCTTATTTCTATGGTACATTTATCAGTTATTGATGTGTTGCTCTGTTGTAAGAGAATTACATCGGAATGATTCAGGTTTAAGTATTCGGAAATATTTTCTATTTTTTCAACAAACTGGACTTTTTGACTAAATAATGTGTCATCCTGAAGTCTGCTGACAACACTGCACGTGCTGAGAGTTAAGACTGCTTCAGATAATACCAGGATTCCACAAGAGAGTAAACCACTACAGGCTCCACAGGAGAGCCACCACCACCATCAAAAACCCCACCCACACCAAACCGTTCCCACTCTTACCTTCAGCCTGGAGGGTGAGATTTATAAAATGCAGGACCACCAGAATAAAGAACTTTCTTTCCCACTCTTGAACGACTGAGCTCTTCAGCAAATAAACTGAGTGGTTCACTAGAATGGAAGAGCTCCAAACATATGTTGAGCTTATGCTGAATTGGAAATAAAAGTAACTAGTCCAAGATGTTGGAGCAACAGTCCAGAATATGATAGCAAAATGTAAATTAAGTATCAGGAATGTTATATATTTTGGGGGGGTAACCTGAAAACTGCATTACAAAGGATGATGGACATTAAGATTTGGCTTCAGACCATCCCAGTTTCGACTGTGAAAGCTACAAGAAGTCTGTGAATGTACAATAAGAAACTCCAAATGTGTGATTGTGTGCAATAAAGAACTCAAAATTTATACCTGAGTGCAATCGAAATAAACTCATTCATTCATTACGAAAGAGTCATTGAATCCTGAAGGCATTCATTATCCGCCCTCCAATCCAGAAGGTGGCGGCACCTGAAATTAACAAAAGACGAAGAGAAACAGGAGGAGTCATGAATTGACAGGAAGCTCTTTGTCTGCTAACTATGATTAAAGCGCTGCTAAATCAAAATAATGTTCAAAAATGCGTTACGCTTATTGATGCTGCTCCACGTTTCGTGACAAGGCGGTTTTACACTCAGATGACCACAGAAAGCAAAGACAGTCAAGAAAAGACAGAAAACGTAATGTCAAACGTTCAGTAGACACCAGCATGGCTAGCCTTTAGCATGTTGCATATGTAACCACTATGGTGTTTACATGGATTTTTAGGTCACAGGGTGTTCACGGTGTAAACATCGCGTCTGTTTCATGCTGCGATGGTCACACAAGGTGATATTTATTGGCTTGGTGTTCATTTAGTTTCACCGGCAATTGAACCGTTTGTTTAAATCAGCAAATCTCATGAGAAACCTGCATGCCACTTGGGTCCGATAGTTACAAAGCTTTTTTCGTTTGCAGTCCGAGCTTGATTTAACCATGCAACCTTTTTACACAGAACTAAATAAAATGTAGTAAAATGAGAGATAGACGTGTTAGCGTTGTTTACGTCTGACTCTGCTACGTCTAGTTCTGCCTGCCTCCAAGGAGGAGCCAATATGCAGCGAGCGCGCGCAAATTCGTAGCAAGAAACCGAAGCAGACAAAGCTGCATGGGCCTGTACTGCTGTGTTTTAATAGAAAATAGTTTTTAGTCTGCATTTTAATTGTTTTTTGATATTACTGGCTTTTAAAACGGTGAACACTTTGCCAACATGCCCGCTCTAGAGGTTACAGATGTTTCTGCACTTTCTCCATCCAAGAGGGCAAGAACAGAATCCAAACCAGAAGAACAAAGACACGTGCTTAGATTTGCTAAACTCTCCGAGCACGCCACGACTCCTACGCGAGGTTCAGCTAAAGCAGCTGGATATGACCTGTACAGGTTGGTGGCTGTCTGCTTCTCCGTCTGGCTTTGCTATTGTCCCCGCCATGCTAACTTTACTCTGAATTTAAACAGTGCCTACGATTACTCCCTTGGACCCATGGACAAGGCCATTGTGAAGACTGACATTCAGATAGCAGTTCCAAGTGGATATTATGGGAGAGTAGGTGAGTGTTTAGCTTGATTTTGATCATTCTCCTCACTCTGGACGTTCTATTGAACTGCAACGGTCTATTGTCATTTTGTCTTTTAGCTCCAAGATCTGGGCTAGCAGCTAAACACTTCATCGATGTTGGTGGTGAGTGAGTAAATCGCTGTGTCAGTGATGTACTACATGTACAAGTTGATGCTTATATCGTGTGTGTGTGTGTGTGTGTGTGTGTGTGTGTGTGTGTGTGTGTGTGTGTGTGTGTGTGTGTGATTTTAGCTGGTGTGGTGGATGAGGACTACAGGGGGAATGTGGGTGTTGTTCTCTTCAACTTCAGCAAGGAGACATTTGAAGGTGAGCTGTGTCATCTGTAAAGTGTAAACCTTCAAATAGAAGTACCAGCAATGTTAGACATATGTTGCCATAATGTTTATGGTCTTTTTCCTTTTTAGCTCTCACAGGAAGATGATCTGTGATAAACGTGCATTCAGTGGCAAGCTAATCATAGCAGGCATGCTTTGATGAAAAGTAATTTTTATGTTGACAAACTACTGAAAACAAATGCTGTGTGCAGCACTTGAGATGTTCTCTTTGAAAACGATCTTAATAAGTTTCAGAGCAACAAAAACTGCTCTAAAAGGAGGTATTTTTATAGCTTTCATGCAAGATTTCAACTATTTATTTTATCCTATACAGGAATTGATGAGATCAAATGTGATTTTTGAATTTTCAGAGCTTATTGCGACCTGTAAGGAACAATAAACTAATGTGAGATAAGCTATGAATGATTGATCTGTGAAAATAGAATATAAATTATTTGTCGTGTTCTTCACAGTGAAAAAGGGCGACAGAGTTGCTCAGCTGGTTTGTGAGAAGATCTGCTACCCTGATCTTGTGGAGGAAGAGGTAAAGCTTGCAGACTAGTTTTGCCAGTTTATCGAGCACGCTTAAGTAGAACTAGAGCTGTAATTTTAGAAAATTTAGAATTTGGATTTTTTTATACTGAGGCAAAAAATGGGTCCTAACAAGAAACACGATGCTTTATCCCCTGTAAATAAATTAGAATCAGAAGAGTTTATTGCTATATGTGTGAGCAGGTTCACAACATTAGGAAATAATTGCAGTACTTGGTGCAAAAATAACAAATAAGCACAATAAAAAACATTTTTTAGAAGCAATAATCAGCGAAACAACTAATATATGCAAGGCGGTGTGGGTAATGAACAAAGCAGAACAATCAGGTGCAAAGAGCCGTGCATCTTACAGAGGAAATCATAATACTAGTCCTAATAAAAAGATTGGAGTTTGAAAGGTTTTCTAAGGTTTCGGCTGTATTTCTGCACCTGTATCTATAGCAGAAAACTCCAAACTTCCTTTGATTCTTCACAATAAAAGCCTGAAGCAAATACATGTTACCTGCTACATACAACTTTGGCAACTTCTGCACAACAACCTCAACCACTCGGAGTTTAGCAATAGTTTATAGTTTATATACAGCTACGAGTGCAATCACTGTGTGTGCTGAAACCATTATTAAAACCTATGGAGTCATCACGGTTCATTTATACGAACCACATGGGAGATTTGTGTCAGTGCTGGTTATTTTTCTTATTTCCTTATGCGTGTTATTTTGACTACCTGGAAGCATGTTTTCCCTCAACGTAACATCCTTTGTAGGGCTGGGCAATACGGCCTAAAAATAAAGTCTCAGATACATTTTTTTAATTTGATTTACGATTTTTTTTTTCGATCCCCCCCCCCCCCCCCCCCCCAATTATTAAGAATAGCAGTAAGTACAAATGGAAGGCACGTTACAGCCAATTTTCTTTTTAATTTAATCACAAGCAAGACAAATGTAACCCTCATTTCTGAGATGAATAAATGAACACTCTCTTGGAATAAAAGTGCCACGCTCCACGTCCGTCGCAGCAAACCCAAACCAGTTCCAAACAATGGAGGATTTCATTCCTTTCTTAGAAACAAGCTTCCCATCCTCACCGGTGGCCACGGAGTCGCTTGCTGTTGCTGTTTCATGTGTGTGCTGTAACATTGCCGCAGTTATGTGAAACTACGCAAGTTCCTGGGGGCCAAAAAGGTGCTATTACATAAAAATTTTATTTACTTTTTTTTTTAAATCACCCGCAACAAAAAATTTGAATTAATTTATTAAATCGATTTATTGCCCAGGCCTAATCCTTTGCTAGTAAACTTAAAATTTGCATCACGACAAAATAAAAATGGATCCTGTATTTTGGTGTTTACTAACCAGCTGGTATGGCATCCAATTAGTAATTATTTTGTGTTCTTTCAGACGCTTGATGAAACGGAACGAGGTGCCGGAGGCTTTGGGTCAACTGGAACCAACTGAAAAACATCCAATGTTGAAATGTTTAGTTTTAGTGTTTTTATGACATGTATGGATGAGATAATAAAGGTCATTTGTTTCAAAAACTGTAGTTTGGTGTTAGCTGAACTAGTTTTCTCACAAAACGAAACTCTTCCAAATGTCCACATGGTGGCAGTGCAGGACAAGGATTCACTCTGAGGCTGAGTCTTCAAACCAAATTCCTCTTGCACTTGAGAATTGGAGCTCCATGTCAGATGGATGCAAGAGATTTTGCAGCATCTGGACAGACTATTTAGGATAATTTGACTTTCTCTTGCCAAAACATCCAGAGATCTTGTTCCACTTATCTCTGATCGTCACACAACTGCAGAGAAAGAATGACGAAGCAAGCAGCTGCCTGGTGTCATGACTGTTCTTAAATTTCAATCAGGAAGAAGATAAAAAGCAGAGCAGTGAGTAAACGTACACCAAAAATATGTTTTTATTGTGAATTTACATCTAAACCCTCTGATGTGAACAGAGAACGCAGACTGATGTCAGACTGCTGCAAAGTAACGCTGCACTGATTTTACTTGTGAGAAAATGTGTGGCCGCAAAGGCCTCAGTGCATAATCATGAAGGCCCAGGTTTGGCATCATCAAATGTGTGTGTGTGTGCTGTTTGTATGTATACACTGTTTACAAAGAAAGTAGTTGGTCATTATAAGCACCATTATGACCCCCTCTATTCCGGGGGCTTCCTCTAGTTTACAAATGCTTTATAGATTAAAAGTGGCATTGATTATTACAGTATAAACACAATGTACATGAAAATAAGAGAACCGACAGGATTTGATGCTAGCTGTTGCAAATGCAAGGACATGGACTCTTCAGAATGACCGATGGGATTGTTTCTGACTACAGTGCATTCAGAAGTCTACGCGTTGTTAGCACCAGTAGATATGAACTATTCAATCAGTAGGAAAGATGGGGAAGGCAAAGTTTAAATATGCAGTAGGATTCATTCAAGCTCAGAGATGGTTACATCTCAATAGTCCATAGTGGGCTCCTTTCCTCTTCTAAACATTCTCATTCTTCATTGAATCAACATCCGGGAAGGAGGAAAACTTCCAGATTTGTTCAGTCACTTACTTGAGAGGAGGAAATAAATTGATTTCAGACTATTGTGACACAACTTTTTCTTAGAGTTCCAAACACAGTCACCTTTTCAGGCTCTCTGCCGCCCACATGCCCGTCGGAGTGGCATTTGATTCCACATATCATACAACATTTAACTCTGAATTCAAACCTATCTTTCCTCTCTTTGTGCTTTAAACACAGCTGTGGTGTGAATTAAACACACTCAGCTGCTATGTTCCATAGAAACTGGATCTATGATATGTAGAATCATCTTTGGCGATCAAATGACAACATTACCCCTTCCCCTGGTCTCTTTGGTGGCGGGCCCTTCTCCCTGTTGGAGCAAGTAGACGTTGCCCCCAACTACTGACCCAGAGTCAAAACATGTTTGGCCTTCAGGGGACTGGGAGCCAGACGCTGGATTAGCAGCTGCTGGCAACATCTGCCTCTCTCAGTCATGTGATGGTTAATGGAGGATGAGTTTCACCCTCATCTTCAGTATTTCTCCCAGCTGTCCTGTGAGGTAGTCTTTATCGTGCTGGTCCTCCAGCTCAGCCAGCTCCTTCTTCCTGTAGAGGGGCTCGCTGCTGATCTGAAGGTCATACGCCCCTGGCATGAGAGCTTTCTTCTTACTGAAATGCAGGTAGCTGACACCGTCCTTCTGATTAATTTTAAAAAAGCCTTCCTCATTCCCATTGTTGATGTTGTATCTCACGTGGTCGCTGAGCGTGGATAGGGCCGGCGTGAACTCCAGGATGTGGTCGCGGTTACTGAGGTCACTGATGTTCAGGTGCAACTGAAGGGTGTTTTCGATGTCCACGCTGGCTAGACTGATTTCTTCTGTCAGCTAAAATAGAGTACACAAAAAAACACAATTTAGCAAAGGCATGCAAAAGATATGTGACTAATAAACAGAACAGATCATGTATCTATAGTGGCCAGTTACATGATGTCATAATAATTTAAAGAGTTAGAAAGTTCCAACAAACCTGCCAATCATAAAATAATCAAGTGCTGTTGAGATAACCATAAATATATTCTTATGGGGTGTCTAATCACAGTTAGGGACCACTATCCTGCATGTTGCTGTAATTGGTTGAATTACCTCTTCAGTAGGTCCTCGGTATGCAGATGCTTTTTAATCATCCATTCATTCAAATCAGGTTTGGCAGCAGAGAACAATTTTATAGCTCTCAAAGACTAGGACCAGTCACCACTGATCTTATACCAGAATGAAAGCCTGGAGTAGGAAATGTAACAAGAAAACTGCTAGAACTACATTACACAGCTTTTTTGATGTAACTGTCACTGAAACACAAGTGTTCCTTCAGGAACTGCAGAGATGCACAGAGCCTATGGCAGGGCATCCAAGCCATCACAGACTACAAGCCTGAGCAGCGGAGCTGGGAAGAACCTCTCTGCTCAACAATCTCTTTGCACACGTTGAACCACAAAACGATACTTCCCACTGCCTCCACACAACCAGATTCTGTGTCTGTTACCAGCGTGAAGAGGACACCCTCCACCATCAGAGGTGTGAATCTTCACTTGTCTCCCGATTCAATTCGATTCGATATCACGATGCATCACGATTATTTCATATTGATTTGTTTTCATCGATAAATAAAAAATGTCAGATAACTGCTTTTTATTATTATTTTTTTTAAATCAAAAACATAATTGACACAACCTGCCATCCCTCAAAAGCTCTCCATTCACAACAGGTTAGGACAAAACATTTAAGATTTACCAAAGTAAAACCATCTGTATCCTCATTCAACACCACACCTCAGGCTGAGAAAAACACGCTTTGCAAAAACTCACAAAATCTGAAAAAATACTGAAAACCTATAGGACACATTATGTAATAATTAAATATATAATGAGTTCATATATGAGTGTTTAATGTCTCTGAGCAGCTTTAGAGTCCAATATGTATGCCACAGTTGAAGGGTGTCAGAAATAACATCAAATGAAATGTTTGGCAGTTTGTTATTTTATTTGAACCCAGTGGTTAATTTCTGAAATGTTGGCAAAAGAATCAAGTTCTTATGGGTTTTAGTGTTTCAAGTTCTGTTTGATGCAGAAAATAATAAAACATAAAACAAATTCTACACTTCCAATAATATTTAAGATGTGTGTTTAATTCCTTCTGATAATAACACCAGCTAAAGGCTGTGGGCTGGATTAGGATTAAATTACCCAGTTGATGAATCTCCTTCACTAACCAGCTAACTACAAACTTTTCCACTAACCTGTCCTGTGGGACCCTCACCATGTAACCCTCATGTCCATGCTGTCTCTGGAGGAGCAGATAGGAAACAAGACCTCCTGTAACCTAAAATGAACCAAAGCTTCTTCCCAATTTTTTTTAAGTTTAATTTAACATCAGTTTATCATCATGAAACAAAAGAATAAATCCATCCATCCATTTTCATCCGCTTATCCGGAGTCGGGTCGCGGGGGCAGTAGCCTAAGGCGAGAGGCCCAGACTTCCCTCTCCCCAGCCACTTGGGCCAGCTCCTCCGGGGGAATCCCAAGGCATTCCCTGGCCAGGTGAGAGACATAGTCCATCTACCGTGTCCTGGGTCTACCTTTAGGTCTCCTCCCAGTTGGACGTGCCCGGAAAACCTCACCAGGGACAGGTCCAGGAGGCATCCTGACCAGATGCCCGAGCCACCTCAACTGGCTCCTCTCGATGTGGAAGAGCAGCGAGTTTACTCCGAGCCCCTCCTGAATGACAGAGCTTCTCACCCTATCTCTAAGGGAGAGCCCAGCCACTCTTCGGAGAAAACTCATTTCAGCCGCTTGTATCCGTGATCTCATTCTTTCGGTCACTACCCAAAGCTCATGACCATAGGTGAGGGTAGGAACGTAGATCGACCGGCAAATTGAGAGCTTCGCCTTCTGACTCAGCTCTCTTCACCACGATAGACCGGTACAACGCCCGCATCACTGCAGATGCAGCACCAATCCGCATACCGATCTCACGCTCCAGTTTTCCCTCACTCGTGAACAAGACCCCGAGATACTTAAAACTCCTCCACTTGGGGCAGGACCTCATCGCTGACCCGGAGAAGGCATTCTACCCTTTTCCGAATCAAGACCATGGTCTCAGATTTAGAGGAGCTGATTCTCATCCCAGCTGCTTCACACTCGGCTGCGAACCGCTCCAGCAAAAGCTGAAGATCACTTTCTGATGAAGCCAACAGGACCACATCATCTGCAAAAAGCAGAGACCTGATTCTCAGGCCACCAAAACGGATGCCCTCCACACCTTGGCTGCGCCTAGAAATCCTGTCCATTAAGGTTATGAACAGAATCTGTGACAAAGGGCAGCCTTGGCAGAGTCCAGCTCTCACTGGGAACGAGCCCGACTTACTGCCAGCAATGCGGACCAAGCTCTGACACCGGTCATACAGGGACCTAACAGCCCGTATCAGAGGGCCTGGTACCCCATACTCCTGGAGTACACCCCACAGGGCCCCCCGAGGGACACGGTCAAACGCCTTCTCCAAATCCACAAAACACATGTAGACTGGTTGGGCAAATTCCCACGCACCCTCCAGGATCCCCCTAAGGGTATAGAGCTGGTCCAGTGTTCCACGGCCAGGACGAAAACCACATTGCTCCTCCTGAATCTGGGGTTCAACAATCCGATGGACCCTCCTCTCCAGAACCCCTGAATAGACCTTACCAGGAAGGCTCAGGAGTGTGATCCCCTGTAGTTGGAACACACCCTGCAGTCCCCCTTTTTAAATGAGGGGACCACCACCCCGGTCTGCCAGTCCAGTGGGACTGCCCCCGATGTCCACGCGATATTGCAGAGCTGCACCAGCCAACACAGCCCCACAACATCCAGAGCCTTAAGGAACTCCGGGCAGATCTCATCCACCCCTGGAGCCTTGCCACAGAGGAGCTTTTGAACCACCTCATTGACCTCAGCACCAGAGATTTGAGAGACCAAGCCAATATCCCCAGACTCTGCTTCCTCACTGGAAGACGTGTCGGTAGGATTGAGGAGGTCTTCGAAGTATTCTGCCCACCGATCCACAACGTCCTGAGTAGAGGTCAGCAGCACACCGTCCCCACTATAAATAGTGTTGGTAGCGCACTGCTTCCCCCCCTGAGGCACCGGATGGTGGACCAGAATCTCCTCGAAGCCGTACGGAAGTCTTGCTCCATGGTCTCACTGAACTCCTCCCATGTCCGGGTTTTTGCCTTGGCGACCACCTGAGCTGCGTTCCGCTTGGACTGCCGGTACCCGTCAGCTGCCTCTGGAGTCCCACAGGCCAAAAAGACCTGATAGGACTCTTTCTTCAGCTTGACAGCATCCCTAACCGCCGGTGTCCACCAGCGGGTTCAGGGGTTGCCACCACGACAGGCACCGATGATCCTGCGACCACAGCTCCGTTCGGCCGCCTCAACAATGGAAGCATGGAACAGGGTCCATTCAGACTCAATGTCCCCCGCCTCCCCCGGAACATTTTGGAAGTTCTGTCGGAGGTGGGAATTGAAGCTCCATCTGACAGGAGACTCTGCCACACGTTCCCAGCAGACCTTCACGATACGTTTGGGCCTGCCTGGTCTGACCGGAATCTTCCCCACCATCTGAGCCAACTCACCACCAGGTAGTGGCCAGTTGACCAATCACACCTCTCCGGGTCTCACTGTCGTTGCCCACGTGAGCGTTAAAGTCCCCCAGCAGAACGAGGGAGTCACTGGAAGGAGCGCTTTCCAGCACCACCTACAAGGTCTCCAAAAAGGGTGGGTAGTCTGACCTGTAGTTTGGTGCACACGTAGACAGAGGGAGGCTATCATCTTATTCACTGGGGTAAACCCCAACGCACAGGCACCAAGATGGGGGGCAACTAGTATGCCCACCCCTGCTCGGCGCCTCTCCGTGGGAGCAACTCCAGAGTGGTAGAAAGTCCAACCCCTCTCAAGGAAACTGGTTCCAGAGCCAGAGCCATGCGTTGAGGTGAGTCCGACTACATCTAGTCAGAACCTCTCAACCTCACACACCAACTCAGGCTCCTTCCCCACCAGAGAGGTGACATTCCATGTGCCAAGAGCCAGCTTCTGTAGCCGAGGATCAGACCGCCAAGTTCCCTGCCCTCGACTACCACCCGTGACACATTGCACCCGACCCCTTTGGCCCCTCCCACGAGTGGTGAGCCCATGGGAAGGGGGACCCACGTTTCCTCTTCGGGCTGTGCCCGGCCGGGCTCCATGGGTGAAAGCTCGGCCACCAGGCGCTCGCCAGCGTGCCCCACCTCCAGGCCTGGCTGCAGAGGGGGTTCCCGGTGACCCACGTCCGGGTGAGGGAACACGGTTTCCATTTATATAATTCATCATAAGAGGTCTTCGGGCGGCTCTTTGTCTGATCCCTCACCTAGGACCTGTTTGCCATGGGTAACCCTACCAGAGGCAGAAAGCCTCAGACAACTTAGCTCCTAGGATCACTGAGCCACTCAAACCCCTCCACCACAGCAAGGTGGCAGCCCAGGGAGAGGCAAAAGAATAAAGTGGAACAAAAACTTCTATCTTCTATTTCTCTCTCCTTTTTACTTCTCCGTGTCCCTAAACAAAAGAGACAGATGATTACGCTGCAGCCGCCGTCACTGACCCTGCTCCCTCCCCAAGGCCGGATCTCCCGGCATCACTACACTCGGTCTGACTGAGCGCTTTGAGGACCAGGAGAAATAATAATTATGAAAATAATAATGCGTGTTTGGAGGAGCGTCCTCCGATCCTCTCTCTTATGTGAGCAGACAATGTCTCTCTCCCTCTCTCAGTTGCTGTGCGAGCGAGCAGAGCGCGCCGCATGACAACCTGCTCAATTAACATAATTCACGGCCCAAAACCAACAGAACCGGTCGGGCTGATTCGGTTCCGGTTCTGTCTCAGGTTACAACTCTAGTGCTCAGCCCTGCGGTACCACATTAAGGCGGAACCACTTGGTAAATGTGGAGGAGGCTCACTCTGACAGATTTGGATGCAGTGCTGGTGCCGCCGTTTAAAAAACAAAACTACATTCCACTATAATCGGTTATGGCGTACTCTTCTACGATGCAGAATCGTTTTATGTCCGCATCTCGATCCTTCGATTATTTGATTATTTTCCTCAGCTGTACCATCAACACCCAGAAAGCAGCAGGTCCAGATTCCTGGTAGGGTGCTGAAGGATTTCACTACATACATCTTAAACACATCCCTAAATGAGACCATTGCCCCATTGTGCTTCAAAGATGCCACCGTCATACCTGTGCTAAAGAAATCATCCCCATCCTGCTTCAGCGACTACCACCCTGTGGCACTGACACCCGTCGTCATGAAGTGTGTGTCCATGTGAATAATTTGACAGTAAAACTTCTCTTATCTCTACAAGGCGTATGACCTGCAGGTATTTGCGTTACAGTTAAAGGTGCATAAAGTAAGAAAGACATCCTGTGGTCAAACTTGGGTTCATCTATCAAAATAAGCAAGTTTGCTCTGAGCAACTGTTATGGATCAGCACCAGAAGACTCTAAGTTGCTAAGTAGATATATACATTTTATTGTTACACTGAGTTGTTGGTAAAAGAAAAAGTAGCTTGAGATATTTTTAGAGTCAACTTTTTTTTCTTCTTCATTGTTAGCATTGTTTGCTCATATTTAGCCTCTAGCCTTCTTTTCCTGATAATAGAGTAAAATAAAATGATGCCGTGGTTTCACAGGAGTACAAAAAAAACCTCTGGGCTGCTCCTTTTACTGGTGGCCATCTAGAATCACATTTTCTCCAAAGGTTGATTGATAGTTGTGCATCCAAAAAATCATTTTCTAATAGTTTCATTAAAATACGTCCAGTCAATGCTGAGGCCACCATGTTCTCTGTGACAGCTACAACCCTGCATGCAGATTACCTGCAGGTCTTCCATAGCGTCATCCCGTGTTGAGTTGGTGCTACGGCGTTTCCGTCCCTTCTTGGGGTGGCCATTAATCTTACATTCATAACAGGCTTCAGGTGAGAGGGAGTTATCATCCACCTCCCCATCCTGTCCACCACTTGTGAAGCCCAGACCTGTAACGCAGTGACTGAAACAGACACAGAGGCATGAATTAACTAAAAACACCTGTGAGCAGCTTTCACTCAGTTAAATTTTCATGTACCCTTGTCCTGCACGGAAGTATCCAGGCGGGCATCCACAGAGGTAGCCCCCATCTGTGTTCGAGCAGCCAAACTTGCAGGGGTTCTGGGTGGTTGAGCACTCGTTGACATCTGTGCAGCTCCCGGACATCTGCTCATAGTTGAAGCCAGTGGGACAGAGGCAGCGGAAGCTCCCCAGGGTGTTGTGGCACGATGCTCCCCCACAGATCTGACTGTTCATGCACTCATTCTCATCTAGGTCACAGGAAGGAAACAAACAAGGGGTCATTCCAGTTAAAGGACACAAACAATACTGGGAAAATCTGCACTGAATGTTATCAACAGATCCAAATTGAAAAAAAAGTTTAATAAAAGTATTTAATTAGTTCAAGATCTAAATATAGTGCAATATTTTATTTGTTTAGTGAGAACTAAATTTTATTTTATATGTATATTAGATTTGAGGATCAGGAGAGGTCCGAACGATGGACAACGTGGATAGATGTTGCATATTTTACCAATGAAGTCGCCCTAAAAGGACATAATTTTTTATTACATTTTAAAACACAGTGCTTACCAACACACTGGTTCCACTGGTAGTGCTGAAGGTAACCTTGTGGGCAGCTACATCTGTATCCACCCACTAAGTTCTGACAGCCGTGCTGACACCTGTGGTTTCCATCACACTCGTCCATATCTGTCAGAATCACCACACAGCAAGAAGTCTGAGAGGGTTTTAGTTCTTTTATGAATCAGCTGACACTCTAGATGGTTTCTGTTGTTTTCAAACCTTCACAAGCCTGCCCGTTGGGATCTAATGAGAATCCTCGCTGGCAATCACAGTTGAAGCTCCCCGGGGTGTTCTGGCAGACCCCGTTGGAGCCGCACAGATTGGGATCAGTGGAACATTCGTTGTTGTCTGCAGAGTGAGGGGGTTCAGAAAAAGATCAGACTGGAAATGCGACATAATTACAGATTCTGACCCTGATCTGAATGTGCTGAGTCACTTTAAAGGTGTGCTAGAATGCTATTTAATAACATTTGGAGACAGTGTTTTGAGCAACGATGGCAGAAGAGTTAAGTGTCTATAGCTGTAACCGGAGGGCTGCAGAGTCATGCCCCCTCTGCTGCAGTTGTTGTGTCCTTGGACAAGGCACTTAGCCCGCCTTGCCTGCTTGTGATGGTCAGAGGGACCGGCGGCACCAGTTTTTGAATGCGAATGAGGGAGGTATTGTCCGGTGAAGGGAGTGCATCCTGGCAATAGGAGTGCATTGATGGCTGTGAAGCTGGGATTTACAAGGAATTTCAATGGCAGCATCTCACCAGCTGAGAAGATGAGGAAGTGCAGCTGAACAAAGGAGTTATTGTAAAACAAAGGGACAGCACTGCCATAGGCGAAGTGGGGATTTTGCTGCAGAAGTTGGTGTTCGGTAAGCTAGTGAACTAGACCAAATTTTTGCTGTGTAAAGTTTGGTCTAGAACCGCTCCACTGGAACTGCTGCAGCCCCCTAGCAGCATTCTGGCTGGCCAATTACAGCTCTCTAGAGGTTTCAAACCAACAGAGCACTGTGATTGGTCCACAATGGTGGGCCAATCACCAGGGGACGTGTGAAAGGAGGATGGTGGTGAAGATGACCTTCATCTTGGAAAATCCCTCCCACCTACTGCATCCTACTGTGGAGACCATGGACAGCTCCTTCAGTGGCAGACTGAGACATCCCAGATGTAAAACCAAACGCTACCATAGGTCATTCATCCCTTCTGCAGTAAGAGCGTATAACTCCTCAGTTTAACTGGTACTGGCATTATTCAGTATGTGTTCAATACTTGTGCAATACCAGATGTGCATTAGTATGCCTGTGCCCCTTAAGCTGCATAGTTCTAGAAACACAAGTTTCCTTCTGATTCATTGTTTTTATTGGTTGAAGGTTACAACAATAGCTTATTGCATTTGTATGTTTAGCTGTAATCTTGTTATTAGTTGCTTCTTCCTTTTCTCCAAGTTTATGTGCAGCTGTAACAAATGCATTTCCCCACTGTGGGCTTAATAAAGTTTATTCTATTCTAACTTAACATGCATGATTCAGATCTGTGGGAGGACAGTACGAGTACCCAAAAAAACCTACAAGGGAAACATGCAAACATGAAGAAGAAAGACCCCTGCAAGGACCTAAACCCCGGCCCATGTCAGTAGTGGGCACCAACTGTGCACCTGTGCAGAACACAACTGATTACATCATTGTTTTATGAAAGTCACTGAAGGATTCTGAGATTATCTGGGCTACATTTGAGTCATACCAAAGTACATCTTGAGTCTTCCCATCTCTGGTTTCACGTAAGATCAAGTGGTTTGCTTTATGATTAGAAGAAAAAAAATCTACAGTGTTTCTGATACCATGACCACAAATAAGACCGCCATGTAAACAGCGTATGGACGTTGTTGCCCTGAGCTGCATAAACTTGATTTCAGCACAAATGAATGTTGAATAAATGTATATTATGCATGCGTGTGTATGTACCGATGCAGGAAGAGTGATGCTGGGTGAAGCCAGGAGGACATTTGCATGTGAAGCCACCAATAGTGTTAATGCACAAGAACTGGCAGTGGTGTTGTTTGGTCGAACACTCGTCCAGATCTGAAAAAGAGAAAATATTAAATACATTTAAAAAAAATTTTTTCAAAACTGCTCAGAAGTTTAACAAATACATTCACAAATGACAGCTGCTTGTTTCAGGGTTAAATTCCAGTCCGTGTAACAGCCGCTGACCTACAAATGAACTGCAAATGTACCAGACAGCGGACACACAGAGGGGTACTGTGGAGGGGGAAACTAAAGCTTCAGTAAATAAAGATGAAAGACGTCCTCAAAACCCAACACCACAAGAACATTTATTTAGACTTGCAAACAAGTTTCATAAACAGAGACACATGCTGTTGCACTTGTGTCACTGGATCTAAATGCAAGCTGCGTGTCTGTTGGCGAACACGGCTGACACGACAGCCTGGAAACTCACCAGTCTGAGAAGTACTGGTTCTAAAAGCATCTTCATTAGAATATTTAGACGTTCGGTTTTACTGTGTGTGATTATCACCTCTGCAGCTCTTTCCATCCTCCTGCAGGATGTATCCTCGAGGGCAGGAGCAGAGGTAACTTCCTTCGGTGTTCTTACAGATGAAGTTACAAGGCTTTGGTGCCTGTATGCACTCATCCACATCTAGAAGGTGAGAAGGAAACAGAGTTAAAATCCTGTATCCTTGCAGCTCCATTAGGGGGAGACGAAGAGGCCGGCAGACTTGTGAGTTTTTCAAAGAACTGTGTGGGCAGTCCACCCACATAGTTTCAGATTTTTACAAGACAGCAGGAATGAGACCAGGCGGCAGGAAAAGGGTCTATTCTGTGTAAATAATGGACTTACCCACGCACTGTGAGCCAGTGATGTCAGTGGTGTAGCCAGGTTTGCAGAGGCAGCTATAGGAGCCAATACTGTTGACGCACTGACCATTTTTACACAGATTCCCCATCACACGACACTCATCAATGTCTGAATGGAAACCAGACAGCAAGTTTCACTTGATGAATGGTAAAATAACATGGATCCTTTAAGAAAACCATTTTAATATCAAAAGGATTTTAAAAGCAACTCCACACAACTGTATTTACACATTTTCTACGCCTTTAGCTATTTATCAGTGACGTGTCAAGCAAGCTATTTTTTTCCACAGTAATCTTGAGTTTGAAGTCATTAGATACCTCTGCCATCAGTGGTGAACCCTGGACCCAGGGGACACATCTTCTTGTACTGGGTGGTTCCTGGCAGGGGGCAGAGTTCACAGTTGGTGCCCCAGCCTCGGCCGCCATCGCAGCAACATTCAGACTTCGTCACCAGGTTCCTGTTGCTGGACGACATCTGACACAGAATGGTCAGAACTTCGGTAAAACAGAAGCCTTCCCGGTTATCTGAGGGGGTGAGAAAAAGCAGGAAAGAATGATGAGGGACAGATCTAAGGAGTCTGAAAAAGGCAGACGATACCACCCAGATGGGACATGGCCTCACATGCCAGACAGACGTAGATGAAGATAACCCACACTTCTGTATCGCTGCTGTCTGTGAGGAATAAGATAACTACTGAATCTTGAGGTTTAACATGTCCTGCCAGAGGTTTTCTCACCAAGCTGAGCACAGTCCAGCCACCCTGAAGTTTAAATTTAGATAAGGTAGGAAAGATTTGCCCTGGTTTGGCTATGATGGTAGCTCACAGTGGGAAAAAGTTTTACATCCCCCAATAAAACAACAGCAAAAGGTTTTCAATGTAAACACAGCTATAAGTGCAACTAAATAAACGAGAAAATGGTGCAAAAGTTTTTTATGTCAGTAATTCAGCTTAACCTGAGAGACCATCTAAAGGCTCAGGAACCCTTTGCAGGTGTTCGTTAGCTGATTTTTGTGTGACACTTTGAGTAGGGCTGCAAAAACGAGTCTATAAAATAAATAAAAATCTATGACCAAATGAATTAGCAATGCATTTCGTCATAGATTCGTTGCGTTGTACAACTTTTTTTCGTGTCGTGCAACCTTTATGTAACAGTCATTGCGCGCAGCTCATCTGTATGCGGCAGCAGAGCAGACTGAGGCAGATCAGAAGGAAAGAGACATATATGTCGCACGTGCGATGAAGAAACTCAGTGTGTGATAAACTATTTTAGAAGTAACACTTTTGCGACATCTTTTCAAGTTACTTTTTTCCACAGAACGTTATTGAAAAAAGGTAAATTGCTTGTTATTGTGTAAGCAATATGTGTTTTACTGATGCACAATGTGCTAATCCAGGTGCTGTGGAGGAAAAGGGATTAAGTGGGTTCCAAAAGAACATGATGGTGGTGAAACTAAGAATATCTAAACTCTACAAGCAGAAAAAAGTCCCCATCATCGTGTTTATTCTTAACTGTCAGCAGCGCTATGGAGCAGAAACGCTGCAGTCAGGTTGCTGCTTCGAGCCTGCTCTGCTCAACACTGCTGCAAGATTATGGCAAGCCACTGTAGCATGTAATTCACAAATGCATCTATCTGTGAACATAATTTAAATTGGATTGTTGCTAACCTGTACATAATACATAATACATTACATTTTTAGCAGTATAAATGAAATGTTATTAGCATTTCCAGTAGCTTACTACTGAACATGTTAATGAAATACATTAAATTTTAGTTTATTCATGGATATAATTAGTTGATATGTGGTTTTGCATGCTATTGAACAGTTTTCTAATTATGTTCTGTAAAGAAAGGAGGGAAAAAACGTTTCTCTTGCAGTTTTTTAATTTTCCAGTGTTACCGATCAATCAAGTCGAGACCCAATCCGATTCATTGATGATCCAAATAATCATTTGTTGCAGCCCTAACTTTGAGTATAGAATATTGAACCTTTTCACAATATTATGATAGCCAGAGATTTTGACTTTGAAGGTTTACATACGCTGTAAGCCATAATCATCACAATTATAACAAATAAAGGTGTTTGTGACACATAACCTAAGGCTGTGGTTGGCACTAAATGCACTATGAATTATTACCATGTGCTTTGCAACAACAATTGTTACTGATATTTCCTCAGGTTTTTGGCACAGTGATATTTTTGTTCTGTTATGTAGCTGAATCTACACTGTGAGAATAAAACTGCAAGGCTTGTGTTCAGCACTCAGACATAAAGTCTGATTGCTTCACACCCGGACAGGACATGAGAAAAATAAATAAAGTCTTGAAATATCTGGCTTTGCATGTAATGAGTCTATCTCATACCTTAGTTTCACGTCTTAAGTTAAATAACTGAAATAAATTGAGTTTTGCACAATATTCTAATTTTTCAAGTTTCACCTGTTAATGGAGTAGGGCCTACCTGAGGAAATGAACAAACCCACATGTAAATGACAGAAAAATATATTAGATGTCTTTTTATAATTTCAGATAAATCAGTAACATCATGAATTTGCCCTCTCTCCCTGTCACGGCATTTTGATCTTTGACCTAAACCAATTAAGGCAACAAATGAAGCCCAACTGAAATGAAGCAAAAAACAAAAACGATCAGGAAGAACACAATAGTCTGATCAAACTTAAACTGATGAAATATGAAACTGAAAATAATGTAATTAACATATTTACACCTACCAATGCATTCTGTCTGTGTGGGGTTAGAAATGAATCCTTGGTCACATCTGCAGCGATAGCTTCCAACTGTGTTTTCACAGCGGCCATTCTTACAGATACCCGGTTTGGCTGTACACTCATTGAGATCTAAACACACACACACACACACACACACACACACACACACACACACACACACACACACACACACACACACACACACACACACACACACACACACACACACACACACACACACACACAAAGGAGGGAAAATTTACATATTTAGAGCTTGGAGACTATTGTCGGCCAATGGAAAGTCCTTATCAATCAACTTCTAGACACTTATAGATATGCTGAAAATTATTCCAATTGTGTTTACATCTTGCCATCCTACATCTGACAGCTCAGATGGGAGAACATTTAAAAATTTCAGGTCTCCAGACAAACGTGGGCAAGACTCTGTATGGTTAGCATGTTTAGTAATAAATCTTAGGTCAGTGCAATCATTACCCATGCATCCATCTCCATTGGGTTGGCGTGTGTATCCAGGTGAGCAGATGCACATATATGTACCAATCAGGTTCTTGCAGGTCATTCCTCTGCTGGCACAGTCATCTACACCGTCTTCACACTCATTCTGATCTAGAAAACAGAAAACACACTGAAATTGAAAGGATGCAGGCATTTTTCCACTGAGGGCGTTACATCAACGCTCATGTAAAATACACAAGCTCTTCTGGGTTAGCAGATGTGTAGCAGGAGATCAGATAGTCTGTTTGAAGCTTCACTGTAAACGGTGACACTACAGACGGGTTCCTCCTGTCTTAGTGCGTCCCTACAAATACACCCGTTGTCATGGTGACCAAACCATCTCAGTGAGTGGAGGAATAAACAGTGACTTGTCCGGTTACAGTTTTCAGACTGTTTTAAGCTGATCCCAGACAGAAAGCCCTTGAGGATCTTAGATAGTGAGTTATGTAACTTCATGGATGGGGCCACCATGTCTGGGGTACTTTGTTTATTCTCAATGAACACTTCCCAGTAAATGGGCTGTGAGAGAAAGCTGAGAGCACGAGTGAGTCACTTCACTGTGGTACCTTTGCACATCCTCCTGTCCTCTCGCAGGATGTATCCTGTAGGACATTTACACTCATACGAGCCCACAACATTAACACAGCGAAAGGCACACAGGAGAGGATTCTGGGCACACTCATTGATGTCTGGAGAAGAAATAAAAAGTAGCAGGTTACAAATAAACACTGCACACCATGAAGACGAATCTCAGATTCAATCTCACACACCTTCACAGGTCATCATTGGTCCAGGCTCGAAACCGTCATCACACGAACACTCAAAGGCGCCAATGACGTTAGTACATGTACCGTTTCCACAGGGATTACCAATGTCACACTCATTTGTGTCTGCATCAAAGAGCGTTTTCTGTTACTTAGACTACTGCTGACCAAATCTGTGACAGACAGCAGCAAAAACAAAGAAAGAAGAGTAAGAACAGACCTTCACATCGGACTCCACTGCTATCCAAATGATATCCCAAGGGACATTCACAACGGAAGGAGCCGTCTGTGTTGATGCACTGGCCATTAATGCATGGATCATTGAGGCATTCATTGATATCTAAAATAAACAAAACAAAGTGAAATCCCATCCCTAAAGTTAATAAAATGGTGTACAACAGTACAGATTCAATGGTCACAAACCTTTTGGGTGGTCATCCGGACCCCGCTCATACCCCTCATTAGGACAGAGGATGCGATAAGCCTCTGGAACCAACAAATCATAAATACCAGTGATTAATTCTGATGTGAGCTTTAGAAGATTTGGGTGTTTTCTGGCATGTATGTTTTTTGTTACAGCTGTGTGTGAAAGGAAGTGTACACACCCTCTCCTTTGCTGGGGCAGATTTCACAGGGGCTTCCCCAGCCTTGTCCAGGCATTCCAGTGCAGCAGCACTCTGCTTTAGACGTGTTCTGAGGCTTCGGAACGAGGCAGCGCCCATTTTCAAACTTGGTGTAGCAGTAGTGCACACGGGTATCTGAAGGTTGATACAGAGGACGAATGTAGTGAATGCAAGTGATGAAGAGGATCTCCAGATCCTTCCGAAAAATGCTCATTTTATCTTTTTGAATTCCCAGGTCCTTCTCGTAAAAATATTATAAAAGGACTAACAATACTACAAAAAAAAAAGTCTTGAGTTAATAAAAACTAAGCCCAAAGGCAGAAGCAGTGGTTCAAGAACACGGTATACCCAAATATTTCATCGCTTTTAGAACCACTTTAAGCAATTATTTATAGAAATCTTCTGTGTATCAGATACTCAAAACTTTAGACCCTGCTTCTATTCATTTGACTCATATTTAATGAAGGTTACACACATTTTTTAACTCTTACAAAGTCTCATTAGCATTTTAACCAGTTTGAAGGACTGACTTTGGGAAACTCAGATTTTTATTATTTTTATGCCATGTTTTTGTAGATTTTCTGGCATGTTTGGAATTACTGGGCCATTTCATTACTGTGCAACACTGATGGTTGAATGATCTCATTTCTAAAATGTCTTGGTATACATGTCTTTTAATGTCTGTGACTACTAACAGTGTTTTTTTTTTTTTGGGACTCTGGTAGTTTGTCCTAAAGTTGAAGTGGTAGCAGCTGACTGTTTGTCCTTCTCTGCTGATAGTATTGGCCAATTGCTGTTTTAATTTTTAAATGGGAGCAGTACTCTTTGGTCTTGGTTTCATTTGTACCAGCATTAGCTCAACTGTTCTGTCAGATGAAAACTCTAAACAGAGGACATTTCAGAAGCTTCTAAATGAAGGGATAGCAATTATGCTTACCTTTTACACAAAAATACTCATCAAAACAGCCCAAAAATGCCTTAAAGCTTGATACTACCCAAAGGTCTGCGACACATTGCACATCGAATTGAACATATGATAAAGATTCAGTCTAAATCCCACTGATGTTGGGTTTGCCACGTTAAGTCCTCAGTTATGCAAGTATTAGAATAAACAGTTTTTTAACAAGTCATTACACCAGGTAAACACAACCATAGCTTCTGTATTTGGGATTAGCTGTTGTTAACTTATTGAGTAAAGCACAACCTTTTTTCCAGTAAATTTCAGAGGGATCAATGACTTTCTGTCAAACTTTGACTAATGTTTTCATAGGTCAGTGATATTTCCTGTTCAGCATCACTTACACACACTCATCTCAACACAGTATTAAAACAATTTGTCTAATAGTTTTTCTGCCTGGAGCTACTCGTAAAAGCATGAACTCCTTAAGAAGTGTCCTTTGGTATCAGGCAAAATCCTGATAGCAGAAGAACTCTACCTTATAGGAGGGGTGTGTGGATTAGGCCTGTTTATTCAGCACATACCAGAGATGCTACAATAGACCGAGACATATCCTGAAGGTCAAATCAATGTTCTTCATTATGTTCTCAAATATGTATAAAACTTTAGTCACCTTAGATTCTACCCAGGTAAACTGGTAAACTGTGTTTTTTAGCTGTGAATAGAAGTCTGGATGAAGACTTTGATCAGATGTTTAATGTTTTTCTATAAGTAAGAAACTAAGTAAGTTAAGTAAGTAACTTTTATTGTGACCCAGTGTCAGCTCGTCCATTACCAGTCTCACGGTACGACGAAGAAGATAGGAAACATGAAAATGAAACTAAACAATCTATACATCATACAGGGAGTGCAGAATTATTTGGCAAGTTGTATTTTTGAGGAATAATTTTATTATTGAACAACAACCATGTTCTCAATGAACCCCAAAACTCATTAATATCAAAGCTGAATGTTTTTGGAAGTAGGTTTTAGTTTGTTTTTAGTTTAAGCTATTTTAGGGGGATATCTGTGTGTGCAGGTGACTGTTACTGTGCATAATTATTAGGCAACTTAAAAAACAAATATATACCCATTTCAATTATTTATTTTTACCAGTGAAACCAATATAACATCTCCACATTCCCAAATATACATTTCTGACATTCAAAAACAATACAAAAACAAATCAGTGACCAATATAGCCACCTTTCTTTGCAAGGACACTCAAAAGCCTGCCATCCATGGATTCTGTCAGTGTTTTGATCTGTTCACCATCAACATTGCGTGCAGCAGCAACCACAGCCTCCCAGACACTGTTCAGAGAGGTGTACCGTTTTCCCTCCTTGTAAATCTCACATTTGATGATGGACCACAGGTTCTCAATGGGGTTCAGATCAGGTGAACAAGGAGGCCATGTCATTAGTTTTTCTTCTTTTATACCCTTTCTTGCCAGCCACGCTGTGGAGTACTTGGACGCGTGTGATGGAGCATTGTCCTGCATGAAAATCATGTTTTTCTTGAAGGATGCAGACTTCTTCCTGTACCACTGCTTGAAGAAGGTGTCTTCCAGAAACTGGCAGTAGGACTGGGAGTTGAGCTTGACTCCATCCTCAACCCGAGAAGGCCCCACAAGCTCATCTTTGATGATACCAGCCCAAACCAGTACTCCACCTCCACCTTGCTGGCGTCTGAGTGGGACTGGAGCTCTCTGCCCTTTACCAATCCAGCCACGGGCCCATCCATCAGGCCCATCAAGACTCACTCTCATTTCATCAGTCCATAAAACCTTAGAAAAATCAGTCTTGAGAGATTTCTTGACGTTTCAGCTTGTGAGTCTTGTTCAGTGGTGGTCGTCTTTCAGCCTTTCTTACCTTGGCCATGTCTCTGAGTATTGCACACCTTGTGCTTTTGGGCACTCCAGTGATGTTGCAGCTCTGAAATATGGCCAAACTGGTGGCAAGTGGCATCTTAGCAGCTGCACGCTTTCCCTTTCTGTGGAATTCAAACTCCAAACCATCTTTCATGGTATGTACGGAAAGCCCATTATTCTGTCACTGGTCTGCCGGTTTTCCATCAATGAACCTGGAAACGCCCATCAGGACCTGCATATTTGGAGACGTTCTGATCTAGCTGTCTATTAAAACTTAACAAACGGCCGCATCTGTCAGCTTGCACTTTTAGTTGTCTTCATAGAAAAAGTCAGCTCTGGGCACATCAACTCCATCCACAATCAGTGGAATTCACCTCCGCTTTCAGTGGTATTAATATTCTTGCTGATCTATACATGACAGGTGTTTTTTTAACATCAATCAGCAGCAATGTAAAATGTTATAAATCTGTGCTCGGAGATCCATGTTTGTCTTGTTCCTCCCTGAATATTCAGGCACTTAGTTGTAACGAGAACCATATGGCCATGCTCTCCTGCTAACTCTGGCCTTCAGTAAGCTCAACACAAATAAGCCTTCTGACTACCACACACACACACACACACGCACGCACGCACGCACGCACGCACACACACACACACACACACACACACACACACACACACACACACACGCACACACACACCAGGCTGGAAGGCAAAAATCACACACATGCCCACCTGGAGTTGTAAAAGGAATGTCAAAGAGTGTCATGTTGCTTTCCACCAGCTAACCGATTTGTCGGCCAGCCCGCTGAGCAGATTGATTTTGTTCTGCACACATGCGCTATGCAAGCACGTGTGAATGTTCTCTAACATTCATATTTTCTAGTTTGTTTAATCAAATGTAATATTTGATATTTATCAAGAAGCCAATGAAAAATGTAGGTTTTGGAATATGTGAGATGAGTGTTAAAAAAACAGCATAAGGTTTCAATAATCGAACAATAAACTATGAAATAAAAGCAAAATTGGCAAACACTGAAGGCGCTGATTCAAACCTGAATGGGCTCACGAATATTCAATGGTAGTAACTAATTAACTAAACCAACACAGCTTTATGATTTGAAACATATCTTTAATAACAGTTTCCTATCGCTGCCAAATATCTAAAGTATGGATCCAACCTGGACCAGCATGGCCTGCAAGCTCTCCTTTATTCTTGCTTTCTTTCTCTTTTCCTGATACTAAAGACTCAGATCGTACTCAAACTACATATTTTTAGGTGTTCTTCATGTCAGAAATGGGCCAAAGTTAACTTTTTACCATGTTTTCTAATCTTGAATCTATAACTGTTTGGCTACGGTGATGTAGTAATTTTTCATTTAAACTGAAGAAGAAATTATGCAAATATTGTAAATCTGCAGGAAATCTTTAATTTGTGAGTTCATTTCAAAATAGGAATTTTTCTACACCAACTGATAACTAACTGGAAGCTAAAACTGAAGAAGTGCTGAATGACACATTTACAAATTAAGGCTCTAACTAAAATCCAAATCTTGTTATGATCTTTGTCACTTTCAATAACATAAAGGTTTGCTCTGTGGTATAGTCCTTCTGGAGAACTTTTGATCTACCTCAAGGTCGCTATTTCTCACTCTCCACCCAACTACCCCCCCCCCCCAAAAAAAAAAAAACAATTAGACAAGAACTACTGAGACTGGGGAGAAAAGTGAAATGAAAACTGTAAAACACCTCGCTGAACTGATGAAGTCATCACATCAGTGTTTGCAGTGGGAACTCCCTAACAGAGGACTCAGCATGGTCCCGCCCAATCCAAAAACACTGCAGAATGTACACGAATGCACACAAACTCACAAGTGAGGGAATGGAAAACTGATCTGCTCAGAGCCTCCCTTGTTTTTGTTGGGGCAGCAGAAGCAGCTGGAGCTCAGTAAGATGTGAAAGAGCCAGAAACATTCAACGACCTGCTGCTTCATCTCCATGTTGTCCTGTAAAGCTGATGAATAATTCTCCTTTCCTCAATCCACACATGCACTTATAATTACCTAAACATCTGCGTCCCGAGGCAGAGAGCTGGAAGCCCTCAGGGCACAAGCAGGTGAAGCTTCCGTCGGTGTTGGAGCAGGTTCCAAACGTACAGATCTCAGGCGAATTGGAACACTCATCAATATCTGGAGTAAGTGAGGAAAAATGTGACTCATCACTTGTGCATATCCATGAAAATTCCACTTGATCTGCCTTAATAACTGCAGGGATGATATCTCGCCATGAAGTCATTTGCATCAATGTGATAAAACAAAATGTAATTCCTTCAGTGGATCATCGGATAGAAGGAATTTCATCTGGAAAAGCCTCAAAGTCGTGTGTTTGCTAATCAAAAAGAACAGCTGCTGCTGCTGAGAATTCACTGCTGTTCCGCCCTGCTTCCAGGAAAAGAGTGCAAAGCAGGAATGTGTTGCAGTCTGCTGAATATCTCTTCATCAGACCCACTTTATAAACAGTCTTAGTGTTCTGGTTTAGGCCAGCTCTTAGGGCGACATTTTCCCTTCTCATTTGTGTATGGAACTGTACGATTCAGATTCACCTCTGTATGAAAACACTCAAGTACTTCAGGAATTCCTGTTTTTTATTTTTATTTTATTTATTATGTCTTCATAATTTATCTAGCATGATGGAAGTAAATAAATAACCAACCTTCACAGGTTTCCTCATGGAGGTAATAGCCAGGAGGGCAAATACACCTGTAGGTTCCATCCATATTCAGACAAGTGCCGGCTCCACATGTGCCTGGATTCACGGTGCACTCATTGATATCTGAGGATAAAGTATAATAAAACAAATGAACAATAAAATCAGTAAATACTACATTTGGAAGAACAAGAAAAACTCTTACCAGCACAAAGCCTGCCGTCTAAAGCCAGCTCGTAGCCATCATTACACACACAGTGGAAGGTTCCCAACGTGTTGACACACTGACCATTTCGACACAAGCCCCTTTGTGTCGAACACTCATCCACATCTGATCGAAACACAAAAGTGTATCAATAAATCAACTAATCCGCTGACTCTTATCAATCCACTCGTGTCAACAGATGTACACACCGATGCAGTCGCTGTTGTGTGAGTTCAGAAAACCTGGGTAGCACAGACAGTTATAGGAGCCCACCGTGTTCTTGCACGTCCCATTGCCACAGGGCTGCCTCTCACACTCATCCACGTCTGAAACCAGAAAGCATGCTCTTATTTTTTTTTATCTCAGATGAAACTTCTCACAAGAACTTAAACAAATTACATTTTAAACTAACCGACACACATGGACTGGTCCCGGGTTGTTTTGTAGCCATTGGGGCAAAGGCAGCGGTAGCTTCCCACAAAGTCAATGCACTGACCAGGATTACATATACCCGGGTTCTCAAGGCACTCATTACGGTCTAAAAACAGGAGAAAAACATCATCACAGAATAATTTTAAATTTTACATCTTCCACTGAGAGGTGCAGAGCAGGGGTGGGCATACTTGTCCCCATTTTGGTGCCTGTACGTTGGGGTTTACCCCAGTAAACGAGAGGGTAGCCTCCCTCCGCCTTTGTGTGGGGGGATGGGTCCTGACTGCGGTTTGTGCTTATGCACCAAACTGTAGCTCAGACTACCCACCCTTTTTGGAGTCATTGGAGGGGGTGCTGGAGAGCGCTCCTTCAAGTGACTCCCTCATTCTGCTGGGGGACTTAAACGCTCATGTGGGCAATGGCAGTGAAACCTGGAGAGGTGTGGTTGAGAGGAACGGCCCTTCTGATGTGAATCTGGTGGTGTTTTGTTACTGTACTTCTTTGCACGTCATGGATTGTGCACAACGAACACCATATTCAGACATAAAGGTGTACAAAAGTGATCTTGGCACCGAGATACCTTATGCCGCAGTTTGACGATTGACTTTTTTGTCGTTTCATCTGATCTGCGGCTGCATGTCTTGGACACTTACTGTAGGTGAAGAGAGGGGTGGCGCTGTCAACTGAACACTACCTGGTGGTGAGTTGGCTTCAATGGTGGGGGAGGAAACCGGCCAGACCTGGCAGGCCTAAACGTATTGTGAGGGTCTGACTCTCCTGTCAGACGGAGCTTCAATTCCCACCTCCGACCGAATTTCGAACACATCTCGAGGGAAGCGTGGGACATTGAGTCTGAGTGGGCCATGTTCCATGCTTCTATTGTTGAGGCAGCTGACCGGAGCTGCGATCGCAGGGCTGTCGGTGCCTGTCGAGGTGGCAACCCCCGAACTAACACTTGCCCAGCTTGGGCCGTCCCAAACCAAGCCCCCGTCTCACATGCGGTTATAGAGACAAGTCAGCGAGCAGCGCACACAACACCCCGTCCCTCCCCCCACATTTGGCGGGATAGACGAGTCGCGAGTAGCAACCTCCCCTGCTGACAGCCGACGGTACATAAAAATGCCAGGGCCAAATTTTGGTCCCAGTCCCCCCCTGCCCACTGCTACTCCACGTCAAGAGGAGCCAGTTGCGGTAGCTCAGGCATTTGGTCAGGATGCCTCCTGGATGTCTCCCTGGTGAGGCTCCAACTGGGAGGAGACCCAAGGGAAGACCCAGGACACGTTGGAGGGACTATGTCTCTCACCTAGCCAGGGAACGCCTTGGGATTACCTCGGACGAGCTGGCCCAAGTAGCTGGGGAGAGAGAAGTCTGGGCGTCTCGACTTAAGCTGCTGCCCCTGCGACCCGACTCCGGATAAGCGGAAGAGAATGGATCAATGGATTTTCTTATACTATCCAAATGATGCAACCCAGAGATAAAATCAGTAAGTAAAAAAAAAAAAATTAAAACTGCTAAAATCAGTAACTTGTGTGGATTTATTGCTTTACATTAGATTAAAGTTCTTGTATCTCACCCACACCATTATTGTTTAATTTTGATGAGAAATGCAATTTGAGGCTGGGGGATGGTGGTCATTCTGCTCCCCAAACAGTTCAGATTTTCCTAAATAGAGTCTGTTTAGTTCTTAGGACTTTCATGAAAAGCAGGAAGCAAAACAGGATGTTGACTTAACATTTCCTTATCGGTTCAGACTCTCCAGACTGACAGCAACATGTTGGAGATATGCTGCAGCACATGTTCAACAGCTCAACACATGCTTCACATCCTCTCCTCCTTAATAACAAGCAAACCATGAAAAAAAAATCCCTCTCAGCCTAACTGTCACTGAGTTGCCATTTTTGGTTTAACTCTCGCACATCATGGTCAGGAATGCATAGTTCAAAGAATCTCGTATAAGTGAGGAAGACAGCTTTAAACCACAAGAAGGAACAGCAAAGTAACTCTGTATCAGTCATTTAAATTAGCTGCTGCTTTTGTCTTTAACCCTCTCAGGCTCAAAATAAGTTTTGATAAAAGGACGAACAACTAAGTCCTTCAGGGGTACTTCTGAGTTAAAAATGCTCATGAAATACGTACGTGGAGTAACCAGATAGGCAGGTTTTAACGTTGCAAATCTGCAACGCCTGCCTCCAGAGGGTTAAAACCTCTGATCTAATTGTTCTCATTTATCAGGACTAAACAATCAGCTAAAGAGTGGATAAACCCTGACAACCAAATTTCACATCACATGTTATACGTTTCACTGACACGTTTTCATTTTCTGTTTAAACAGGACAACAGATTCCTACAGTTCCTTACCAAGACATTGTCCAGTGGGGGTGAAGCGATATCCAGATTTACATTCACAGCGGTAGCTTCCAGGCACGTTCAAACAGTCAGCATTCTGCTGGCAGACTGGCCCATTCTGACACTCGTCAATATCTGGGTTCAGCAAGGAAACATCTGTTATTGTCTGCAGCCTTCAGAAGCTATCCCCCGAAGAATTGGTCTTACCTTCACAAATCAGTAGCTTGTCGTTGTAAATGAAACCCACGGGGCACTCACACCTGAAGCTACCAATCATGTTGATGCACACACCGTTCTCACACACTCCTGGGATTTCTCTGCACTCATCAATATCTAGACACAAGAGGACATAATAAGCAAAAACAACTTAAGTCTTATCACTCAAATAATTAAATGGGAAAACTTACCAATAACTCTTCCTGTTGTGATGTCGATGTAATAGCCTGGCCTCTCGCTGCCGCACAGGACTGCAAACTCATCTGAGTGTGCAAACAGTAGAAATGCATATATGCTGGTTTCAAGATTTATACTCTTTTCACAAAAGCCCACCCTGACACTAGACCTCACCAGTGTTGGGCACAGGACACTGTTCACAAGGCTTGTTCCACGCATGGCCAATGTTGTAGGAGCAGCAGCACATCTTTTTAGTCATGTTGAAGTTCAGCTCACCATCACATGTCCTGTTGTCTGAGTAAAAGTTCCTGTAGCAATAGCTCTTCCTCATGTCTGTGTGGGTTCAAGATGAAATATTGTGTTATTACTGTATTACTGCCACACTTTATTACACATTCAAAAGACAGATGCAGACTTACCCATACAGTTGTGCCCTCCATTCACCTGCATGTAGTCCACAGGGCAAATACAAGTGTAGTTCCCAATGGTGTTGTAGCACTTACCCGGACCACAGATTCCTGGTTGTTCACACTCATCAAAATCTGCACATAAAGATGGTGATTAAGACTTGAAACGTCCCAGTGAGAGCTGGCCTGAACCAAAAGGCTCTAGATTCTAGGAATAAAATTTCCTGGCAAAGACTGACAGGACAAAAGTTATAATTGCTTAATCAACTGTTCCCACAAAATAAATCTCCCAGAAGCGGTTTGTGATGTGATCCTTTAGAAAAATTCTCATAAATATTTGGTGCCCCATGTGAAAACCCATAGATGATTGTTAAAACTACATAAAAAAATCATGTAGTTTAAAGGTGAGTTAACTCGTTTAGTCGACACATTTGCAGTGGTAGGAATGAATGCCTTATAAGTCATACTCGGGGTACAAAAAGCCCAGTCGTGCATGTTTTAGGATCTAGAAGGTTGTCAGATCAGAGGGGAGCTTCAGACGGCAGGATTTGGAATCTTACTTCCTGATATTTCGATATCTCACCTCTGATTGGATAACACGACACTACCACTGACTCTGTTTGCTCAGCAACATGGATGTTTTATCTTCACAAATAACAAAAGCTGAGAGGAGCTTCCACCGTGTGGTGGAGTTGCTAATGCTAACAGTTAACATTAAAAATGTTTCTTTCCATGAACCGCACCTTTAAATAACTCTTATACAGGGTCCCAAGCCTTATTTATGTTGATGGTGATTGTTCATGAAAACGTATGTTTATAATAGTAATAATGATAATCACTGTATTTATAAAGCACTTTCAGTCCTGAAAATCATTTAGAATTAAAAAAAGATAAACTTAAAGCAAACAAAGTAACACACAACGAGTGACTAGACTGTGTAGATGTAGTTCTGATCCTCACAATGTAGACGCCCACTTTTGTTCTTTTGGGCAACAAACATAGAAATTCAAATACCTCCAGCCAGATGTCATTGTCTAAAGCTCTGCCTCCTCTGCTCCTCTCTGGTCCCATTTCTCTTTTCTAAAAACCCCCTCCTCGTTTATCCTTTTCCATCCTGTTTCATTCTTCTGACTCTCACACTCTCCATCATCTTTGGCCTGCCTTCCGAGGACAAATCATACTTCCCTTAGGAGAGGGCTGACCACATCAGAGTCTAGCTCCTCTGGGCACAGTTAGGAGCTCATCATCCTGACTGAGCTCTGCTGGGTTAGCAACAGACAGGAACTAGAACAGACACATGCTAATATCCAATGAGCTACAGCAGGCCAACATTTCCTTCTCTTTCTGTTCTCAGTGCTTTTTTCCTCTTAATGTGTCGCTTACGTGAACGTGAACAAAACAAAGGAGATGATTTTAGACTTCAGAAGAAACAGGGTGGAGTCAAACACTGTTTCCATCATGGGAGAAGAAGTGGAGGTGGTTGAGGAACACAAATACCTTGGAGTTCACCTGGACAACAGACTGGACTGGAGAAAGAACAGCGAAGCCGTTTACAAGAAGGGACACAGCAGACTGCACTTCTTGAGGATGCTCAGGTCCTTCAATGTCTGTAGCAAGATGCTGCAGATCTTCTACAAGTCTGTTGTTGAGAGTGTAATCTCTTCAGCTATCGTCTGTTAGGGTAGCAGCATCAGAAGCAGGGACCTGAAAAGGCTCAACAGCCTAATAATAAAGGCTGGTTCTGTTCTGGGGACGACTGTGGAACCACTGGAGGAGATAATGCAAAGAAGGATTCTCCAGAGATTCAAGAAAATTATAGACAACCCTGAGCATTCTCTTCACAAGACTGTCCGACAACGGAAGAGTGTCTTCAGTCAGAGGCTTCTTCAGTTTCGCTGCAACACTGACCGCTACTGAAGATCCTTCCTGTTAACAGCCCTTGTAATATACAATAACTCTTTGATGACTTGATTATTATTATTATTCTGAGCTACTACAGCAATCAATTTCCCTCTGGGATTAATAAAGTATTTTTGAATTGAACTGAATTGAAATGAATTAACGATGGTCACTACGGATGGATTAAAATTCCTTCCTCATGAAAACAGCCCAGGGCATGAGATCAAGAGGGATAAGTCACCTGTGTGTTCCTATTCTGTGGAGATGTGCAGGAATATATGCATGCGTTTAATACCTTCACAGACTCTGGTGTCTGGGTTGAGGACGAAGCCTCGTGGACATTCACACTGGAAACTTCCGAAAGTGTTGATGCACTGTCCTCCCTGGCACAAGCCCGGAAGTTCCTGGCATTCATTGATGTCTGTCGACAAGAAAAGAGGAAACACTTAGTGGCAGTGTGTGTGCGTGTGTCCATGCGTGCGTACATGCGTGTGTGTGCATTTAATGTACACAATTTATGGCATAGTTCTGCCTGACCTTCCAAGATGACTGTGATCGGGTTTGGTCTGAAGCCCTCTCCCCCAGGACACAACGTCTTGTACTCAGCTGCAGCACAGAATGCAAATTACAATAAACCACAAAGTCATAACAAGCAAACACCAATAAAGTCTGTAATTTTGTCGTATTTGCCAGAACTGGCTCACGGATACTGAGACTCTGAAATTGGGACACATGCGCGATTGATTAGAACGTCTAAAAAGAAGTTTTTTTTTTCTTCCAGAACTTTCCCCTGAGTCCTCCACCAAGTCCAGAGGCCTGGAGATGACTGCAGCTCCCCAGAATTACAAAGTCAAGAGATAACTTTTTGTTCCTGTCACAACAGCAAGCATTTCCTCAAGCTGAACAGGATGAGTCATTGTCTGCATTGTTTCGAACCATCTGCTTGCAATTTCCAAGTTAGTTGGACAAAGCTGTCTCGTCTTTACCAGCAACAAAAAGTTACAGCAAACATTGATCGCATTACAACAGAATGTGAGTCTGTTTACTGGCAAAGCAGCTGACCAACACCTACTTAGGGTTTTATTCCCACTGGAGGATTTCTACACCAGTGTTCCTCCTGATTGACTCAGAGAAAGACAATCTTCAAATAAACTGGTAGAGGTGCTTCTTTCATTTTACAGAACAGCTACCACACAAATTTCTTTTCATTAAAAGCATCTGCCACAAGGTGACATTATAACTTTAAATTTCCTTCATCCCCCTATTTACCGGGAGGATAAAATCTCTGACTTTACAACTCCCAGATTGACTTTCATTCCTGGTGGGAAGAGTAATGAGCAGTAGACAGAAAGTTTACACAACTCCGGTACAAATCCAAGAGAAAGAAATAAAAAAATACGCCAATAAAATAAAACATCTTTCAGATTGTGACATCACATGTCTGATCAGTATCCAATATTTATATTTTCAGAAGAACAAATAAACATCTAAATGTTTTGTTATATCTTGGGCCCATGTGGAGCATTGGCCTAAGAAACATTCTGCAGTGACCATGCTGTTTACGTCATTTTAAGAATCAGATCAGGTTCCACTCCGATAAATATGTTAGAATTTGCTGCAGAAAGAGGAACGGTTGTGCTTTAGTCTGTGCATTTGTGCACGTACGTTTGTGTACAAGCACATTTTTTCATTGAATCTTTCAAAAAAATTACACATACAACTGATTAAAATTGTTGTGACAAATCAGCAAACAAGCTAGGTTTTGAACACACAAAACTCTCACCCCTCCCCTCAGGTATCTTCCCTGAAACGCTTCTGCCAGAAATGGAAACCTGTGATGCTGGAGGATACGAGACCTAACCCTAAAAGCCACTGTTTTCTACGTCCAAATGTCTTTTGCTGTCCATGACTTCAAATGGTGCTTTTCTTTTTGGGACTCTGGTAGTTTATCCTAGAGTTGAAGTGGTAGCAGCTGGCTGTTTCTCCTTCTCCGATATTATTCAGCGAAAAACCTCTCACACCATTGATAGGGGTGGGTACCTTTGAATCGATACGGTACCAATACACGGTAATTATGAATCAATACCGGTACTTTACTGTACTAATTTTTGATACATTTGAATGTTTAATAATTATTTAAATCTCTTTTTTAATTAAATATATATTTTTTCTCAGTATTCAACCATATTTGATAAATATCAGGATAAATAATGTACAACTCTTTGTATTTTATCATTGTAGAGTTGTACAAAATTCTTCAATATGAAAACCTTTAACCACAACTGTTTCTAAATGATATAAAAATTGAAACCCAGCTCCATGGACTCCTATTCCTCTTCTCTGCCCTATGGAATAACTCTGATGAGGAGTCCATATATTATAAACTACAAATGAAATCAAAACAAACTTTGATACCATTCAACTGCTTGTATTTTAATATTGTGGTGTTTCACAAACTAAACCCAGCTCCATGGACTCCTATTCCTCTCTGGACAACTGTGTGATGGTGGGTCCTTGTAGTTTTATAAACTGCAATTTACACCAAAGCAAACCTCTTTGCTGTGAACTAAATATACTGTGTATCTTCACTCCTTTTGCCGTTCATTTTCAAACTGTTTATTTTTCCTACTCAGAATGTCAGAATTTCCGAGGAGAAAGAAAAAGCACCATTAGCTGATAGCAAAAATATCAAGCTAACGTTATCTTAAACAGTTATTTTTTTTAAGGCGATGATGCCTGGTTTCATCATCACCCAATCACCCACCACATTTAGTATAAATGAAGCCAAACTTTAGAGTGCGTTTGCTTTCATCTAGTTGGAATTTTGGAGTTCCGAGGAGAAAGCGAACACCACAGTAGCTGAACGGAAGCTAAAATATCAAGCTAACGTTTTGTTAAACAGTTTATTTCTGCATCACGCAGCCACCCATCCCATTTAGTGAAGTGAATCCAAACTGTAGAGCTCTCCCTCTTTGCCAAGCTTCTTGCTCTGTTTACAGCTTGCCCGCAGCGACTGATGACATTACGCTCTTGCGCCGGCGCTGCTGTCAGTCTTACCAAGTCTCGCAAGTTCTTGTTATGACTACCGAAACAAGGCACTCTTTCACATGGCGGTGCCTTAAAAAGTACCAAAGTCAGTACCCATCCCTACAAACCAGTGGCGTTCTGTTGCTAACAATGCAAGTGCGTAATGAATGGAGGACCCAGGGAAATGCGGTGGTTCAGTGAAACCGACAACCGAATGGTTCAACAGTTGCTTTTGGTCTGAGGTTTGCAGACAAATGCAAGAGAACCAGTTAATTCTTTTTTTTAATCTGCACAAAATATTAGTAGTTATTCTATGTTAGAATGTTGGTAAGAGGCATGAAAAAAATGTTTAATGCTTATTTATGTTTTTCAAATTTGCTATTGCAGCTTTAACCCAATTAAAGATGGTTGCCACAGCTAAGCGAAGTGGCTATGGCTTACTCAGGTTAATAAATGTTGAGCTAAAACCATATGGCTGAAAGGAATTTAAAACAGATGGAGCAAGATCTTGGGATTTTACACAAGATTGTGAATGATTATGGTATTTTAGAAATTTGGGAACAAAATGGTGATGACTCAACAAAAGATATTCTAAGTTTAAAACTCTGGCTTAAAAGGGGGGTGGTGATATGCATTCCTTCCTTTCAACACTGTTTCAGAGTAATTTTTACTGATCTGTAAATGTAAAAATAAGAGGAAAATAATGAAAAACTGACATTTCTTATATGGAAACTGTTCATATACTTCATAGCTTCTTGAGAATTGTCTATGAGATTTAAAATAAAGTGAATGTTGACATTTGTTGGCGGTAGAGCTTCACTATGGATGCAAGGAAGAGTCTGTTATTGCACCTTCACAGCTTTTGGCTCGATGTCTTTTACAACATCTAACAAACCTTCCTATTCATTTAAATGCAATGGTGGAGTATCTAAGTAAATCTGTGTTAACTCTAGGGATGTAAGAAAATATCGATTTGGCAATGTATTGTGATATTTCTTCCTGCGATATTATATCGATATTCAAAAGCCATGTATCGAAACATCGTAATTGAAATATATTGTGATACATTTTCCTGCAATAGTATATTGATATTCAAAAGCTGCATTTCTAATTTTTGGAAGAATTTACATGCAAACATTTGTGTACTTTCTTTTTTTTCATGCAGTTCAAACGACGACCAGTAGTTAGCAGAAGTGTGCAATAGGGTTTTGTTTCCTCCATTGAAATGTAAATCCCTCTGTTATGGTTCAAATATTTCATTTTAAACGTAAGTAACAGTTTGGACTGCTTATTGAATTTCCCTACAATAAATTCAGTTAAAAAAAATCCTAATGTCATCTGGCTGAATGTATCGCAATATATCGTGATGCATCGTATCGTCTCCCCTGTATCGTGGTATGTATCGTATCACCTTAATTTCACCAATACACATCCCAAGTTAACTCACATGAGTTGACAGAGGGACATAATTCACACGGAGACCCCCAGCCACGGCCCTCGGAGCAGCAGCAGGATGCTTTGGAAACTCCAACTCCAATCTCATTGGAGCAGTCCAAGTTCACTGAGGCGTCTCCACGGGAACGGGCATCCTTGTAGCAGCTTCCAGAACGAGTGTCTGTATGCACACACACACACACACACACACACACACACACACACACACACACACACACACACACACACACACACACACACACACACACACACACACACACACACACACACACACACACACACACAGGATTTTGTTATATGTTAACCTAACAACAGCAGCATTTTCCTTTGCAGTGAAAACTTGTTCAGCCTCACCTACACAACCCACCCGAGTGGGGTTAAGTTCAAAGTCTGGTGGGCAGTTGCAGTGGTAGTTTCCAGGGATATTAACACACACCCCATTCATACAGATGGTTGGATCTGCACATTCATTGATGTCTGAAGAAAAAAGAAAAAAATAGGAGTCAATTAAATTATAATTTGCCCTAACACCCTTTATTTACTCCAAGAAATATGTTTTTTACCAGTGCAGTTGCCTCCACTCCTGTCCAGTTCATAACCACGGTTACATTCACACCTAAAAAGTCCTGGAATGTTCCGGCAGCGTCCATTGACACAGATATCAACAAATGTACACTCGTCTATGTCTGTGAGGGAGACAGAGGACAAGTTCTTCAACGTCATTGATCAGACTTCCTTATTATCCAGTCATGTCTGTAGATGAGAGCAGTCTTTTTAAAGTGTTTATTCAAAGAAAATTATTCATATACTTCATGCACAAAGACATAACAAAAACCTTCTATATGTTAAATAACCTACATCTTAACTTGGATTATTACCATCCCAAAAATGTGTTGTCAACAACATTGTGCAAATAATAAACAAATAAATATATATAAGAACTCTAGAGTTTGTTTCTCTCAAAAATCATTTAAAATGATTAGAAGATTAGAAGCATCTTTTCCAGAAGTGATGCTGAAAAACTAGTTCATGCATTTATTACATCAAGACTGGATTACTGTAATTCATTACTCTCAGGAAGTCCACAGAATGTAGTTAAAAGTCTTCAGCTTGTCCAAAATGCTGCAGCTAGAGTTCTGATGAGAATTAAAAAGAGAGATCATATCTCTCCTGTCTTAGCTTCCCTACATTGGCTACTTGTTAAATTCAGAATAGATTTTAAGATCCTCCTTCTCACATATAAAGCTCTTAATAAACAAACTCCATCATACATCAGTGACCTGATTGTTCCATATGTTCTTAACCGAGCACTTCGCTCTCATACTGCAGGTCTACTGGTGGTTCCCAGAATATCTAAAAATAGGATGGGAGGCAGATCTTTTAGCTATCAGGCTCCTCTCTTGTGGAATCAGCTCCCAGCCTTAGTCCATGAGGCAGACACCTTGTCTACTTTTAAGACTAGGCTTAAAACATTTTTATTTTATAGGGCCTATGGGTTAGGATTAGGGACATACTGACCACTTTCCACACTTGACTACTTCCTTCTACAACTTCTCTCTTAATTGCATTATTTCCTGCCATTTCAGCTGTTAACTTTTCTTTAAGTGTTTCTCTCCCCCAGAAGAAGCTACAATGATGTTCTGCTGAGCTGTGGTGCCCTCATGGAGGGGCCATCGGCTTGAACACTGCTGCCAACCACTTAACATTCTTCCTCTCCTGATAAGAACATTTTACTTTCTTTAACATGGAATGTGCTACTACTACTAGTTCACTTGTTGAATCAATTATAGATTCACTAAGATTAAAACAATAAAGTTTATCTCTTACTAAATACAATATTTAGATAAGAAATCACAGTGTAACCATAGAAATATTACCTGGTATATATGTTGTGTGTGTGTGTGTGTGTGTGTGTGTGTGTGTGTGTGTGTGTGTGTGTGTGTGTGTGTGTGTGTGTGTGTGTGTGTGTGTGTGTGTGTGTGTGTGCGTGCGTGTCTGCTCTTGTCTTCTAGATCCCCAGTGAGTCGTGGTGGATGGCTGCTTATACTGAGCCAGGACCCTTTGGAGGTTTCTGCTTGTTAAAAGGGAAATTTCCTCTCCACTGTCGCTGCATGCTTGCTTAGGCCCTGTCCACACGTAGCCGGGGATCTGCCAAAACGTAGATATTTTTCTACGTTTTGGCCTGTCATCCACACGAAAACAGAGTTTTCTCACACGAAAACGGATCTTTTTAAAAACTCCGGCCTAAGTGAAGATCTGCGTTTTCTCCGTTTTGGGTGTCTGCGTGTGGACAGACAAAACCGGAGTTTTAAGGTCCGCAACGTCACTTTCCGTGACAAAAAAATGCTGACATCACGTGTGCGATCTGTGTTTACACTCGCCGGCATCATGGATGCCGTCAGAGCTGCGCTCTGTCACTACTCGATCCATCAATTGTCCAAGCGCTTTTTGCTTGTTTGTTTTTGCAAGCGTAATTACTGCTCCTTGCGGAAGACCACAGACGAAGGACGAGGTTAAGAACGGGGGAAGTACTGCCGCCTACAGGTCTGGCATGTCCTTAACAACGTATTTATCCGGGTACGTGTGGACAGAGTTTTTTTTAAAAACGAGGTGGTGTGGATGAAAGTTTTTGGAGGGGCGGATATTCGTTTTCAAAAAACCCGGCTACGTGTGGACTAGGCCTTAGTATGAGGATTGCTGTAAAGACACTGACACCAGTCAGTAACTTGATGTAATCTGCTGGGTTCCTTATACAGGAAACTTTTTACCGATTGGTTAAATGAACTGACCTGTATTGGAATGTTTACTATGTGAAGTGCCGTGAAATGACTCCTGTGATTTGGCGCTACATAAATAAACTGAATTGAATTCTGTTGAATTGAATTGAATGTGAAACACTAAATAATCGACAAATTCTGAGAAAACAATAAGATAAGATCAGTTACTGTAATCTGTTCTGTTCAAACTAAAAATATTAACGCTGAACTCTCAGATAAAGATCTCAGGGTTATTTGATTTAATTAACTTCCTACTAAAACAAAGATCTGCAGCCTTTCTTAATTTTTCCCAGCTGAAACTTCACACTCTAACCACTTTCTGTGTCTAAATCTCGATTTCACGAGTTAAAGGCAGCATCTGTTTGAACTGGCTGTTTCCTTAAACAGGAAACCAAACAGCCAGAACTTTTGACCCATTCAATACAACCTGAATGGACATGAGCACAGTTTCAAAGGAAGGTCATGTTTAGCAGAGATGTACCCTCGCAGGCCTTTCCGTCAGAGGTGGTGATGAAGCCCATGTCGCACTCGCAGCGGAAGCCTCCAGGTAGATTCAGACAGTGGCCACTTTCACATAGGTTGCCGTTCTCGGCGCACTCATCGCTGTCTGCAGAGATGATCAGGAAACAGTTGTTAAAGAGGACTCTTTTGTAAAGCTAAACAGATGCTTACTGATTCGTTTGAGTGACCTGAGCAGAAGAATCCATCTCCAGAGAATCCCTCTTTGCACGCGCAGCGATATGAGCCCATGGTGTTGAGGCAGTTGGCGTTGCTGCTGCACATGTGGGTCCCATTTGAACACTCATCCAGGTCTAGAGCACAAACACAGTCACATATATGCAGACATGACACTTCGCATTCCTCCTTTTATTTCAAAGCCTAGGAAGTGCTGCATGTGTGCATACTTTCAGATCTTTTAATAGTTTTTATTTGTTTTTGGCCAAAAATAAATAAATGCTCTATTTATAATAAAATGATGATATGAACCCCTTGCTCTGGTATTTTTGTCCTTTTATATTGGGAAAACTACAGAAATGTTCTTTTTTCGCATGTATACATGCTTTAATAATTCACCTGAGCATTTGATGCCGTCGCCAATCCACCCTGGTGCACAGTTGCATTTGAAGCTGCCGGCTGTATTGGTGCAGGTTGCATGCCTGTCGCAGTTGTGGGCTCCGATCTCACACTCGTTGATATCTGAACAAGAGAGAAAGAAAAATCAGAATAAAGGAAAACAGGCTCAGCTCTGATGGTCCGGTCTGCGTTCTCGTTCCACTGGGCTTCTTGGCCCTGTGAAACAATTATTCACGGAGAGTTGTATTTCAGGACACAAAGACTTTGAGGCATTCCCATGATCTCTGAATCTAACAGCCATCCTATGAGTGTTTAATAAGCTGGATATTCAACACATTCTCACACCCAAAGTGTCGAAATATGACGCGTGTGACCAAGCCTCAATATATGACGATTCGGGATGCCCCAGCGCGTCAGGAAAGAACGATCAGGGACACGCAGGTACATGTGGCCCCACTGGCGTCCGTATTTGACGCCCGCAGTCACACGGACATTATTCCACGATTTAACCTTCCCCTCACCCCAATCCTAACCTTAACTCAGTAACTCAGCTGAGTTAAGGTTAGAATGGGGGTGGGGGGAAGGTTAAGTAGTTCACAAGTCGGTCTAATGTCCGTCTCACCGCGGGCGTCGGACAACCACGCTCTGGGACAATGCGTCCTCAGTGCGTCCTCTCATGATGCGCTGGGGCATCCCGATTCGTCATATATTGAGGCTTGGTCACACACGTCACATTTTGACGCTTTGGGTGTGAGAATGTGTTGGGATATTCATTGTTCAAATATGCCCAGAGAGCCATAAAACAGAACACGTGGAAGAACTAAACACTTATTTGCTGAAGCTCTATCTGATCTATTGAACTGTGGGTTATGTAAGGTGAATACATTTATCTTCACTTAAGAATTCTGCATCATATTAGAAACAAGTCTTTAATGCTTGTGTTTAGGTTACACAATGCTAAGCATGCCACATTCATAGATTTAAATCTACAATTGCAAATCTGCAAAACAAGCCAGTTTAAAACATGTTTTTCATGCCTCTTAACAATGTTCTAACATAGTATAGGTGTAAATATGTTGTGGGGATAAAAAGTAATAATAATAATGAAGTGGTTCTCTCGCATTAGTCTTAAAACCTCATCCAATAACACGGCTCAGACCAAAACCATTGGACCATCTGGTTGTCGGTCTCGGCGAACTGCCACACTTCTGCACTTCCCTGGGTCCCTACGCAATCATGCCTTTTACAACAGAACACCACTGGTGTGAGAGGTTCTCCCCGCAATAATATCAGAGAAGAACAGCCGGCTGCTACCACTTTAAATTTAGGACAGACTTCCAGAGTCCCAAAAAGAAAACCACCGTTTGAAGTCACGGACAACAAAAAACATTTGGACCTAGAGAACAATGACTGGTGTTTAGTACTATCTTGTTTACCCTGGCAACACGGGTTTCCAGGACGGAACGACTGCCGACGGGAGGGGCGAGTGTTCCACGAAAGTGTTTGCGTTTAAAAGATAGCTTGTGTAAATTAGCTTCTGCAGCGTTAATGTTTATTAAGCACCATTACAACAAAATTCTAACAAGGATCCCTTATTCCACACACTCGAACCTCCTGTGTGTGGTATTGGGTCATAATAAATAGGTGACAAAATAAAGAGTGAACAATTACTATTTGCTACTATTAAATTCCCTCATTCCTATGAATCTGTTTATAATCCTGTAGGGTAGAGCTAATAAAGATCCCTATACAGCAGCTGGTGGTGATAAGAGGTCTAAATGTTCAACACTTGCTTCTCAGGCAGCCCTCACATGAATGGGACAAAGGAAAAAAAGTTGGCAGCAACACAACAATGATGACCACTAATCTGAACCAAAACAACCGTATAAAACGCAAACCTCGCTTTGACTCGCTGCAGCTTTGTTAGCGAGGCACAAGTATGTGGCGTGACCCTGTACATCAAAAGGAGACATGCAATGAACCCAATCAAGATGTTAGGACTTAACAGCCAATGAGACACACTCCTATGTGTGTGTCAGTCTTTGTGAGGGTAGTAATTCAAAACAGTTTCAATTAGAGATCATGGCACTGCTGGTTTACAGCCTTCCTGAGGACAGGGTATGGTATATTTACACTACATTTGATGACAAAGTTAATATGAGGGCTGGCAGTGAACGAATCTCCCTGGATTACGGGCAGAATTAATGATCATTTCCCTCCCGCAAGCCTTTGATAACAGGGAGGGCACACACGCAAGCACACACACACATGTATGAGTGTGTCAGCCGTTGCAATGATGCCATAGATGAAGTTTAACAAGGATGACAGATTAAATAACTGCATAAGAGGATAGCAGAAAATTATACATATGTCTAATTTCTACTCTTTTGACATCCATGAGGATTTTTATCTCTCATCATCTGTTTATATATTTTCCACCACTCTTGTCCAAATGACTAACATTTACATATCTAGCTGCTCTAAAAAAGGAACCTCCCCATTTATAAGGGCGACGGTAGCAGAGGAGTTAAAGCTTCAATAGCAAACAAGCTGGCTTTACAACACAAACACTGTAATGGAGCTCTCACCCCACCTGCCAAGTATCCTCCCCAGGCCATGGAATCCACATTAGAAAAGGAGAGCGCGAAACACCAGTCGCCGATTTCTAGGTCCAAACGTCTTTTGTTGTCCGTGACTTCAAATGGTGTTTTTTTTTGGGACTCTGGTAGTTTGTCTTAAAGTTGAAGTGGTAGCAGCCGGCTGTTTCTCCTTCTCTAGTACGATTGAGCTGAGAACCTCTCACACCAGTGGTGTTCTGTTGTAAAATGTGCAAGCATGTAAGGAGGACCCAGGTAAATGCAGAAGCGCGGTGGTTGAGTGAGACAGACAACCAGATGGTCCAATCGTTGGTTTTGGACCGTTATTGGCTGAGGGTTTTAGAGAAATGCCACAGAGCTACTTCATGAATATTCCTTTTTAATATCCACTAAATGTTTATAGCTATGCTATGTTAGAATGTTAGAGGCACAAAAAATGTTTAAACCATCTTGTTTTGTAGATTTTCTACTGTAGCTTTAAAGGGAGACTAGGCAGTTTTGGCTTGCTTTTAGCACCCTCTAGTGTCCGTTTGTAGAACCGAAAGCAAAACATATCCCCTCACTGTACGCTGTACAGCTGACATGTCTCCCCAGCCTTCATTAGTGCCTCTAGAAGTGATTCCTCGCTAAATTAAACAAATCAGCTGTGTTCATGATCTAAAACATGCAGGAAAGGTTTCTACTCGTGCTCTCTGCTCAGCTATTTAAACCCTTCTGTACCACTACCACTCCAGTCACGGAGTTTTAACTCACAGCCAACTTAGAAATTATACCTAACTTATCGTTAATACATATATATTTTATTTCATTAAAGATACTTCAACCGTGAATAAGACTAAACCTGTAACTAATATATTTAGTTTAATTTTCAATTTTTCTGAAAGAGTAAGGCATGAGTCCTCGTGGTAAATATCCTCCAGCACATCAAGTACAAAAATGATTTTAAACTTGATTTAATGTTGAGAAGCATCTGTTTCAAAACCAGCACACACCCTACATTTTAAAGGGCTTGAATGTGTTCTGAGTGCCTTTGAGCAACATTAAAAGAACAACTGGCTCAAATCAGGACTTTGTCAACCTAATCAATAAAAGGAATTCAACATGGAGAGTTCATTGCCTGCACATTGTTTCTGCAATAACATGAAAGGGGATCTTTTTAAAAGGGAAAAAAGTAACAAGTTTTGTTCACTTGTCTACAACACCCTGCCTGGCTGAGAGGGATTAAGTCATGATTTTCTGTTCTGGGGCTGAAATTCCAAACGAGTGATTCAGAACTAATAACTCGGCTGCAACACCAGGCTTCTGAACACAAGGAGAAAACTATACGGATATTTTAATGGGATTAGAATGAGTGTGTGTGTGTGTGTGTGTGTGTGAGTGTGTGAGAGCGAATCCAACGTCTGAGAAATGTGTTTATTTGCATCTTAAGTTCGACATGCTGGCTGCCTCGTTTTCAAGGCGAGGCCAGATAGAGTCACTGGCCAAAGGAACAACTAGCTCCTAATCACAAAGTAAGTGGTTTTATACATCAGTGTCAGCTCTCGCTGCATGACGAGTGGGTCCAAGCAAGTAAAAGGACCATTTCAGCTGAACAGACTATTTATGTGTTTTGGAGCCGTTACAGGTGGAGATGCTGCTAAATGTTTCCAACCATAACGTAATGTTTAACTGACCTTAATGAAAGAGCAACACAAGAATAAACAAAGGTGCAATGTGATGCAAGATAGTGATCTCAGTGCTTCTGCTGCTGCTGCAGGAGGCTGCACGTGTGCATTGACGTACATTTGAAAGCGGCATGTTTCTCATCATGTCAGACAGGAGTTTGTGCGTGAGTGTGAGTAAGACCAGAGCTGCTTCTGGTTAGCCAGACATTCTCCCAGCATCCTCTCTTCCTGATGTTCATTCACTCGTGCAAATATGGCTCTCTCCGCTTGTTTTCGTGTTTCGCTCACCTGTGCAGCCTGTGCTCCCCTTGCGAACAGAATACCCCAGATCACAATGACAGATGAAGGATCCCTTCGTGTTCTCGCAGTTCCCACTCAGACAGATGTTTGGGTTCAGCTCACACTCATCCACATCTAGACAGAGCAGGGAATAAAGACACGGAGAGCAGAATATTAGTTTAATAAACAGAGCCACAATAAAGAAAAAGGTTTATGACGATCACCAAAAGCTTTAGTTGGTTCTGTCTGCCAAAAAGGTTTTTGTAAGCTGTGCTAAAGGAACGTGAGTCACAACAAAACCCACGTCCTACACTATACAGCGGCTATAAAACTAGTTTGCTTTGAATAAATAAAGCCGTAACCGAGTGCGTGTTTATGTAGACCCACTCCTTACATCACAGATGACAAGCTCTTGTTTTCTCACTTAGTGGAACCAGACGTCTAAATGTCAAAAATTCCTTCTCCCTCAGCCGAAATAACACAATGTTCACTAACTTATAAATCAACAACAGCATCACTCCCTCATAGATCTGAGTCATCAGGCCTCATGACTCACACGCTGGATACCCTTGAAGTCCATCATCAATTGTTTCAGTAAATCTCAGAGATCTCGACCCTCCTGGATCTAATAAGTTCAGAAGCGTGTGTGTGTGTGTGTGTGTGTGTGTGCGTGTGTGTGTGTGTGTGTGTGTGTGTGTGTGTGTGTGTGTGCGTGTGTGTGTGTGTGTGTGTGTGTGTGTGTGTGGAGCTTCAGAGTTTTGTTTTGAAGCAAAGCTATGCAGGCGTTACCCAGGCAGGTCTTCAAATCCTCCGAAGACATGAAGCCATCAAAGCACAAACACTGGTAGGTCCCTGGGGTGTTGGTGCACTGGCCTCCATCACAGATGCCGAGGCTCTCCTCACACTCATCGATGTCTGAGGTTTACAGAAGAGCAAATTAAAGCTAAAGTAAGGAAAAAACGAACATTGAGGTGTAGGAGTTCACTCAACATGCAACATAACAAATGTAGATATTTCTTAGCCCATGTAAGTTCATAATACAGGAAAAACGATTTTTCGGCATGTTGCTCTTGTGTGTGTGACAGGAACAGGTGTGTGTGTGTGTGTGTGTGTGTGTGTGTGTGTGTGTGTGTGTGTGTGTGTGTGTGTGTGTGTGTGTGTACTATAAACTAAGTATAATGTTTATAACAGAACAATATCTGAATGATTTTGACTAATTGTTGCTGTATGGTTGATCAAAGCATAAAATAAATGTGCTGAAAGTAGGTGAGCTAGTGTAAGCCTCACATTCCACTAAATTTTCCACTTTTCCACTTTTCAACATAGAAACAATAAAATCTACAGAAATGAGGCATTAGTTTACTAAAGGCTGTCTGAGCAGAATGAGCTATTCCACTGTGAAAAGCAATAATACAGCGCTGAGGTAACGTTCTGAAGAAAAGGACCAAAATAATCTCGTATGAATGAGTACATTTTATTTTTGATCTGAATTAAATTGAAAACTCGTTCATTTCATGTGGTGATTTTATGAACTATTGACTGAATTTACAGAAAATAATTCATATTGTTTAATTATTATTATTATCAAGACGGAATCTTGAAGGTTTAGTTGGAAGCACCTGGAGGTCTCTTGTTTTCCTTGAAGACATTTCGCCTCTCATCCAAGAAACTCCGTGCATTCTGAAGAACGCACGAAAACGAGAAAAGTCCCCTTTGTTTCCAACTAAACCTTTAAGATCATCATCATGCCCTGGACGAATGAGAATCCAAACAAACCTATCAAGATAAAAAGACTTTATTCTAGAAATGTTTTGATCCTATTGCACAGCCTCGCTCCACTTCCTAGTGTATGTTGCTCAATTGGTGAGCTTGCGTCACAAAATAAACATTAAATACAGCATTACTCTGAAATTACAGCTGAGTTTCTGGTGGTGGAATTAAAGGAGTCAGGCCCCAGAACCTGCCGTCACACTCACACTCAACCTGCTTTGAAGCAAAAAGAAATAATAGCCAAAGAAACAACATCTTTCATTTCCCTTTGAGCATTTCAAAGATTTAGAGCTTTAAGTTGATGTTTCTCTCAAACATGTCAGCCTAATCACAGCTGCTTCTGTCTATTCTGTACACAGCCTTTCATGTTTTCTGCTTTTAGGTGCGTCTTTTTGAGCAAAGCTGCTGATGAGAGGAGGAAAGTTGGTATGTAAAGAAGGCTTAGACAAGAGTAGAGGACAAGGGCACAGAGCTACTCACCAGTGCAGGTCCTCAGGTCGGGCATCAGAGCATAACCGCTGTGGCAGCTGCACTCATAGCTGCCCTCTGAGTTTGTGCAGAAAGTCTCACAGCCGCCGTTTTCGATCGTACACTCATCGATGTCTGAGAGAAACAAGACACCAAGAACAAATCTTAACAGAAATCCCCTGATCTGTGTTTGAACTCCAACAGTCCCATTCCCAGAGCGTACCGACACAGTCCAGCCTGTCTTCGGTGGATTTGTATCCCGTGTTGCACGAACACTGGTAGCGGCCGATCATGTTAACACATTGTCCATTCCTGCACAGCCTGTCGCTCAACTCACATTCATTTATATCTATGAGAGAACAAAGAGATCACCAGGTTAATAGAAATTAAACATAACAGTGTGGTGAGTACAGCTAAATTGAAAGGCTCTTAGTAGACGCTAATAATAAGAATGGATAAATTAAAAAAAAGAGAATAAGTATTATTGAGTAATGGAGATCAATTACTAAAAAATAATAAAATCTCTATTTGAGTTTTAGTTTTGAAGTGTGAAACAGTAAAATGAGAACCTTATGTGAAAATGCTTTGTTGTGCCTCAGAACAAATTTTTACGGTTCCTCTAAGTCCAAAACTCAGATTTCAACAGAACTTGTCTCTAAGTTTTAGGCTGCCGGGAGTCTAAATGATTCTTAATAATCACTAATCTTTAACGATTAACTCAAACCTCCATAGCTTGCTGATTCATTTTAGCTTATGTGATATTTTTTCATTCTCGGTCAGATTATACGTCAGTTAGATGCTTTGATAAAAACGTGTTCTTGATTTTCTCCTTTGAGAAATGTCTAAAGCTCACACACACACAAGGTGGGTGATAGAAAGCTCACTTATCTCTGATATTTATGTAAAGTGTGTTGCTTTCTACATGTCATCCACATCAAGTGAAAAAACAGACGAAAACTGATTTCACTACTCACCTAGACAGCCCGACCCATCAGGAGCGACCGAATGTCCGTCAGGGCACACACACTGGAAGCTGCCCTCTGTGTTCACACACTCACCTCCACGACACAACAGAGGGTTCCTCTCACACTCGTCAATGTCTGACACACACACACACACACACACACACACACACACACACACACACACACACACACACACACACACACACACACACACACACACACCATCAACAAGTGCAGATAGTCAGCGTATGAGTTTAGTCACGGGTGGTCTAAGTTGGGGGGGTTGCTGCCGTGTATTGTCTGTGACAGCGGGGGAGGATGCTTGGCTTGGCCGGGGGCCAAGCAAGCAGGCTTATAAAGCGCTGGGGAAATCCTGCATGCATATAAGTCTGAAAATGGCTAAGAAGAGCAGGAAGTATTGTAGTTGTACACAAGTCACTTTTCCATCATGACGCCCAAATTAGTAGCATTTATTTTTTTTAGCTTTTGTGACATTTGAGCAGTTTGAAATGACACTTTTCCACAAGTCACATGGCACAGTCTCATTTTTCACAAAAACGTGCATCATAAAGCAATGAACACAGCCTCTTAATATGTGATTACATCATCCACCTCAGGAGTAGGCTGCTTTGGCTCTGGCACGTCTGTTTAATCACCTCATCAGGAGTTTATGACCCACCAGGGAGCGATGGTTAGGTTGGGTTTCGGGACTGGGACTGTGTGGCAAAACCTCCCAGTATATGGACACTATTAACGGCCCTGTACTCTCAGATAATTCAACTGCTGACTCACCCATGCAGTTTTTCATCATCATGAAGCCACTTTCATAGCCGTCGAAGCACTCGCATTCAAAATCCCCCGGCGTGTTAACACACCTGCCCTGTCCACACAGGTCTGGAGATATTCGGCACTCGTCGATGTCTACAGAGGAGAGATAAAAACATGTACACACCAGACTTTGTTTTAACGTGAAAAAAAAAACCATTCCCACACTGAAAAAATAATTACTTGTGCTGCTGATTGTCCTCCAAGATCAGATTAGCAGAAAAGACCAAAAGACTGCAGTATGAAGTTTAAGTGAAGAGCAGAACAGACCATGAAAGCACAAAACATTTCAGAAGGAGCTACTACTTAAAAGGAAGGCTATAAAACGGGATTAAATGGAGATGAAGTGGCTCCTCCAGCAGATTCCCGTGCAGTCTAAAAGGTTTGGAGCTTTATGTTTGAAACCACATTCAGAAACATTTAACACAAAGACTTCAGGCTGGAATCTCACTGGATTCGGGTTAACAGGTCCCAGGTATCTTTTACTTACAAGGAGTCAGTCAAATATTTCAGAATAAATAAACTGTAATGCAATTTAAACCTCAAGTGATGTGTGCACATTTCAGCTCAGAGGTAATGTAGCTAACCAGACAGCATGGGACCTGCTCCAACGTGTCCAGAACAGCCAGATTCCCATTAGGCTGAAGGAGATGAAGGAGATGGATGTAGGTGGTTTAACCCCGGTTTACTGTAACTAGTGCCAGCCGGATGGATTGTGCCAAGGTGAATGATGAGGAAAAACTAAATGTGCTGAAAGACACCAGAGTTGCAGACTTCAGGTAAAAACAACAAATGGTTTCTGAGTATTCGTGACTGTTTCAAAGTCAACGCTGCCCTCGTTTGTACTGATTTGTGTTAATAAAAGTATCGTAACTGTTGATTTCAAGACAAGTTAGACTTAACACTTCTTGGATGAGTGCATATCACCTACAGACATGGCATTCAAGACCTTTAAAAACTGACACCATCTTCAATTGGGAAATATTGGAATTGTGGCCATTTTTGTGTCTTTAAAGGTCTACCAGCTGAGGCGGCCATCTTGGATCAGGTTTTTCAAAACTTGAAACCGTGCTTCAACTCTGCATGTCCTTCTAACTTGTCCAACTTTTCTTAGTCAAATTCTAAAAAGAATCAGATTAACATATTACCAACACAGTACTTACCCTCACCGTAGCTTTAAACCAGTTAGGTTCATCGATCAGTTTGATATTTCCCAAAAGTGGGTGCATTTTATTTGTTTTGTTGTTTTTCAATGGCACCCTTGCTGACACCTTCAATTTGTCAAAAATTCCTTACACCCTTGCAGCATATGACATGAAAAATGGTAAACGCATGATCTATACAAAGCTAGATGTTCTCCACTTGGTGTCTCCAAAATAAAATGCTCACCAGTGCAATTTCTCTCGTCAGAGTCCAGAGCGTACCCGCTATCGCAGCGACAACGGAAGCTGCCAATGGTGTTTCTGCACCTCCCGTTGGAGCACAGCGTGTTTATCATCCTGCACTCATTTATGTCTATAGTATGGAACAAAAAGATTAAATCAGGTCATGAACTACTCAGAAGACAGCCAATGTGGTCTATGTGGTCCACGAGCAGCACAATACCTTTGAGGAAGGGTTTGCCATTGATGAAGTCACCTCTATGTGAGAAGCCGGGGCCTCGAGGACAAAGTTGGGCAAACTCTGAAGATCCCTCTTCTGGACACTCGTCACATTCAGGACCCCAGGCGACGCCCACGGAGCAGCAGCAAGCGTCCACGCGGTGCTTCCCAGATATAGCCAATCCACAACGCTCATCATCATGAGTGAGGTAACAGTGTTCAGTGCGCAGGTCTGAAAGACAAACGTGTAATTTGCATGAACCAATTATAAAAATAAAAACTAGTTTAAAGCTGATAAAAGAGAAACTTTGAGGACTTACCAATGCACATCCTCCCACTGACATCAACAGTCATTCCTGGAGGGCACTGGCAGAAAAAGGAGCCTTGTGTGTTGACGCATTTGCCATTAATGCAAACACCTGGAAACACCTGACACTCATCGACGTCTGAGAGGGAAGAGAGCAACAACAAGTTCAGTGCTGCACAATACATCGCTGAATAGACAAGCGTGGTGTTTTGAATCAAGATGTCCTCAAAGCAACTCTTACCCTCACAGGCATTTCCTTTGACTCTGGCAAAGCCTTTACCACATATTGGATCTGAAAAGAGAAACACCCACCACCAGTGAATATAGCTATCAGAAGAAAAAATAAAACACACTAAAAGCAAAACGATTAGATATCAAAAGCAGTTTTTTTAATCTGGTAAAAACATATCTGGTTTCATGTTTAATGTTAGTCCAAATAAAAACTTTAAATCACTCCTAACATCCATGCTTACATTTTCAGAAATAAAAGCTACAATGAAGTCAAAGTTTTAGCAGAAATGAAGACTTATGGCAATAATAAAGATAAAGTGTGTTGATACAAATTTTGTGTGTAAAATGACAAACGTATTCAATAAAATGAATAATAATAATAATAATAATAATAATAATAATAACATAATAATTATAATAATATAATAATTAATAAAAATTGTGCAAGAATATTGCATAAATGTGCTATTGCTTACATAAATATCCTGTGTGCAAAAATAATAAAAAAACATTGCAATGTGCTGTTTGGACATTTTATTACATGTTTAAGAAAAAAATAACTATAAAATATGTTTGTTTTGCTTTAGTTTACATTGTGTCTCCCATTAAAATGTTAAAGTGAATCTGAATACTAACTATACCTTTTTCACATTTGGCACATGGACTATTCCAGGCTTCTCCCAGTGTGGCGCAGCAGTGGGATTTCAGCGTGGCTCCGTTGATGTTCACCTCACAGCGGTTATTGACTATCTTCAACCAGCAGGTGCTCTTAGTTGTCTCTGTTTAATAAAAAATAATATCTGTTGTTACTGAACAGGAACTGAGACAGATAATACGTCAGCACAGGAAACAGTAGACAGAGCTCATTAAAATGCATCCTGACATCAAGCTTGTTTTCCCCGTGTAGCCTTGGGCACAAAACTGCATGGTAGTATAATACATTTATCAGACATAAAGGGTGGGTTTACTCGTTTATTCACTACATAGGTAGTGTTCTCTAGTGTACATAAATGCCTTATGAGTCATTACAATAAAAAGCTACGATGCTCCTGTTCTGAGAAGCAGAAGTTAGTTGGTGCAGAGGTGGGCTGAAAAAAGCTGGATTGCTTCGTCTTCGTCTTCCTCCGCTTATCCGGGTCCGGGTCGCGGGGGCAGCATCCCAACTAGGGAGCTCCAGGCCGTCCTCTCCCCGGCCTTGTCCACCAGCTCCTCCGGCAGGACCCCAAGGCGTTCCCGGACCAGATTGGAGATGTAACCTCTCCAACGTGTCCTGGGTCGACCCGGGGGCCTTCTGCCGGCAGGACATGCCCGAAACACCTCCCCGGGGAGGCGTCCAGGAGGCATCCTGACCAGATGCCCAAACCACCTCAACTGGCTCCTTTCGATCCGGAGGAGCAGCGGTTCTACTCCGAGTCCCTCCCGAATGTCCAAGCTCCTCACCCTATCTCTAAGGCTGAGCCCGGCCACCCTACGGAGGAAACTCATTTCGGCCGCTTGTATCCGCGATCTCGTTCTTTCGGTCATTACCCAAAGCTCATGACCATAGGTGAGGATTGGGACGTAGATCGACCGGTAAATCGAGAGCCTGGCCTTCTGGCTCAGCTCCCTCTTCCCCACGACAGATCGGCTCAGCGTCCGCATCACTGCAGACGCCGAACCAATCCGCCTGTCGATCTCCCGATCCCTCCTACCCTCACTCGTGAACAAGACCCCGAGATACTTAAACTCCTCCACTTGAGGTAGGACCTCTCCCCCGACCCGGAGGTGGCAAGCCACCCTTTTCCGGTCGAGAACCATGGTCTCAGATTTGGAGGTGCTGATCCTCATCCCAGCCGCTTCACATTCAGCCGCGAACCTACCCAGCAAGAGCTGAAGGTCAGAGCTGGATGAAGCTAGGAGGACCACATCATCCGCAAAAAGCAGAGACGAGATTCTCCTGCCACCAAACTCGACACACTCCACACCACGGCTGCGTCTAGAAATTCTGTCCATAAAAGTGATGAACAGAACCGGTGACAAAGGGCAGCCCTGGCGGAGTCCAACCCTCACTGGGAACAGGTCCGACTTACTACCGGCTATGCGGACCAAACTCACGCTCCTCTGGTAAAGGGACTGAATGGCCCTTAACAGAAAGCCACCCACCCCATACTCCTGGAGCGTCCCCCACAGGGTGCCCCTGGGGACACGGTCATAAGCCTTCTCCAAATCCACAAAGCACATGTGGATTGGTTGGGCAAACTCCCATGCCCCCTCCATCACCCTTGCAAGGGTATAGAGCTGGTCCACAGTTCCACGGCCAGGACGAAAACCACATTGCTCCTCCTCTATCTGAGATTCAACTATCGATCGGACCCTCCTCTCCAGTACCTTGGCGTAGACCTTTCCAGGGAGGCTGAGGAGTGTGATCCCCCTATAGTTGGAACACACCCTCAGGTCACCCTTCTTAAAGATGGGGACCACCACCCCGGTCTGCCACTCCCTAGGAACTGCCCCCGATGACCACGCAATGTTGTAGAGACGTGTCAACCATGACAGCCCTACAACATCCATAGCCTTGAGATACCCAGGACGAACCTCATCCGCCCCCGGGGCTCCGCCGCTGTGTAGTTGTTTGACTACCTCAGCAACTTCTGCCCCCGAGATCGGACAGTCCATCCCCAGGCCTCCCAGCTCTGGTTCCTCCTCGGAATGCGCATTGGTGGGATTGAGGAGCTCCTCAAAGTATTCCTTCCACCGTCCGACTATAGCCTCAGTTGACGTCAGCAGCTCCCCATCCCCACTGTAAACAGTGTGAGCGAGTTGCTGCCTTCCTCTCCTGAGGCGCCGGACAGTTTGCCAGAACCTCTTTGGAGCCGATCGATAGTCTTTCTCCATGGCCTCACCAAACTCCTCCCATGCCCGAGATTTTGCCTCGGCAACTGCCACTGCTGCACCCCGCTTGGCTATCCGGTACCTGTCTGCTGCCTCCGGAGACCCACAGACCAGCCACGCCCTGTAGGCCTCCTTCTTCAGCCTGACGGCTCCCCGAACCTCTGGTGTCCACCAGCGGGTACGGGGGTTGCCACCACGACTGGCACCGGCCACCTTACGACCACAGCTAGCAACAGCCGCCTCGACAATCGCAGAGTGGAACAAGGCCCACTCGGACTCAATGTCCCCCACTGCTCTCGGGACGTGGTCAAAGCTCTGCCGGAGGTGGGAGTTGAAGACCGTCTTGACAGGTTCTTCTGTCAGGCGTTCCCAGCAGACCCTCACTATGCGTTTGGGTCTGCCAGGTCTACGCGGCATGTTCCCTTGCCATCTGATCCAACTCACCACCAGGTGGTGATCAGTTGACAACTCCGCCCCTCTCTTCACTCGGGTGTCCAAAACATACGGCCGCAGGTCAGATGATACGACTACAAAATCTATCATCGACCTGTGACCTAGGCTGCCCTGGTACCAAGTGTACCGGTGGGCATCCTTATGTTCGAACATGGTGTTTGTTATGGCCAAACTGCGGCTTGGACAGAAGTCCAATAACAAAACACCGCTCGAGTTCAGATTAGGTGGGCCGTTCCTCCCAATCACACCCCTCCAGGTCAAGCTGTCATTGCCCACGTGAGCATTGAAGTCCCCCAGCAGGACAATGGAGTCCCCTGATGGAGCACTATCTAGCACTCGTCCCAGGGACTCCAAAAAGGGTGGGTACTCTGAACTGATATTTGGCCCATAAGCACAAACAACAGTCAGGACCCGTTCCCCGACCCGAAGGCGCAAGGAAGCTACCCTCTTGTCCCCCGGGGTGAACCCCAACACACAGGCAGAGAGTCTCGGGGCTAACAAAAAGCCAACCCCAGCCCTCCGCCTCTCACCCGGAGCAACTCCAGCAAAGTAGAGTGTCCAACCCCTCTCCAGGTCTCGGGTTCCAGAGCCAATGCAATGTGTCGAGGTGAGTCCGACTATATCTAGCCGGTACCGCTCAACCTCTGCCACAAGCTCCGGCTCCTTCCCCGCCAGCGAGGTGACGTTCCATGTCCCAAAAACTAGTTTTCTTGTCCGGGGATTGGACCGCCAAGGCTCCCGCCTTGGTCTGCCACCCGATTCGCATTGCACCGGACCCTTCATGTTCCTCCTGCGGGTGGTGGGTCCACAGTTGGACGAGCCCATGTATCCGGTTCGGGCTGGGCCCGGCCGGGCCCCATGGGCGAAAGCCCGGCCACCAGGCGCTCGCTCACGGGCCCCAACCCCAGGCCTGGCTCCAGGGTGGGACCCCGGTAACCCTCCGGGCCGGGTACTCCGACTCTTCGTTTTAACCGCCATGAAAGATCCTTCGAACCGTTCTTTGTCTCACCCTTCACCTAAGACCAATTTGTCATGGGAGACCCTACCAGGGGCACTAAGTGCCCCAGACAACATAGCTCCTAGGATCATTAGGGCACTCAAACTCCTCCACCACGATAAGGTGACGGTTCAAGGAGGAGCAGCTGGATTGCTCATTCTTATTAATGATATGCTCACACCTCGCTTCTGATTGGCTTACAGAACGGGTTCAGCCATGTTGTAAGTCATTACAACATGGGCGATGGTGGCACAGGAGTTAAGTGCTCGCCCCGTAATCGGAAGGTTGCTGGTTCGAGTCCCGCTCAGTCTGTCGCTGTCGTGTCCTTGGGCAAGACACTTAACCCACGTTGCCTGCTGGTGGTGGTCGGAGGGACTGGTGGCGCCAGTGCTCGGCAGCCTCGCCTCTTTCAGTGCGCCCCAGGGCAGCTGTGGCTACATTGTAGCTCATCCCCAACAGTGTGTGTGAACCCCCTTGGGGGGTTCTAGGACTCTAGAAGGCGCTATATCAAATACAGGCCATTTACCATTATCACCAACACACTCTCCGCTCTCTCTCCTCGCTGCAAATACATTTAAAAAAAGCCTTCCTGTGGGCGGGCTTGAGCTAAGATGGGCAAAGCCATGAATGCAAATTAAGAGTGTGATGTCACAGGGTGAGGATTTTCATATTCTAGCATTTCACCATCTATTTTCTATCAGAAGCTAATGCAGGAGATGGGTTTAGGAGACTATTTTTAGGTTCGGCCTGCATGAAAAACTCAAGAGACCAATTTTAATCAGAAATAGTAATTATAAAGTGTTTTTTCAGTCAACCACACTTTTTAAAATATTTTTTATATTTAAAAAAATATTGTTTTTGTGAAGCGCCTCATGATTTTTATCTTGAGAGGTGCTATATAACCGACAATTTTTTTTTCTTTACTCCTTCCCGTTTTCTATGATCATCATAAGCTCTTCATCTTACTCTCCCTCTGGTTTCTCTTACCGCTATGGGGAGCAGAGCATCCTCTACTCATTAGGAGCACTGACTCTTTTACTTTATTAAGCCACAGCACAAAACACATCTGTTCAAGCAGACATATACCATTTAGATGCACATCAGTTAGAGATTTTAACTGATTTTGTCTCTTTTGCACTGATTTTGCGCTTAACTTTCAATATTTGTCTAAAAAATTCTTATTTCTGTTTTTATCTCTGTAATGTGACCTTGGGTCTTTAGAATGGCACTCGCAAATAAAAATTATTATTGTTATTAATAATAACTCAGTGGGGTAGGGTACAGATTGTGAAAAAGGATGTCTCATGCTCTGAATCTGAGCCAGAATATCACCTACCATAGTCCTTAAAACTGGCTGTTTGAAACATCAGAGATTCAAATACAACTGTTGCAAAACTGTTGAGCAAAGAGCACATTTCCTATTTGTTAAAAAGGGTGTTTACCTACCTATACACTCCAGCCCCGTGTTGTCCAAGGAACTGCCTGCTGAACACGTACACACGAAGGACCCCTGGCTGTTATTACAGTCTCCGTTAATGCAGGGACTAGACTCACACTCGTCCACATCTGTGGGGACAAAAAACAGACACTTGCCTGAAAATAACTATTCCAGAGAAAATGAACAAACAACAAAGGAGTGCGTCTCTGACCCTCGCACACGTCCGTCTCTGGGTCAAAGCGAAATCCTTTAGGACACTGACAGGTGAAACTCCCGGGCGTGTTCCTGCACAGACCGTTGTCACACAGCAGCCTGTTCATCAGACACTCATCGATATCTGAAAGGCATCCCATGCAAAAGAGGTCACTTCCCTGTTTTTTATGTTTTCTGTGACAATATAAATATTGGGAGAGTGATGGACCTACCAACACAGTTTTTGCCTGAAAGGTCTACCTCAAAGCCTTCATTGCAGGTGCATTTGTATGTCCTCAGCATGTTTTCACACACTCCGTTCTGACAGATGTCAGGGTCAAGGGCACATTCGTTGATATCTGAGAAGGCAAAGAATGAGCTGTAAACAAGGCAAGTAGAAATGTAAACAAAGCTGCCTTTAACTAAAGCAGCACTGTATAATAATGTGTGTGGATTACCTATTCCACCGCCGGTTATACCGATGCCACTGGGACACAGAGCCAGAAACTCTGCTGCAATAAAAACACAAACAACAGAACTTACAAACAAACAGCATCTAAGAGAATTTACTTAAGTTAAAAACAACTTAAAGCAGGATAAGTTCAACCATGCAATTATCCATTTGCTTCTCATTTACTCTGGATGTGTGTATAAAACCATCTCTGAACGTAAAGCTGCCCCTGCGTCTTTTAATTTGGATCCTTTAACCATCAGGAATAATGAGACTTGGCCAAATAACACATGTCCATGTGCATGTTGTGTGTTTGTTAGACAGGACTACTCTTTGTGGTCGTCTCCATCAATCAGCCTAGCTTCATGCCCTGCAGCTCTGTCATTCTGGAGTAAGATTCACCAGGTGACTCTGAGTCTGTGTGTGTGTGTGTGTGTGTGTGTGTGTGTGTGTGTGTGTGTGTGTGTGTGTGTGTGTGTGTGTGTCCAGAAGCTGGTCCGTACCAGAGCTTTGTGAAGGGCATGGTTGGCAGGGCTCTCCGTAGGCATAGTCTGTGCTTGCGCAGCAACACTCTGACTTGGTCACAGCTCCAAATAAAGGCCTAATACACTGGCCTCGCTTGTAGCCGCCATAACATGAACTACGCATGTGTGTATCTGTTTCAGACAATGAAAAAATAAATAAAAAATGCAAGACATAAATGTCAAAAGATGAGAAAATCATCTGGATTTAGAGCAGAACACACAGAAAGGAAGGCAGCAGTCCACAGTTCAAATAAACAACACTGGCCAAAAACCCAAGTGGTTGTTTTCCCTTCATAACATCCCTAGTTTTAAGGTATTCTCCTGAACTGATATCATCCCGACAAATGACAGCACCATTTCACTTTTCACACAGTGTGCAAAGATGCATCATTTTGGGAAAAGCTGGAATTGGTTTCTCTGTGAAATCTGAGCACAAAGAGGACATTAATCACAGTAATGATGATGATGAGTACGTGGATGCAGCAGATCAGACCAAGGAGGCAGAGGCTGCTCTGTTTATTGTGAAGAATTACACATTTAATCACAGATTTGCAAAAATATTCATTTGGGTTTCCTCTTTTCCCTTTAATTTCCATTCAAATTCCATTTATAAATAATAAATCTTATACATAAAAGGAGTAAAAAGAAAGAGGGGGAGGTAACGTCCTCAATTCTGACCAACAGTTTGAAGAATGTTTCATTTCGACAGCATGTATATTAGTAAATGGTATTAGTCTTTAGCCCATGCTCCTCTAGGAGAGGTATTATCTTAGACCAGTTAATAACAGACAGATTTACTTTTATCACCTACTTCACAAATCTGCCAAACAATTGTTTACTTTTTATTCTTAACAAATTAACACTTTGACTTGTTTAATTAACACTCAGAAGTGTGAACATATGTACTGCGTAGTGCCATGGTAAATTTGCAGTAAAGAAATCACAAAAACAACCTAACCACCGGTGGAGATGAACCAATTATCAACCTACCATTGTCCAAATGTTGGTTTCACCCATCACTGTTAAACTTTTCTATGTTAGGTGCCAAGAAATAAAATAAAAAACAATTTTCTTAGGAAATGTTCTTTCTTCCAAACAAAATGAGCTTTTAGAAAGCAAGCCTGCTTCGCTTGCTGCTCCATCCATCCATCCAGCCTCTTATAGAATAGAATAGAATACTTTATTTGTCAATTATTTGAATGTGCTTGCCATACAAGGAATTGAAATTACGTTTCACACTGTCCCATGCGTAGACATTTACATAAAGTGCAGATGCACAACAATAACAAAACAAAAAAAAAACATCCCTAACAATAAGATAATATTAAACTGGTAAATATCGCTAATAATATACAAAACATTATAGCAGCAGGTGTGTGCAATTTCAATGCAGGGGTAGTTGTTTACAATCAGAAATGTTTACCCCGTTAGTGGTTCAACCACTATTTCCTTTTTGTATAATGTGTGTGTGTGTGTGTGTGTGTGTGTGTGTGTGTGTGTGTGTGTGTGTGTGTGTGTGTGTGTGTGTGTGTGTGTGTGTGTGTGTGTGTGTGTGTGTGTGTGTGTGTGTGTGTGTGTGTGTGTGTGTTATCCGTAGTCGGGTCATGGGGGGAGTAGCCTAAGCAGGGAAGCCCAGACTTCCTTCTCCCCAGCCACTTGGGCCAGCTCCTCAGGGGGAATCCGGAGGCGTTACCCAGCCAGTCATGAGACATAATTCCTCCAGCGTGCCCTGGGTCTTCCTTCAGTGAATGGACGAATGCCTGATTGTGTATTAAAGCGCTTTGGGGGTTCCAGGACTCCAGAAGGTGCTATATCAAATACAGGCGTTTTACCATTTACTATTTAGGTCTCCTCCCAGTTGTACATGCTCAGAAAACCTTACCAGGGAGGCATCCTAACTAGATGCTTGAGCCACTTCAACTGGCTCCTCTTATTGTGGAGGAGCAGCGGATCTACTCCGCGCCCCTCCCGGATGACCGATCTTCTCACCCTGTCTCTAAGGACACCCTGCAGAGAAAGCTCCTTTCAGCTGCTTGTATCTGCGATCTCGTTCTTTCAGTCACTACCCAAAGCTCGTGATCATAGGTGAGGGTAAAAACGTAGATCGACCGGTAAATTGAGAGCTTCACCTTCCGGCTCAGCTCTCTCTTCACCACTATTGACCGGTACAATGCCCGCATCACAGCAGATGCAGCACCAATCCGCCTATCGATCATGCACTCCATCTTTCCGTCACTTGTGAACAAGATGCTGATTTTGCATGTAACCTAAATATGAAAGTAAAAAAAGGAAAACACGTACTTCTAAAACCATCGCTATGGTTACTCACCAACACAAATTCGCCCATCCAGGCCCACCGCCATCCCAGCCATGCACTCGCAGCGAAACGAACCCTCGGTGTTGACACAGTGTCCGTTCATGCACATACCTGGCGTCTCACACTCATCGATATCTACAATCAAACACAAAAGATCACATTTTCACAAATGTATTTTCACAGTAAAAGATAACATGTTTGAACTAAAGAAAAATAAGGCTGTTAGAATAATTCATTCAAATTGCAGCACATTTTCAGCTCAGTGATGTCAGCTAAGAAAACATTCCTCCCCTTAAACTTTATCACCTCACCATATAAAGACAATCAGGATAACGATGGTAAACAGTGATAGGCATAGCTCTGTGTTTATGTATGACTGTGGGTGGAATTGCTCTTTTTGGGTGTTTTGGGGGACAGCCAGACTGCAGAGAGAGACAACGAGGCCCCAGGGCCCTTTTAGACTACACATTTCATTAGTGAATGCATACATAAGCACACTTCACCCACACCCTGCTCCTCTATTTATTTATTCTACTATGACTGAACCAGGTCTGTGTCTTTGAGATCAAATGTCTGTATGTGAATCCTGAAAGGATCTTTATCACATTCCTTTACATTCAAATCATAGCATAAAATACAGTAAAACGATGAATCCGTTGTTAAAGTTTTATAGCAATTTCAAAAGCTTTTCCTCTTTGTATGAGATGCTTAATCAAGGTGGTCTGCAGGAATCTCTAAACAGGCAAGCCCCAACTATCAACACCTCCAGCTGGCCAGACAGAGAGCTACACAGGGTTTTTATTTCAACCCTTTAGGGAGAACTTTTATGCTGTGTGTTGACTCACTTAAGAAGTAAAAAGCGTGCCAGAGAGTTAATAACTCTCCAAGCTACAGGAAACTTGAGAGAAAAGTGAAAAAGAAAACGCCTCAAAGTGTATTCTGAATGTCTCACCAACACACATGCGTCCACTGGTGTCCAGCAGGAATCCGGGTTTACAGATGCACTTGAAGCTGCCATCCTCATTGATACAAAGTCCGTTGAGGCACATGTTCCTGATCAGACACTCGTCCTGATCTAAGAATGAATAGTAGATTTTCCATTGGTTAGTTCACTGAGAAACACGTCTGTATGCTACTTTAAGCACAAGAAAAGTCAATAAGAATAGTGGGAATGGTGATCAACTAATTAGGGTTTTTCTATGGCTCATGCCAAATTAGGGCAGCTTTTTATTTATTTATTTTCAATAACGTAACATAATCAGTGTTGGGAGTAATGGCATTTAAGTATAACAGCATTACTAATGACGTAATTTTTTAGGTAATAGAGTAATCTAATTGATTACTTTTCCTATCAGCGCAACACCATTATTGGTACTGGGCATGTTAGGTGGCACGCTACTCCGTTACTATAATGTGGTTGAATGAAGCACAGCGGTTGTCAGGCTGTCTGACAGCCACACCAGTGATGCAAGCACGAAATGGCTCTAGGAACCGAAGCCAGAGTGAGTGACACGACTGTAGCGCCATCTCACCCCGGGCAGGTTTACAAACAGCTAAAATGAACACAGCGCCGAACACATCAGGGAGTTTGTTAGCAGATCAGAGATGAGTGTGTGCACAGCGCCGCTGGGAGCGAGCAGCCTATGGCAAGCAGTCTCAACATTTAATCAACAGTCTGACTTTTCTGTAAGGTCCTGTTTCATATAGCAATAATTTATTTTATCCTAGTATTCTTATTTGTCAAAATTGCAAATGAAGACATCAGCAGCTGTGTAGTTACTATAAAAATTATAATCAAGGATATCCAGAATAACAACTTCACTTGTAGGAATTAAGTTAGAGATGTCTCAAAATCTCTAAAAACCTATGGTGGCCTTTTTACCATTTATTAGGCATACTGGACATGTATTCCAGATATCTGTAATTCTATTGTTCCCAGTAGAAATTTCAATCCAGATATCCATAAGAACATTCTTACAGAATGAACCTTATAGATATCTGAAATGTTCCTTCTAGATAGTAGGAATCATTCAGTTAAAAGTATCATTCACGTTATAGACATTACAGAACGTAACCGCGTTATAGAACCGAAAAGTAAAGTTACCGTTACTTTGCGAGGTAACTAATTACTTTTACAAAGCGGTACCTGAGTTACTGACTCAGTTACGCCTAATTACTTTTTTAACGTACGTTGCCCAACACTGAACATAATATAGCGTGGACACTTAAGAATAGGTTTAAAAAAATCGCTTGCACCATTGTGAACAGGCTAGTCTTTAATGTGTTTAACTCGTGGGCAAGAAGAGACAACCAAACCTCTTTTTATTGCCTGTTTGAGATATGTACTCACCCTAGCCAACATGACAATATGTGAAGTGACGAGCTAAATCCTGACAAACTATAGTGGTATGATGAACACAGACCATCTAATATATCCTCTCATACTAATCCTTTGGTAAATACTAATATAAAATCCCATTTTTCTTTTTACAAAAGGACCCAAAACACACAAAACCACAAATATGATCATTTAAAAATCCCACCCCCTCCACTCCATGCCTCCAACAGGCAACGGTATTAAATCACCACCCTCAAGCATATCCACAGTCCATTGAAAACAAACATTACACATTCTGTGGTTATTAAAGAAAACCACCCTTTAAACATGCCCCTGCTCCATAAATGCGCATGTCAAAACTTAACAGACCTTGACAATTTTTGCCATCTACTGAAATTTCAAATCCAGCGTTGCAGACGCAGTGGAAGCTGCCTTCAGTGTTCACACAGCGCCCATTGTTGCAGATACGACCATTGGCCACACATTCATCCAGATCTGGAAAAAAACAAATGGGCAAACCATAATTAAGTCATACACCCATTTAAATCTGCGTGTGCTCATGCTGGTGGGTGTGTGCGTCACCTCTGCACTCTGTTCGAGTTGCTGTTGACTGAAATCCAGCAGGACACTGACAGATGTAAGACCCTGGGGTGTTCAAACACTCTCCATGTGCACATGGGGTCCTCTCACATTCATCATCATCTGTAGGGCGACATGTGAGCCTGAAAACACTCCCTCTTGCCCTTTGATAGGGATATTAATGAAACTGGACCTTCCATCTTACCGATGCACTCTCCCCTAACGTCCAGTCTGAATCCCATGTTGCACTCGCAGCGATATCCAATGCTCGGCATGGGAATACATCTGCCATTCAGGCAGAGGTTTCGGAAAGCCTGACACATGTTAGTGATATTCAGGGCTTGGACTACATTAGGGCCTGGCAAGAACAATCAAACAAGTTTATAACAAACTGAACCATGAATCACATAACATCACTAGTGCAGTTTATGCTAAGTTGTGTCTAAATGTGTTAGATTCTGAAAATAAAGCAACAGCTGCAGTATCATGGATGCTTTTTTGACCTAAAAATTAAACATCTGGGGTCTCATTTATCAAACATTGCATAGAATCCTTACTAAACCCGTACTTAAAGAGCAAGTCACCCCCTACCAGATTCTTACTCAACTCCCATTTCCTGTTTGAAAAATGCAACAAATGCTGTTGCCTAGCAGACCGAGAGGGTGGAGCCGCTAACATATACACACACTCGCGACATTGTGACATCATAATGTACCATCTATCATCATAGTGTACCTCTTAGCCAATAGCGATGGCAGATTTAAATTCAAATGCAGTGCTGAGTTTTTAACCTGACAACGGTGCATCGCTGACAGTTTTAGGCAGAATATTTAATTTTGAACTAAGATGAACTAAAATGCAGAATTACTGACTACACTTGTCTACAGCACGATCAGACACTCATTTATATAGTTTATCCGCCAAAAAATGTTGATTTGGAGTGACTTGCTCTTTAAGCTCAGCAAAAAAAATGTACTTACGCCAACTAGGTTTGTGATCTACCAAACATGGAGTACGCACAGCTGCACGCAATCAGCTGCTTCATAAATCAGAGACTAACGAAAAAGGTTCTCAGCTGCTTTTTAGTCACATCCCGCCCTCAACACGCCCACTTACTGCCATAAACGGCCAATGGAAAGTGCCTTGTGGATCTCATGCATATACATAAGCCGGCTCGTTGCAGCGTTTCGATCACGACCGTAGATCAAGGCAGATCAAGGAAGCACAATTTCACAAGCAGAAATTGAGGAACTTGTGGGTGAGGTGGAGAAATGAAAGGAAGTGCTTTTGCAAAACAAATAAGAGAAAATCCACGGAGTGGCACAGCGTTGCTGAAGCCGTCAATGTTGTGAATTCTTCAAAGAGATCTGTGGCGGATATAAAAAAAATGGTCTGATCAGGATTCGATCCCCAGACTCCCAGGTGAGAGTTGCGTGCGTGCCAGTCAGCCAAACGGCCATCTCCTTTGACCAAGCAGCCAGGGCGCGTGATCAATTGGGTCACAGTGACAGGACAAACCGTCACAGATGCATGACATTCTGTCTCAATCTGTCCCCCTGCTGATATTCTGCATTCCGTATTCTGCGCTTTAGGCTGTGTGTGCGCGTGTTTGCGCATGCGCGTGTGCGTGCATGCGTGGGGGTTACTTGTTCTGTGTGCGCACGAAGCAGTACAAGTGATAATGTTGCTGGAATTCCTAATTTGACCCTTCTCAGCAGCAGCACTGCAGATGCTCTCCATGTCCAAAATGTGCGTAAGCCAGGTCCTTAGTCAACTTAAAGTTGTGCACATATTTCCGCTAAGTTTTCTTTTATAAATCCCAAAGTTTTCATGGCAAGTTGCTTATGCAGTTTTCCAACTCCGTTTTGTGCGTAAGCAAGCTTGATAAATGAGGCCCCTGGTCACACTTGACTCTTCACTGCCGCTACTGGTCACTAACATACATCCTCCTAAAAACTTTTAGTTAAAATTTAGAAGCACATACACAACTAAATGCAACAAAATGGAGGGGGTAGATACCAGTGCACCATTTTTTGGACTTCAAATTTGCCCACATCCCGGATGAGCTTCAGATGGCGGGTTTTGGAATCTTATTTCCTGATATTTGGACATCTCGCCCCAGATTGGATTACAGAATCTCTTCCACTAACTTGCAACATTGATGTTTTATCTCCACAAATAGCACAAGCCTGGAGGAGCTTCTGCCATGTGGTGAAATTGCTAATGCCAACGGTTAGCTTAAACTAGCCGAGACATTCTCCGTCACGAGTCCAGATAGATGAGTCCATGAATGCTAATTCACAGTGTGACAGATCTGTGAGGATTTTCAAATCCTAGAGTTCCACCGTCTATTTTCTATCAAAAGCTAATGCAGGAGATAGGTGTAGGAGACTCTTTTCATGTGAAGCCTGCATGACAACTTCTGAATGAACGATTATAACCAGAAAAAGGAAAAAAAAAAAAAAAAAGTTTTTCATTCAACCAAACCTTTAAACGTGGGTTTGGGTTGTTCATTTCAAAAAGTTTGGGGTTTTAAAGAGTTTTGGAAAAGATTCAATACTTCATCTCCAAGGATGAGTTGAAGACAGTTACACAACTAAATGCAAAATGTTCAATCAATGTTTGATTTTTTTGAAACAAAAGAAAAGAGAAAGTGGGTAAATACCTGGAGGAGGAGGTTGGATGGGTCCTGGGAATTGTCCTGGAAATTGTCCAGGGATTTGACCTGGGATTTGAACAGGGAGCTGGCCTGGAATTTGGATGGGAATTTGCCCGGGGACCTGGCCAGGAATTTGGATGGGAATTTGCCCGGGGACCTGGCCAGGAATTTGAATGGGAATTTGACCAGGAATCACTTGAGGTAATTGGCCAGGAACTGGAACGGGGTAGATGCCGGGTTGGTCCGGAGACCCTGGGATACGGCCAGGTATCAGAACTCCATTTGTATCGAGCGTCTGAATGCAAAGCCTCTGGTATTCCTCTAAAGAGAGCACAATGAAAACAATATAAAGACAAGTCTTGTGAGAAAACAAACTAAAGCATGGTGATCGCTGGTGACTTCACCTGTTCCACGGATAGGGCACATCTCTGGTATGGAGCCATCAGACCAGCAGCGTCCACTATCACAACAGCATTGCATTTTAGTCAGCTGTTGTGAGTTTTGGTTGGCACAGCGTCCGTTCAGCAGTCTGGCGTAACAATACCCAGCACGTGCATCTGTGAGAAACACCACAGCATGAAATTGCACTGTATGGAAGCTGGCCTGTGCTGTCTGCATGTTAAGCACACTGGCGAGAGTATACTCAAAAATAAGTTTGTTTGACTCCAGAGTTTCCATCATTTGGTGATGCATGCAACTTTCAAAAAGCCATCGTTTTATATTTATGAGAACTTTTCCTTCATCCTGCAGTTTCTGGCACTGGCATCAGCATAACTCACACTCAAGTTGCCTATTAACATAAATACTTTTTGTTTTGTTTCAAACGCAGCCAACAAATTCTCATGTTTGACCTGACGGGCTACACCACCTATTGTTTGGCTAGGTTACAAGATCTCAGGGATCTTTAGAGTAAAGTGAAGGTTAAAAAACAAACGTTTGATCATTGACGTTCAAGACTCAGAGTGAAGCTGCATGGGAACCGGGCTAAAAAGTTTGGCACAACAGTGTTCTGGCACGAAAAGACTCAGACATTCCTTCCTAGCATAATCTCCTGAGGGGGGTAATGTGAGCATGTGTTTGCATATGTTTGTGTGTGCATGCATGCATGCAAGTGTGATACTGTGCATGAAGGTCAAATGGATTATTCCAAATCACATTCTTCTCTTGTCTGTTTTAGGTGAAACTGAGCTGAAAGACACGTTTCATAAATGTTTTTGGTGATCACGATAAGTGTCACAGTTCATCCAGTCTGCAGACGCACAAATTGGCTTTCAGAATGCGTTAGTGTTACCTGCATATCATATGACCTTATCAGTTTGGAGATAAAACAGCTCATTGTTGTGGAAGTACAAACAAGCAATTGACTACTGACCTAAATTTTACCAGCTGGAGCGCTGGCTAGAGTTCAGTACTTTCATCTCTTTGAGCCAGACGCAGAAGAAACCAAAATGATGTGGAAAAATGAAACAGCACCTTCTCAATGTAACCTTTTTTCTCATATTTCATGTATTCTAAATCCAAATGGCAACAAAATAAAGCAGATGTAGTGACACTGATTTATCTTTGCAGGGGTGTGACAGTCAGTGACTTACCAACACATCTGGACCCATCCACAGAGGTGTAATATCCCTGGGGACACTTGCAGAAGTAGCTGCCAGCAGTGTTAAAGCATTCGCCCACACCACAAAGACCAGGAATGTTTGAACACTCATCCAGATCTAAGAAGAGGAAAGAGGAAGGGATAGAAGAGAGACAGTCACAGGATGTTTGACGTAGATGCTCGTCTAGAGGGCTCATCTGGTAAGAAATACGCTGGAATTTATACATGTTTCTATTGTCTTTTGACACAAACCAGACGTTTTCCGACAATTATTTCTGGGCATAAAACAGCACTCATTTCTCTTGGAAGATAAATGCCAGAATAGTAAAGTTAAGGTCGATCTGGAAATCGTCCCATTTTAGTCGTAATGAGCAAGTAATCTTCACGGTAGGAGAAAAAGACACAGAGATTTTATTAAAGGTTGTTTTTTTTTACTCAGAAATGTCTTTTGGTGGCCAATTATTTTTTTTAAAGGTAAAAAGAAATTCTACTGCCAATCAGATGTGTCAGTGTTTCCAAACATACATGACAACATAATCTCCACTCATCATGTTTTTTAATTCACATACAGCACGACTAATTCAGTTCAGAAACTATGCGGTACGAGTGTAGAGGATTGCATTTCAAATCAGCACTTCTTTCCAACCTCACATTTAAGAGCGGCACGGCTGACAGAAACCCAAGTGCTGCTTTGGTTTAATTAAACTTGTTTCAAGGGAACGACAAAAACTGTGTGGTCTTTCCCCCTCAAAGTAACAATCAGAACACCAGGACTGACCTCAAAGAAACGGATGTGGCTCACTCCTAACCTTTGGGAGCTTTGATACGTTCAGTCTACTCAGCCGTTCTCTCAGAAAACACACAGTGACTCTCAGTTCACACTTAATTCTTACCATCACATTTCTGTGAGATCTCGTTGAATTTGTGCCCATCGGGACATTTACATTCAAAGGATCCCACCGTGTTGATGCAGTTTCCTCCTTGGCAGATGCCAGGGATGGCCTGGCACTCGTCCACATCTGGATGCACATAGAAGGAAGTTCATGAAACTTATGTGTTCATAGCAAGAAAAGGACATATGATGTCACAGAGCACCTAGTACTTTGGGAGTTATGCTGATGACTAAACTAAATCTATTTAATAAGTCTAGGCGAATAAAATGAAGGAAGCAGGCTGAGAATCTGTAGGGGGCTGTGGCCCTCTGCAGTCTCCTAGTGATCCGCTTTCCTCCGGGTCCTGGCTCAGGTCCGTCTCCCCTGCCGTGGTTCTGATGCTGTCAGGTCTGGAGCAGGAAAGCACAGGGCCGTCTTACCAGAAATAAGCTCTGCCATTGACCCGTGTTACTGACTCTGACAGTCCCGCCACAGCGGGTGTCTGAGGGCATTCCATACACATGTGGGAGGCACACTCCACCCACCCAATTTAACTCAATTAGAACTAATCCTCCGAAGAGGGGAGGGTGGATAAGCATGAGGGGATGAAAGGAGAGGGAGAAGAAGTTAAAATAAGAGGAAATGATAAAAGTAGCAATTTATTCAAAGTAGGAGAAGCGGGAGAGAACTCAAAGGAAACAGAGACCAAGACTCAGAGGCTTTACCTTGGCACGCCCCGGTTCGGTGGTTTGGTATGAACCCTCTTCGGCAAGGGTGAGGCTGGGCTGGGCACATCTCACAGGGGTGACCCCATGCCCGTCCCACTGTGGCGCAGCACAATGTTTTCGTGCATACAATCCCTGAGAGCTGGCCTTGGCACATCTGGTTATTGACAGAGGCAAAGCACGGCCCTGTGCGGTAATCTGCAGAAGGAAATCCAGAGAATGTTTTATTCCCAAATTTACATTCAGCTCTTCATTTTCAGCCCTAAAAAATACATTGGTTGTAACATTATAATGGTTGTCTGAAACAAAAGTGAACAGAAACTTCAGACCAAAGTATGTTTTAGTGTCATGGTCTATAGACTTTAGAGGTTTTTTTAATATTTATCTACTCTTTCGGTTTTGTTAATAATTTGCACCCCTGCTCTTTGTTAGCCAACTCGGCATGCAGTTTCAGGCTCTTAGATGTCCTTTGCTAAACTATTTGTCAATGTCATCCAGTCAGATATGGTCTTACAAAGATTTGTATTAGTTGATTTCCCTAGTTCTGGTTTTGTTTAGAGTTCACACAAACAAACACACACACACACGCACACACACACACAAACACACACACACGCGCGCGCGCACGCACGCACGCACGCACACACACACACACACCACCACCACCACCACCAGATATTTCTCTAACAGAACTACCAGTTCTTTTCCACTTCAAGAACTGATGGCCATCTAGTGGAGTGGTGGAAGAGTTTCACAGCTGTGATCACTTTAATGGAGATGATGATGTATACAGAAATATAGAAGAAAGTATTTATTTATGAAGGTGTATGGAGAGTTTAGCCATTTAAAATGGCTGAAATTAGCCGCTAAGTGTCCTGGTAAGCTGCTGGAGTCACCATCTCCATTATTCTTCAACCTCTTACTGATCTCTACTGCAGGTAAGACCCTTACTGTTCATACTGTTCATAAATACTCACATATAAAAACTCCAATATACAAAAATGTGGACAAAACCGTTGGTGCCCTTTGGCAATGACAGAGAAAGCTACAATGTTCACAGAAATAATTTGAATCTGACAAATGTAATATTTACTAAAAAAAATTCTGTGAAAATTAACCAATTAAAGTCAGACATTGCTTTAACAGAATCATTTAAAAAATTAACTCATGGAACAGGCTTGGACAAAATAGGTGGTACCCCTAACTTAGTATTTCGGTACACAACCTGTTAAGCTGATCACTTCAGACGATTTCTGTAACTGTCGATGAGACTTCTGCACCTATCAGCAGGTATTTTGGCCCATTCCTCATGAGCAAACTGCTCCAGTGGTCTCAGGTTTGAAGGGCATTACCAGATGGCATGTTTCAGCTCCCCCTAAAGATGCTCAATAGGATTGAGGTCAGGGCTCATAGAAGGCCACTTTAGAATAGTCCAGTGTTTTCCTCTTAGCCATTCTTGGGTGTATGCAGCTGTGTGTTTTGGGTCATTGTCCTGTATTTTGGTCTGCATTGCTGGCAGTAAGTCGAGTTCAGTCCCGGTGAGAAATGGACTCCACCAAGGCTGCCCTTTGGCACAGATTCTGTTGACGTTTATCCTAACGTTTATGGACAGGATTTCTAGCACAGCCAAAGTCTTGAGGGGATCCATTTTGGTAACCTAAGGATCTGGCCTCTGCTTTTTGCAGATGATGTGGTCCTGTTGGCTTCATCAGAACGTGATCTCCAGCTTACGCTGGAGTGGTTCGCAGCCGATTGTGAAGCAGCTGGGATGAGAATCAGCTCCTCTGAATCTGAGATCATGGTTTTGAGTCAGAAAAGGGTAGAATGCCTTCTCCAGGTCAGGGACAAGGTCCTGTCTCAAGTGGATGAGTTTAAGTATCTCAGGGTCTTGTTCACAAGTGAGGGAAAGATGGAGCATGAGATGGAGCTGAGCGGGAAGGTGAAGCTCTCGATTTACCGGTCGATCTACGTTCCTTCCTACCCTCACCTATGGTCACGAGCTTTGGGCAGTGACCAAAAAAATGAGACCGTGGATACAAGAGGCTGAAATGAGTTTTCTCCACAGGGTAACTGGGCTCTCCCTTAGAGATAGGGTGAGAAGCTCAGTCATTCAGGAGAGGCTCGGAGTAGACCACTGGTCCTCCACATCGAGAAGAGTCAGTTTAGGTGGCATGAGCATCTAGAAAGGACGCCTCCCTGGTGAGGTTTTCTGGGCATATCCAGCTGGGAGAAGACCTAAAGGAATTTCCAGGACACGCTGGAGGGACTCTGTCTCTTGGCTAGCCAGGGAACGCCCTAGGATTCCCCCGGAGGAGCTGGCTCAAGTGGCTGGGGAGAGGAAAGTCTGGGCCATATATATATATATATATATATATATATATATATATATATATATATACATATATATATATTAGGGATGTAAGAAAATATCGATATGGCAATATATCGTGATATTTTTTCCTGTGATTATTACATCGATATTCAAAAGCCGCATATCTAATTTTTGAAAGAATTTACATGCAAACATTTGTGTATTTTCTTTTCCTTTTGTGCATTCCAATCGCCACCCGCTAGTTGGCAGCAGTGTGCAACGGGTTTTGTTTCCACCATTGAAATGTAAATCCCTCCATCATGGGTCAGATACCTCATGTTAAACATGTTACGTATCAATTTGGACTGTTTATTGAACATGCTTACAATAAATTCAGTAAAAAAAATTGCTTGTAATGTCTGACTGAATGTATTGCAATATATCGTGATATATTGTATTGTCTCCCCTGTATCGTGATATGTATCGTATCGCCAGAATTTCAACAATACACATCCCTGATATATATATATATATACACATACATACATACATACATACATACATACATACATACATACATACATACATATATATATATACATACATACATACATATATATATACAGTTGTGGTCAGAAGTTTACATACACTTGTAAAAAATATAATATAATGGCTCTACTGAGTGTCCCGTTATTTCTAAAACTCTGATTTTTCTCTGATAGAGTGATTGGAACAGATACTTCTTTGTCACAAAAACATTCATGAAGTTCGGTTCTTTAATGTCTTTATTATGGGTTAACAGAGAAAAGTGATCACATTTGCTGGGTCACAAATATACATACAGCAACATGAACTAGCAATTTTGGTGACTTAGAAACATGTCAGTGAACTGAGCTTCATAGCATGGCCTCTTAACTTCTTGTGAGTGATTATGAGTGACTACAGCTGGTGACTTCTCTTAGGCCAGGTAAATAGGGCTCATTGGATGCAAACGCCCACAAACGCTACAATGGGAAAGTCAAAGGAGCTCAGCATGGATCTGAAAAAGCGAATTATTGACTTGAACAAGTCAGGAAAGTCACTTGGGGCCATTTCAAAGTAGCTGCAGGTCCCAAGAGCAACAGTGCAAACAATTGTTTGTAAGTATAAGGTGCATGGCACTGTTTCATCACTGCCATGATCAGGAAGAAAACTCAAGCTATCACCTGCTGCTGAGAGAAAATTGGTCAGGAGGGTAAAGAGTGAATCAAGAATCACCAAAAAGCAGATCGGCCAAGAATTAGAAGCTGCTGGAACACAGGTGTCATTGTCCACAGTCAAACGTGTTTTGCATCTCCATGGACTGAGAGGCTGCCGTGCAAGAAGGAAGCCCTTGCTCCAAAAGCGGCACCTTAAGGCTCGGCTGAAGTTTGCTGCTGATCACATGGACAAAGATAAGACCTTCTGGAGGAAAGTTCTGTGGTCAGACAAAACGAAAATCTAGCTTTTTGGCCACAATGCCCAGCAATATGTTTGGAGGAGAAAAGGTGATGCCTTTAACCCCAAGAACACCATGCCTACAGTCAAGCATGGTGGTGGGAATATTATGCTGTGGGGCTGTTTTGCTGCCAATGGAACTGGTGCTTTACAGAGAGTAAATGGGATAGTGAAGAAGGAGGATTACCTTCACATTCTTCAACATAACCTCAAATCATCAGCACGAAGGTTGGGTCTTGGGCGCAGTTGGGTGTTCCAACAGGACAATGACCCCAAACACACATCAAAAGTGGTAAAGGAATGGCTAAATCAGGCTAGAATAAGGGTTTTAGAGTGGCCTTCCCAAAGTCCTGACTTAAACCCCATTGAAAACATGTGGACAGTGCTGAAGAAACAAGTCCATGTCAGAAAGCCATCAAATTTAACTGAACTTCACTAATTCTGTCAAGAGGAGTGGTCAAAGATTCAACCAGAAGCTTGCCAGAAGCTTGTGGATGGCTACCAAAACCGCCTAATTGAAGTGAAAATGGCTAAGGGACATGCAACCAAATATTAGCACTGCTGTATGTATATTTGTGATCCAGCAAATGTGATCACTTTTCTCTGTTAACCCATAATAAAGACATTAAAGAACCAAACTTCATGAATGTTTTTTGTGACAAAGAAGTATCTGTTCCAATCACTCTATCAGAGAAAAATCAGAGTTTTAGAAATAACGGGACACTCAGTAGAGCCATTATATTATATTTTTTACAAGTGTATGTAAACTTCTGACCACAACTGTATGTGTGTGTGTGTGTGTGTGTGTGTGTGTGTGTGTGTGTAAAACAGAAACTATGAAACTGAACAGGACATCGATGTAGAGAATGAGGAATTTATAAAGTGTGCATTAGTTTCTGTTCTCCACATTTTTACCTGGCCTGTCTCACAAGTGTGTGCATTTATGTTGTCAGGTCATAGAAAAAAATAAATAAAAAGGAGGTCTGAAAAAAGCTTAAAGCTATATAAAGTCATCAACAACAACAGAAATAAGTTTTTCAATCTTAATGATCCACATATGATCCTTTAAATTTTTATAAATTCTGTCTGTAAAGAGGAATTATAAATGTATTGAGGCTTTTTATTATTTTTAGTATGCATAATCCAGGGGAGAGGTCGTTATCTCGAAGGCCAACTGAGGCTGACTGGCAGGGTGTGTCTCTGGAACACAGAAGGTAATTTCCCCATCAGCTTCAGCACCCTAGAATTAAAACTAAACAGCTTTTAACATTTATGAAAGTGTGAAGAAAGTCCCTCCATCAAGACTACTTTCCCCTTCCCTTCAGATTGGTTCACATCTTGTTCCCCTGAGCCAGCTGCTTGCATGCACTTATTCCCTCATTTCCCTGAAAAGTCCCCTCGTTCACTGCAA